TCGGATACTTGGAGTTGATTAGAGCGGCGATTTGCTGGGTCGCAACCGGATTGGAAGATTTAGGCCGGACCTCGTAATACAGGTTTGGACGGTTGAAGCTTTGTGAAAAGACTTGGCAATTGTTCATCCCGAGATTGTGTTTGATATCGACAATGACGTTCTGAGTAGCAGTAGCGGTCAAGGCCATGACGGGAACCTGGGGAAATTTGGATCGCAGCTGTCCCAGGGTCTTGTAGTCGGGTCGGAAATCATGCCCCCACTGGCTAACGCAGTGAGCCTCGTCAATGACGATACGGGCAAATTTTCTACTCCGGTACAAGCTTTGTAAAGCATTCATAAACTGGGGGCTTTTGCTAGCCATTTCAGGCGTGACGTAGAGGAGCTCGATGAAGTGCTCCGGATTGCGTTCGTTAAAGGCAGACATGACTTGCCGCTTGTATTCTGGAGAACACTCACTGTTGAATGCAACGGCCTGTATCCCCAGGGCTTTCATATGATCTACCTGATCCTGCATCAAGCTCAGTAAGGGGGATACAACGATGGTGACACCTCTTGTCTTGCCGGATTTGACGACAGCTGGAAGTTGGTAGCAGAGAGATTTTCCACCGCCTGTCGGCATCAGGACAAAGGCATCATCGCCAGCGAGCGTGGCGTTAATGGCCTCTAGTTGGTTCTGTCGGAACCCTTTCATCCGAAACCGATCTTTCAATGTCTTCTGTACGTCTGCAGACCAAGAATGCCTCATGAGCTCAGCCGGTATCCTTGTCTGAGATGGATCAGGAGGCGGCTGTCTTTTCGAAGTCTGCTTCTGCTTTGGTGCGGGCCCAGCGTTTCCAGACGTTTCGGAAAACGCCCGTCGAGGGTCTAGAGACGGTTCGTCAACAGTTTGGCGTACCTCATAGTCTTGAGCAAACGCAAGCATATCAGCGTCGTCACTGAAATCGCTAAATTCATTTCCTACTCGCTGAGTGCGATTCCTCTGAGGTGTTTTGCGCGTGTCGAATTGAGTAGTCTTTTTATCCGATTTAGGCAGCAGTTGCATCTCCATATCATCGATATCAGAAAAGAAATCTTCCTCGGCGCCAAGGTCACGATTCATTGGAGGGCGTGGTTCAGGAAGTTGGGTTTGATGAACAACTTGGGTGCCTCCCATGGGCAATGGGACGTCTCTTGAACTCCGTGACATGTTGACCATGCCCCCATGGCCAGCCTGAGTTCCAAGCACAACGATATGGTCATCTCTTCTATTTGGAGCCGGGACTTCCAGGGGCCCCAAAAGACTTTTCTCATCAAGGCCTGCTGTACCCATCATTTGGAAAAGCTCTCCTTCTGTTGCCTCGATGCGCTCAGTAAGCTCATCTAGTCGGGCTTCATCTTCATCTGTGTCTTGGCCATTGGAATATGATCGGGCCACCCGTTGAGCAACTGCTTCTCGTTGCTCACTTAGAGTTCTGTAGCGCTCAACCAATCCGCTGAGCTCCTGAGTCGCCTTTTGCTGTTGGATAAATCGTTCTTTCTCTGCTTTAATCTCATTCCTCTTGTCTTTGGGCAATCTATCATTGATAGCTTGCATAAAACTCCGCTCATTCTTCTGAATTTGACTGTTCAAGTATCCACACCTTTTAGTTAGAAGCTGCGGATTCCCCAAAATGAGAGATAAAAGTTTTGGCATCTGGCTGGATGGCGTAACCGACTGCTGTGGGTTGTTGATTTCGCTGACATTGTCGGCAGTAGCTGAACTCTGGGTTTCAGGCAAGCTGGGGTAAGCAGGTTCGAGATCTTTGGCTTGTACACGCTGAGAAGGCGGCGGTGACCGTTTTCGTCTTGGCTGAGGAGATACATGCAAATCCTCAACATCCATAAGGAAAGCGTCCTCGTCCTGTGGATCGATAAAAGGTTCCGTTGGCTGCTTCTTTGAAGCAATTGTACGCGACGGTGGTGTAACGAATTCATCGTCTGAATCGGGAATGAAAAATTCCTCGGCTTGGTTTTGCTCCGGTTGTTGGATGTCCTCGTCGAAATTTCGAGAATCCGGGGACGCAGAGCGATGTCCGGCGACTTTAACCTTCTTTCGTCTTTCAGAACTACTGAGGACATAGTCTCTTTCTGGGGTCTGTTTGATAGAAGATGGTGCCCTTCGACTAGCGACTCTTCCTAAAGGAGATGAAGACCCTGGCAGAGACACCTTGGAAGACGCATTCTGTGCAGTCTTGGGTTGGTTAGTAACGATAGGTGCTTCTGCATGCTGTGGGTTTGCCAATTCGGGAGGACTAACTTTCTTTGCGGAACGACCAGGGGTCGGGACTGGAGGGTTAGTTCCCAGGAGCTGATAAACATCGGGAAACTGGCTATCAGCAGCGGTGTCATCGCTACTCTTCCTCTTTTTGGAAATAGGCAACGGTGCCTCCCAAGACGCATCCTTTTCCGTCCAAACTTTTACATCTTCACCAAACTCGTCAGATTCATCGGATGTGCCAGTGGTTCTGGTTAGATCCATGTACTCCAAATCGTCATCGTCGAAATCTGCGAAATCGGCAGCAAGTCCTGGAGATGGATTATGCCGTGATGGGTCTGGTTTTCCTGATGATGGGCCATTTTGCGTTTGTTTCTCAGATTTTGGGATTGCTGCCATAACGTTAGGTTCCAGAATATCAGTAAACAATCTTGATCTACACACCATCCGTCTTGAGAAACTCATTCAAAACTTGTTTAGATCGGCCGTCTGCTGAAGAAGGAGCTGCTCTCTGGACATTTTGCGAGATGAGCACAGGTTTTCTCGATTTGGTAGATAGGCTCAGACGGCCCATGCTGTCGTCCTCTAAATCCACCACTTCTGTGTTTTGTAAAGCTTCCTCTCTCTTTGGCGGGCCATTTGAACTCCAAGTTCCCTGAGCCTGGTTTATCCGTCGGTCTGATCCAGCTGACACGGCAGTTCCTTGACTTAAATCTGCCGTGCGACCGTTTGTAGACTGCGATTGTGTGAACCGAAACGATGCTGAATCGCTTGTCTGTGGAAACTGAGGGGCGGTAGGTTTTGATAACGCAGCGTTCTTCAGCAACCAGGCGATGTTGTCTGGAAGGTTATTTCGAGTCATGAAGCCGGCTTATGGATGCCAGACCGGTCCGCATTGGCGATTCTGGCGAGCATTGAAGCCGGTCCCTTGTATTTTGATATTTTGATGCCTGCCAAACATCGGCTGCTCCAAGCGGCGTGAAACAATAGTGGGAAAGTCGCGTAACGCGTTGGTTAGTCAGCAGATGCGACAGCACGTGACTCTCATTAAAAGGCAAGAACGCGCCCATGAGGTCGGAAAAACTGCGGCTGTTGTTGCTGTTGGGTGTGTTACGTAATGCCACGAAATCTCATGCTGGGCCAGTAGGTAAAACGAGTGGGAATTGCAAATAATCTAGGGTACTAAGAGGATGCATCTTTAATTCTATATCCTCCGTACATCCGATCTACGTATATTTCGTTTATGAATGGCTGTGTATATGAGTGGTCGACTCGGCAGTTATTCTGTATCAACTGCTGTGAAAGAGAAACTGGCTTTCCCTTGTCAAGTTTGTTATCAATCTTGCTATGCAATTACAGGGCTAACAGAAATGGATACCTAATTACCGTTAGAACATTCCATCAGTACACCGGCTCGCACCCGCAAACATACAAACAGATCAAATGAACGCGTTATTATGCAATAGCATAGGTAGAAAGAGGCCGTATGAGAATTCCGAGGTGCATCCGTATCCACCTTTCCATTCTGAGTTGCATCATTATCAAAGGTAAAAATACAAGAAATCTGACTTGAGTTCTGAAGGTGTAAGCAGGTCACTTAGAATCATCTAAGAAGTACTTTTGAGGTCACTTCAGCCTTATACCTAGTAAACACAGAAGCCAGGACATGTGGCGGATTTATATCCACGGCTAACCGATCAAGATCTATATTCCCCGAGTTATCCAATTACATATTTCTCCACGGATTGTGATATATGCCTATTATAAGTCTATTTTTTACCCTATTGTAACCTCTGATTGAGGCAGCTCTCCCTTCCAAATCGCAGCATTGCACTCGCGGCTGTCGGCGGCATCGGTGGAGTTGCGATCAGATCTTCTTCCGGCCCGCACGGCTGGCTGACCGGCAGCCGGCCGGGGCCCACTCCGGATGCGGAGCATCAGCATTTGGCTATTGGCTGCAAGGAAACGGCTTTCGCCGCCACGCCGCTTTAAGCCGTGCATCTATTTTTTTCGCAAAATTTTACAGTACTCGCAAGGAAGTAAAGTACGTAAATATTATCTAAGAGTCATCGTTAGAGCCGGTGAGGTGAGCTGGCTACCAAGTTGTATATGTTGAGCTCGGAATTCGGCCCCTACAATAGTGAGTGGGCATAGGAGAAGGGAGCAAGGATTGGTCGCTGTGTTAAAAGGAGAATACCGTTGAACATTGGAATGTCTATGATAAGAACGCCTGGATCAATCACATGTTCTCCTCTTCAGTGCCGCTATGCCGCGAAGTTGCAATCTGCAACAAATCATGACGTGGACAATTGGTGTGAAGCAAGGGTTACATCTCGATCTTGGCCAATTCTTCTTAGTCGCGCCAAGGTAATCTTTTCGCCTTGTGGAGATACGGCTGATACACCGCTTGATCTGATAGGTAATTTGCTCCCTAAAAGCAGCGATGACAGTCGTGTATGCGCTTCTCGCAGGATGGCTGACCGGGAGAGTTCTGTTATCAGCTTCCCCTGAAAGCAGTGGCCATGAGTCCATGCTTCGGCGTGGGGCCGGCGGTTATCCAGTTTTTTTAACCGTGCCTCAGACGGATGTCGGTTCCGACGTTTGTATTAAACAAGACGAAGTTCCTTTGCTCCAACCTGTCAAACCCATTTTTTTAGTGCTTCCTTGCCTCCAAAACACAAATGCCTTGTCTAAATTGGCTGTGATCTAAAATTAATATTTCCCCTAGCTCTCTGGTTAGAGAATTGCAATCACAACTGCAGATCCGATGGCCGATACACAGGAAAAGCTCGCCACGACCCCTCAAGGCACTAGCCGAGAGGGGTCTATCTATCCCGAACAACAAACTCCACAGGCAGCTGAGAAGTCTCACCCAAACAATGAGTTTGTCGACTACTTCACACAGGAGGTTCGCACGACACTATTCGTTGAGCTACAACTACTGCTCATAACATTCTGTACAGGTATCCAAGGTAAATAGATACCCTCCCCATTCCAGCATCGTATCTTTATATCTAGATGCTAAAACAACTTCATTGAAGATGCAACTACGTTTCCAGACTATCACTGCTTTGCCTCGAACCAGACTGGCAACACCATCTTTCTTTGCCTGGCATTGATAATACCAAAACTGAACGGCGATATGTTCTACACTTCAAGTATTGGCACAGGATTGGGAGTCTTCCTGGGTGCAGGATGGTTGACTGGCCAACTGGGCCACATCGTTGGACCTCGGAAGCGATGGTGGCTTATTCTATGCAACTTGATTCAAACTTGTCTCGTCTTTGCTGCCACCGCAGTTCAATATCGATATGGAGTTGAAGACCACGGTCCGAAAGCCCTTATTGTTGTAGCCCTGCTGGCATTCGCCGCTGGTAGCCAGGTAGTCCAATCCCGAAGCCTAGCTGCAACTGAAATCAGTACTGCAATGGCGACTGCAGCCTGGGTAGACTTGATGATCGACCGGAGACTCTTTGTCGTGGACAACCGACCCCGGACGAGACGGGTTGCTTTCCTTTTAGCACTTGTCGTGGGAGGTTTGATCGGTGCCTTGCTCTATCGGACTGCCGGGTCAGCAGCGGCCCTGGCTGTGTCTGGAGCTGGCAAAGCACTCGCCAGTTTGCTGTACATTTTCTCAGGGGGTGAAAAGAAGAAAGTCGACGCATCGGAAGTTTGAGGTTAACGCAATCATGGAATTTTGTTTTCGGCTTTTTTTTGGTTTGGGGTAATGATTGGGTTGTTAAAAAGCGAGCGGTGGCATTTGCAATGAGCATACAGGTTTTAGATAGCGAGTTTTATTTTTCATGGCATTAGATAAAAAGCGGCATAGATGCACATGCTTGATTTAGAGAATTTTTACTTACTCATATTTTATTCAACATCTCCCACGATTCGTGCTCACGTTTGGTGATATTTGCTCCGAATTTTTCTGCGTGTTCATCATTTTGACTGCCTGCCGGTTAAGCCATGTGCAAGTACTTGGCGAACCCATCAAATAGACGGATTCAAGAGGCTGGTAGTGGCATGACATGAAATTGTGTTCTTCTAAGGAAATGTCTAGAAAATTGGAGAAGAGTGAGATGGAAGCTATCGGCATATGCTCAATAGAGAACGAGTCGATGATACCATTGCGCAAGTTGAGAATACGCAGCTGCGTATCCGTGGATCCTGTTTAGCCGATTTGAAGCGGTCAAAGACAGCCCCTGTGATCAATTGCAACAATCCTGCTCCCAATACCAAAGATGTGTGAGTGTACATGCAGATTCACAATCTTGTATGCTTTCTGCCCCTATCAATGAGCTTTTCAGGTGTTGTTTCGAGCTTTGCATTATCTCATCAGAGAGGAGTTGGTGTTGTACTGCACATTAGCGAATCAGCCCCCTGTCCCACCAGACCCACCGCTTTTCTGCCGTCTGCCTGTTCTGGCAATTCAAGCTGTCCGGAACTGAGAATTCTCCGCTCCGATCAGGCTGCCATAGTGGGGCCGGCCGCTCAATTGAGATCCAAGCCAAGCTTCAACCAGGCATCAGCGGGCCTTGACTGGAGATGGCTTCGTTTGTCTCTTGATCCTGGCGCCGGTCACGAGTTTTCGCGATGCATCATCCCAGCTGCTTTAGGCAGCACACCAGGATCAACGCGTTTCGCGTCGGGCTCCGTCCTCTTTCAGCTCCAAACGCCACGTTTGACCGCCAAGATGCTACTGTCGGAGAGCGTTAGCGGCAGTTCCACGGCCTTAGTGGTACGAAGCGTCGAACCCGTCTTCGTGATGACATGGGAATAGTTGCTGTGCTTGCTCTAGCTCCCGACGGTCGAGACATGTATAAAGCACGCAGATGCTCCCGGTCGTTCTCGAGGCCTAACTCCAAGGCAGTTCACACAATCACGAATCTCTTCTTCTCCTCTCAATCGAACCCAATTCGTCGTGCTGTGCCTCGTTGTTCTCCTTTTTTTCTATCGTCTGCTCTTCATCTTCGAAACATTCAATTGCCTCACCGTGCAATATTTCTTTCTGCTTCCTACTCTACGAAGCCTTCAATCGAGTCGGACTCACCAGCAAGAATGGCTCTCGGAGACTTCCCCAAACTACCTGCGTCCCAGGTGGACCTGGTGAAATACATTGCCCAGAACCCAGATAAGCCCATGGTGGAAATCATGGAGCCGTATCGCAAGTTTGAAGCTCACTTGCGCTCTGTTTTCGCGCAAGACCGACAAAACCCCATCCTCGATGACCATTACCTCAATGTTGTGCCTCTCTTTACTGATGATACCAAGGACATCACTGTCCGTGCCCGAGACCTGGCCGCTGAGTCGGAGGAGGAAAAGTCCAAGTACATCATGGCTTTGCCGGATGACAAGCGTCGTCCCCACGGATCACCAGCAACTGTTGCCGACTTGAGCGAGTTTCAAAAGAACTTTAACATATTCTCAGAGTCTTCTCTCGCTGAACTCGATTGGAACAACGTTGTGGCAGCTGGCTCCTCTGTAGTCAACACGCTGCTGCCAGTTCCCAAAGAGTTTAATGTGAACAAGAGGAAGCTTCGAGAGTATTATCATGAGAAATTTTGCCCCGCGTCCGATGTTGACCTCTTCTTATACGGTCTCACCCACGAAGAAGCCATCGAAAAGATTAAGCAGATTGAGCAGTCCATTCGTGATTCCATCTTGAGCGAAGTCACTGTTGTTCGCACGAAGTACGCCATCACCATTGCCAGCCAATATCCCGTTCGGCATGTGCAGGTAAGCGTAACCCCTCTCTACATGCAGATCTAGTCAGCATTCTCATTCACCTGGCTTCCCACAGGTTGTTCTCCGTGTCTACAAGTCGATCAGCGAAATCTTGACCGGTTTCGATATCGATGCCGCTGGCGCCGCATACAATGGCAAGCAGGTTTACGTGGCTCCCAGAACTCTCGGCAGCATTATTACTCAGATCAACCACGTGGATCTCACCAGACGCAGTCCTTCTTATGAGAACCGTTTGTCCAAGTATTCTCACCGGGATTTCGAAGTCTACTGGCCTGAGCTTGACAGATCACGCGTGGACCCGACAATCTTTGAGAGAAGCTTCCAGCGGACATTGGGACTTGCCCGTCTGCTCGTCTTAGAACGGCTTCCAACCACGCATGCTCGTGATGCCTATCTCAACAAGAGGCGTCAAGAGCGTGGCAGGCCCGCGCTACAACGCAATCACTTCCACCTCCAAGGAAACCTCAAGTCCTACCACGAAGACGAGGTTGCCGATTGGCTCTCGGAGGAAGACATTAGCAACTACCACACCTTTACCGTTCCCTATGGCGAGAAATTCAACGCAAAGCGAATTGAGAAGCTGTGCTACACTAGAGATTTACTTCTCAACGCTGAATGGAATCAGCCAAAAGAGCGTGAAGTGTACCTGCATCGCCACCCTGCATTCTTTGGACGGGTGGAGGATGTGATTGAAGATTGCTGTGGTAGCTGCCCTAAACCGGTGACTCCAGAAGAAATCGAAGCCGCCGAGAAGGAGGCAGAGATTTACATCTCTGGCAAGGTCACGTTCCTCATTGACGATCCCGGCAGGCAGCAGATCGGATCGTTTAATCCTCTAACGGAGCAAGACTGGACGGACATGGCTTACATCGGCAACACCGCTAGACTGTTCCAATCGATTGCTGAAAATGATGCCGATGACGTCTTGAATTGGCTCTCTCAAGAAGGCGCAGATCCAAACCAGAGGGACTATACCGGACGTGCCCCGCTTCATCTTGCGGCCATGATTTCTTCTCCAGAAGTTGTCCGCCATCTAGTTGATCGTGGCGCTCGCCTAACAGCTCGTCTTGCGGACGGCAAAACAGCTCTGCATCTTGCTGCCGCCAGAGGTCATGCTGAGATTATCAAAATTTTGATGGACAAGAGTGACGAGAACGAAGAAGCTGAAGAAGACAGGAAAGACAGGAAACGCAAAGCCACCAGAGCCCAAGGGTCTGAGAACAAAGAAGACGCTCAGAAGTCATCTGAGGACGCCGAGAATGCAGAGGAGGACTCAGATGTTGAGCTTGTGGATAACGCCGAAACAGAGACCGAGGTGCACTCTATCGTCACTGGATCTTTTGTCAAGGTGGAAAAGAGCGCGGAGGACAAAGAGGAGTCCGCGCTCGAAGAACCCGAGGAGGGACCAGACTTCTACCAGATTAACGTCCTTGCATGGGACATCCCATGCTCTCCGCTCCATCTCGCTATTGCTGGAGGACATGAAGACGCTGTAAAGGCTCTTTGCGATGTGAGTATCATGAGAACTTTTCTATATCCTTTTCATCATGTTTTGCTTTTATTGTTTCTAATGCGAAGTAGTACGGTGCCGACTCTATCCTTCCAGTCAAATTCCTATCTACCAACATACACTCAAATATAGCTGGCGCTATTCTAACCATGACACTTGCATTGTCACTACCATCAGAGAAGGCCAGGTCTATGGCCCAGTTGCTTCTCAAGCTGGGTGCCACATGTTCCCAGGCAGATGCCGATGGATGCACCGTCTTCCATCGCTATGTGGACAGCGGGAAGGTAGACATGGTTGAAACACTCATCGACAACGACCCAAGGGGTGTTCAAGCGGCCATCAACCATTTGTTCTTTTCTGGCTACATGTGGAGACCTGACATCATATCACCACTTCAGTCTGCTCTCGAAAAAGGCGATCCTATTCTCGTCCTCAAGGTCCTGAATGCCGGAGCCTCGGTCGAGATCGACTTTGATGCTTGGCTAAAGTCAGCAAAGGTGGCTCCCTCGCAGACCAGCAATCTCGGAAACCTAGAACAAACAAAGAAGAGATACGAGGAATCTATAGAGCAGCCATTGATCGCTGCGATTCGGTCAGGTAACACCGCCTTGGTGATCCAGCTCTTAGAAAAGGGGGCAAATCCCAACTCGGTCACGCGTGAGACCCAGTACGCATTAGCGAATGAGTCTCAGCGCAACTGGACTACAGGAGCCACCGCATTGGACATGGTCAAGCGTCTTATAACGAAATTGCGCGAATACACTGGAGAAAAGCATGCGGCTAGAGAGCCTGAGAAGCAGCCAGGTATCGATTCTTACTTGGAAAAATTTGAGCCTGGTACCTATCAACATTGGCTAGTTGCTTTCAAGGTCAAAGCGGCTCAAGACAGGTACCAAACCGAAAAAGACAATTACGAGAAAGAGGTGCGGAGAGTGGCTGAGCGCAGAGGAAACGCTGAAAAGGTAAAGGCCATCAAGGAAACCATTTCTGACCTCGTTGAGCTTGAGAGCATCCTTGTTGCCAAAGGCGCGCTGGTATTCAGTGAACTCTATCCAGACATCAAGATGGATAACCGCCACAACTACAGCTACATCCCTCCTGAACCCCCAAAGGTTACAGAGTTTGAGTATAAATTCGTGTTCAATGGAGACAGCGACATGACCGAGGGGAAGAAGGATGGATATCTTCAATTGTACGCCCACGAGTTCGCTTATTCTGTACTTTTGACGTAAAACTAACACTTGAGCTTAGGATGCAGGCAGCCTGGACTGGAGATATCGGGACAATCAAATCCCTAACGCTCCAAGCTTGGGGCCCCAATAATGAACAAGCACCACTTAATATGGCTATTTTTGATGACAGCCGTAACTCCCCATTCTCCGTTGCCTTCCTTCGTGGCCACTACCAGACGGCCAAGGCCATGCTGGAGATTATCAGGGCCCAGTGGTCGGCACCCGAGAAGGAAAAAGTCCGCTACAAGATGCAGTCACGAGACGAGGATGAAGAGGATGAAGAGGATGGAGATGATGAGGGAGAATCGGACAATGAGCTTCGAATTGTCTCAGAGACGATTGACCAAGCCTTCACTATTGATGATATTGGCAAAGTCTCTATGCAGGTCAAATCTCACACCAGGCCCATTGATGTCATCCGAGCCAATGCACCAGGTATTGTGAAGAAGAAAGACGGGTCGATTCAATTTGGTGCCACCCTAAGTCTCTTTGTACATGCCATCAACGACGAGGACACGGCTGGCCTGAAATTCCTTCTAGGGCTAGTGAGTGAGTACGAGCAGACGGAGACGACTGGTGACGAAGACGAGTCTGTTAAGAGATTCAACCTGGAATCCAATGACTTCCTTTCAGCAGTGCAAAGCGGGAACACGGAAGCTCTCAGCCTTCTTATCAAGCGAACCGGTGCAGGGATTCCCTTGGACCATCTCGTCAAGAAGAGCGGTGCCGAGTTGAAGCAAAAGCCCCGCTTCTACCAAGGATTGACGGTTTATGGAAAGAAGAGGTATGAAGATTCCATCCAGGATTGATGAGCGTGTTGTAACTGACATTCTTATAGAAAGGATTGGGCACAGGCCGGGCGAAACATGGTCGTCAGGACCACCGGCCTTCAAACGCCGCCTCTTCTTCATGCAGCACTCGGTGGTCGCATTGAAGCAGTCGAATTCTTCTTGAGCGACAAGCCTCATCGTCTATATAGCGAGTTTGCCAAGTCCAAGGCCGCCGCCGAGGATCCCCGGCTCAAGCATCTCATCCAAAGCCCAGTCGGCTTTGACCGGGTCATATCCAAGTGGCTTGGCGCAGACAGTAAGTGTTCTTCATCGTATAAGAGAATGAGAGACGGAGTGTATGCTAACAGAAGGGTTCACTAGATGATTTCGTGCTGCATACGGCCATCTTGGCAGGACCATCCAAGAACTCCATCGAGCTGGTCAAGTATTTGATTGAGTCCTACCCGGAGTCGATTGAGAGGAAGACATCTAACGGCGATACGCCTCTGTTCATTGCCTGTCGTCTCGGCTACGTCCATTTTGCGAAGCTGTTAATCGGCGCAAACGCCGACCAAGCTACCCGCAACCATATGGGAGAGAACATCTTGCATGCGGCCGTGGCTGGCAATCCAAAGGCGGCTAGCCTTCGTCGCCTTCTCGACATCATCGACCCCGGTCTTCGAAGTCACTTGTTCACGGAGCGCAAAAGCCTGCAGGCGAATGGTCTGACGCCGCTACATGCTTGGATCTCCCAAGCTTCCGGTGTGGTTAACGATGATTACGCCGTAACATCGAGGCGCAGGAGATACCACTACCATCACCAGCCGTCGTCGCCTTATTCTAGGACGGAGGACGTTGTGGATATGCTGAAACTCATGTTGGAATATTCCAAGGGTGAGGAACTGGACATGCTCAACGGCGCCGGTGACACTTGTCTCCATACTGCCATTATGCAAAGGATGATTTCCATCGTCAAGATCCTCATCGACTTCAAGCCTCAGCTCCTGTACAGAGAGAACGCCGTCGGCCGCACGCCTGCCGAGGTGGCACATGACAAGGTCACGGCCGACCAATTCCTCCAACAGAACAAACTGCAAAGTACGCGAACCGACAAGCTCGACACCTGGCCCACCCAGGCCGCCAGCACCTTTATCAAGTGCTCGACCATCGAGGGCCTGAGCGACGATCAGCTTCGAGAGAAGGTCGTCGAGCTCGGTCTCAGCGACCAGTACAAGCCCGCCCAGGTCGCCGCCATCATCGGCCTAGTCGGACTCGCGCCGAGCCAGGAGACACTCTTTGATGCGGCTCGCAACTCCGTCATCTGGGATCTCTGCAAGACTTGCATGGACAAGAACCCCGGCAAGCGCCGCCTCGTCAGCCTCAACGAGGCCAATGACGTCGCCAAAAGACTCGGAGAGAAGCACACCGCCTCGCGATACTTCTCCATTCATGCCCGCGCAGAAGACGATGATGAGGAGCCCAAGGACGATGAGGAAGAGAAGGACACGAGGGATTTCGCAGCCCAGCAGCTGTCTTCGAAACTGGGTTGGGCTTGGAGATTCGACAGCTTTGTCGGCAAAGATTTTGGTCTTGAAAAGTGCGGCGAGTGCAAGTCGTATCATGATGGGCTATGCAGATGAATGTGGGTATGCCAAGCGGAGGGCAAGTATCTGCTACAGTAGTTGTATTCCCTATAGTATTTACTACTATATCTATATTTGTTCAATAACTGCTACTATATCTATATTCTCTTGCTACTATTTATATAGGACAATTCGGGTGCTGGCTAAATAGGCGTTCACTTGTAGAAGCACTTCATACTTCATGTAATAATTACCTAGGTGCTTATACCTCTGAATGTATGCTCACTTGTAGAAGCACTTCATACTTCATTTGATGATTAGATGCTTATATCTCTGAATGTATGCACCCATTTATTTGCAGTCTTGCTTTTTCTGATCTCCGCCTGCCTGCTCTTCACAGTAGAAATTGTGCTGCCTGCTCTTCACAGTAGAAATTTAGCTATATATAAGTAGAAAGAAACAACGGTGAACATGAATGATTACACAATAGGATTTGAAAGACATAAACTACTATGTATTGATATTGAGATATTTGAACAATGTGACTTCTTTTCGTTTTCGCATAACAAACTTGATGAGAGAGTGGTGAAACCAACCTCGCTCTCCACGCAAGGAATACTTTCCAACATGTTACATATTTTCCAATTCAACCCACCAACAAAGCCGGCCAATCGGATCCGCAGCCCAAATCATCTTACAAGGTTACACGAGCCAGCTCACGACCTAATAGTAACGCACAGTTCGGGGAGCACCATCACCCCAAAGTCCAACCACAGACAGCACAAAGGCGGCAGCGGCAAAGCCGGTCTTGACGAGATATGCCCTCGCAGCACCCTCAACATTGGCTCTGACTTCCTCGCCATTGACATCCTCCAGCTCAGACTCGCTGGGCAGGTCTCCCTCACTGTGCGAGTCGCCCAAGACCTCATAGCTCGCTTCCATCCGGGCTCTGGATGAGGTGGCCTTGCGTGCGCCAGTAGGCTTCGAAGCTGTTGCAGCCGGCTGTGGAAGGTATCCGGGCACTACAACAGACAGCACGGCCAGAACGGACGTATAGAAGAGGTACGGGTGGCGAGCGTATCGCGGGGAGCAGATGAACGACAGGAAGAGCGGGGCGGCGGCCAGGGACGAGAGAGCGAGAACGGGGAGACGCAACGAAGATTGCAGCGAGGTTAGGGCGTGTGCGGCGGAAGACGACGAAGGGAGCTGGAGGAGAGTTGGGAGAGTGACGGCGGAGACGGTATACGAGACGCCCTGCGATGCCGGAGAAAGTCAGCAAACGAATTCCTTTTGCACGACACAGCAAAAGCTACGAGTGATCCATGGCAAAATGCGATTGTTGCCCCGCCCGCTGCCATTCCCCAACCTCCAATTCCGCAGAGCTGAAGCTGTCGCTTTGAGCTGGCGGGGAGGCTGAAAGCGATGCAGCCGAACATGCGACTCGAGGAGGGGGAGGGGCAGCCGGGCTTTTTTCGTCGTCTTTGCTGCAGAAGGAAATAACGGAGAAACTTGCCGTCAACAGCCCGAGGGACACGGTGCCCACGAATTTGAGGACCGAGATCCCCTTTGCCATGGTGATTGAATTGTCTGCTGTGTTGGTTTATGTGCTGTTGCGATCAAAGCTGCCTTTGTGAGGAAGCAAAAAGCGGGAGCTATTCAGAGTTTCGGAAGAGAAATTGAGTTAAGAGAGGCGCCCAGAAAGAGAGGCTCCGGTAGTCGCAAAAAGATAACGCCGTGCCTGCCTTATTGAACAAGCTGGGTGCAGATAAGGCAGTGACACTGGTTGGACGTCACGTCATGCTCTTTAGGAAGCAACGACGGGGAGCTATTTAGTAGTTTGTTAGCAAATAGGCCTAGCAGTTGAACGTTAGGCAGTAGCTGCTGCGACTCGCTGCTTCCCCGTCTGGCCTCGGTTGACATAGAGAAATTATGGAGCACGTTCTTCCGGCAGTGAATGGGGACAAGTTGAAAGTCACTTTAGTGGGGCGCTAACAGCAGCTCTGAGGTCTCCACTTAATGCGGGTGATTCACGTGCCTGGGCAAACAGCTTTGCGGTGCCACAGCCGCAATTTTTCTTTTTCTCTTAAAAACTCTCTCTTGCATATATCAAGCTCAAATTTGCATTCGAGGTTTGTCTATGGCAGCCTTTCTGATGGCTTGATTCGCTCTTTTCTTTCTCTATTTTTCTTTTCTTTTCTTTTCTTTTTTTTGCCCTTTCTTCTTCCTTCTTTCCATATAACAAACAGCCAGTCTCATAGCTGTATAAATAAACCGTACGTTATTTTCACTTCTCCAACGGCAACTCCTCGCGCGCCGACATCACGCACACAAAACACACAATCTCCTTCTCCTCGCTTTACATGATGAACAACCTTGCACCCAATTCACTTTTAGGAAGAGCCGTCTGAGACTGCCTCCGATTGGCCGGTGCGAGCTTCCCCCCTGGGAGGCTTGCGTCTGTCGGTCCTCTGGTCGCTTCCAGCAGGGCCGCCGTGGGATTCCGCGCCCAGTTTGCATCGTCATATGCGCAACTGGGCGTTCCGCGGCGGTCGTGCTGGCGGCGGTGGGGGTCGTAGTGCTTATAACTGGGTTTCTGAAACAAAGAGTTGAAGACTTGTTGTGATTTTCTACATCCGCTTTGCAATACATGTTTTACTCGAACGAGTGCTAACTCACTCTTGATAGTTGAATCACACAGGTCGGCGACGACAAACTAATCTTCGAGAGGATATTGCCGTCCGATATTCATATTTGGTCATCAATTCGTCATATCTTTGTAGTTTCCTCCACGCAAATAGCTCCCGTAATATGTATATGATACAATACAATACCATACTCCCGTCTCAGAATAATTCTTCCTTTTTATCGCTAGCCGTTACTTGACGCCCGTGACCCACTTGTAGCTAACATTAAACATCACTATCGTCACTGTCCAGCAACGCCGGTCTTACGCGTCGCCTCCTCTTAGTTGGTGCCGCCTCTTCAGACGCTTCTTTCGCTCGTCCTTGCATCCTAGACGGGCCAGCAAGCGCATTCAATTCTGGAACTCCATCGCTTTCTTGGGTTGCCGTGAACTGAGTTGGCACAAAATAGGGTTTGCTTGTCCCTGCTCGCGGCGTCCGTTCATTGGGCTTAATAGGAGACGTCGCTTGGGAATCAAGCATGCTGGATGTTGCTTGGTCGTCCCCAACGACAAAGTCCACCAAGTCAGCTCCGTCATCTGAGTCGCTCTCGTCAAGCAGATCGCTATCCCTTTCGCAATCATCTCCAATCTCATCACTGCCAATGGCAGCTTTCCGTGAATATTTTCCTTTTGACTTGGCATTCAGCCTTTTCTGTCTTTTAGCTTCGCTAAGTCGGGGAGGCAGCCCAGGCTCCTCCTCTTCAATGTCCATGTCAAGATCAGAGTCAAACAAATCTTCGTCTTCCGGCTCCAATACACGCCGAGCAGCAGGCTGTGAGATCTTTTTGGGTTGAGTCTTTTTCGGCTGAGTCTTCATGGTCGAGACCTTTCTCCTCTTCGGCTGCTGGACCTCGAATACCAAGGAGTCATCATCTGATTCGACTTCAATGGCTTGTCGCTTTTTGCCGTCTGCTACAGCTTGATCATCGCTCGCATCTGTCTCGCCATTATCAGAATACACAAATGGCTTTACTGGAATTTCAAGATAATCGCTCGTGTCCACGTCTCGGCAGGGTCTCACAAGGCTATCAGCCTTCCCCAGCTTTTGCAGCAGCTTGACACAGCCTTTTGTATAACTCCCGTGAGGGACGAAGGCTGTCGGGCGTAGCTGTCGCTGCAGCGTTGGATGAGCTTCCATACTCGGCAAATCACTTTCGTCCAACATGCTACGGTTGAATGGTAGATTCCGGTACGTTCGCTCGAGCTCGTAAAGCTCATCCGAGCCAAGAACAACACGTTCCAATTCAGGAATCGCTATCACATCATCTAGTTCAGGGTTTCGCTTTGGCTTTGAACTCGACTTGGACGCACGCTCTCCCGGGTTTGTCGAGACCTTCATAAAATCACTGACTTTTAGAAACCCAGTCTGGACTCCATCCGGCATATGGAATTTCTTGGGTGGTTTCTTTTTACCCTTGGGAACCTGTCGTTTCTTGGGTTCTGGTAACGACTTATCTTGAGTATTCTCAACCGGAATCTCAACATGCCGCATGTCCACTTCGGGCCGTATGTCTCGGGGCACAATGCGCGTGGAGAGATCAAACCGAAAATTGAACCGGCTTCCTTCGCAAATGAGCTTTTGCATCTTTTCGTAGTTATCCTTCGACTTGGCAAATTGGTCCTCCTCTTTGCCCCTCATCAGGAGCAGCGCAATGTTACCTGCTCGTTTTCTTCCCGTTCTGCCCATGCGCTGTAGCATGCGAATTGGAGAAGCTGAAGAGTCATAGCAGACAATAAGATCAACCTGGCCAATGTCCAAGCCTTCTTCTCCAATGGACGTGGCAACGAGGACGTTGAAGGCGCCGGTCTTGAACTTTTCAATCGTGTCTATTTGCTGCTTCTGCTTCATACCCTCGCCGCGCTTGCCATCTGCCTGCCCAACAAAGACGGTAGCTTTGATGAGTGGTCGATGGGTGTTGAACATGCGCACGATTTCTTCAGCGGAATCACGATACTCGCTGAATACTATCACTCGAGTCCCCTCCCCGTTATCCATGAAATGATTCAAGACACAATCAGCCAAGGCTGTGAGCTTTGGGTGTCCCACAAAGCCGTCCAGCTTGAGCCACCCAGCAATTTTATCCATCATTTCTTGAAAACTGGCACTATCGATGATTTGGCGTCTGTACTTGGACCCCTTCTCGCCTTTGTCTTCTTGTTCGCTGCGGAAGTCGACCATGTTATCGTAGAAAGGTTTGATGCCATGAAACTGCAATAGTTTGATCGAATGAGCAAGACTCGTCAGCACGCTGAATATTGCCCGCATCATGAACTGGACGCCTTGGTTCGCGCGATTCCCACGCGTAGCAAACCACTCCTTCTGTGCCTGAATCAAGCCATATGTTGTCAGAGCCATCGGGTTCCGCCCATACCATATATTTTGGGAGCTAAGTTTCTCCGTCAACGGCTTGAGAGCTTCAGTGAAGAGCTCACTGATGAGGTTCATCTCGTCTGAAGGGTCGAGGACTATCTGGTCGATATTCCGCTGGTGCACATACTGCCGAATGTCAAGGGACTCCTCGGTTCGGATTTCGCAGTGAGAAATCCCCAGATTGTCAATGACCTCTTGCACCGTCTCAACTTTCGAGCCTGGCGTAGCCGTCAGAGCCAGGACCCGAAAACTGTTGGAAAATCGGCGAATGAGCTTAGTAGCTTTAGCATACGCATATTCGCCCACAGCGCGATGCGCTTCGTCAATGACCATGAGACCAATACTCTTTGGGTCTGCATACCCATGAGAGAGATCATTCAGGAGCGTTTGTGGTGTCATGAAGAAGACTCGTCTCTTTTCCCACTCGTCACTCCGCAGAGCAGGAGCAATGTCACCGGTAAGGAGTGTGGTCTCTGATCGAGGTATTCCCGCAATGTTGTAACAAGCATCTATCTGCTGCGTTACAAGCGGCTTTGTCGGCGCCACAAAAACGATTTTGGCTGTCTTCGTCCAGCGGTAAAAGTTGAGCATCACCGTAGCAGCGATAAACGTCTTCCCCAGACCAGTCGGCAACGCTACCAGTGTATTATTGAACAGGCTGTTTCTAACAATACTGAACTGATAGTCTCGAGTTGGCCCCAGATTTGTTGGATACACCCAAGTCTTCAATGCCTCTCTATCGAGCTGATGAGGGCTAGGAGGTTCAGGGGGCAGATCAGCGCGATAGACCCTGGTAGTCGTGGTCTGAGATGGGCGAGGGGCATCTTCCGTCGCCGCTTGGCCACCCCATAACGTGGTTTGTCGCAAAGTTCCAGAATTCGTGCGGCTGAAGCCAGTGCGAGCCGCCACCACAGGCTTTGTTGGACCCCTGGCAGTCTGTCTCACAGGCTCTGGTGAAGAGAAGGCATCTGAGGGCAAATCATTCAGCTCCTGTGCTGCCCACTGCTGCTTATTCGGGTTACCGGTGTTGTTCTTAGAGCCATTCGAAGATGATGTAGACACAAGCTTCCCTCCATTAGATGAAGACACTTGATCAAAGGCAGCGAGAATGTCCTCATCGGCGATATCGTCATCAAACTCGTCGGAATCCATGGCGACCAGAAACCATGTAGTACCATGCAATATGGTCGCTGGGATGCTAAAAAGTCTCCAGTTTCATGTCTCCGAAGTATTCTTCAGGCTATTAGAAGGTAGTGAGTAACTGATGTAATTTCCTTGCGATGGCGATGCTGGCCTCGTAAATACTATGATGCTCATCCTGTAGTATTTCAGGCAGCATGTCGCCAATGTGACGCGCCAAACGACCGCCAGGACGCGAAAACGGTACCATATCACGTGATTTAAATGGACTGTCATTTGCAAAGCGCAACGACCGGAATATCTTGGTTGAGAGGTAGCTCCGTACATCTGTGCCTCTGGCATGGGCAAAGTTCCTTTAAGAAGCGCTCGGATTTAGCAACAAAAGAAATAGAAGAGAGCTTGTGTACATGTTTCATTCACTCAAAGAGACTTTTCAAAGCTCGTTTGCGTTTTCTCAAAGATGAACAACAATCACTGCAGAATTTATTTATAGTTTCTTGATCTACCTTTCACTTGCCCATGTCCCCTATGCAAACAAAGGTACACGCCCGTTCCTGTGAGATCCAAAGGCATTCGGAACAAATCCAGGCAGCCACTAGGCTTTATTAGGCAATGGTGCACGCCTGGAGAAAATCCGGCTGACTGCCTGCCTAGTACCGCAGGCTTAGCAGCTTAACTGACTTTCTCAGCGGGTCCCGAAACAAACATCAAATCCTCTACATACACCAGTCCAAGCCTTGTTTTCTTCTTCTACAACCATTTTCCAGGGCGAGGCTGCACGACAACGCCGCCTGAGCATCTCTGGAGTGTTCTCGTACGACTCCCTATATAACAGGACTCGAGTCCTCTCTCAGCGACCAGAATTTTCGCCTTCTTTCAGCACATCCCGCGCTTTCTGGGAGAATCAGCCGCCGCGACAGAGTTTCAAGAGGCCACCGCGGCTTCGCCTGATCTTCCCGAGTCTCCTGCGCTCCTTTGCCAGGCGAACGCAACTCTTCACTGAAATAAAACAACAAAAACAACATCTCGCGCCTCTCAGAACATTTAGCGAAACCAGCGTCACAGCTGCTAGCAAGGAAGGTCAAGTCCCAACCATCGGGGCCGACCCGACGAAGGAACCATCAGCAGCGCCGCGCGGGCTCAACATCCCTCTTCCGCAGCCGACTCTCACATCCCACCGTTCAGACTACAAAGTTTTCGTGGACCATTTGCGACCATGGCTCCTCGCGGGAGAGGTCAGTCGACTCGAGAGGCTCGAAATCCCCTGGGCGCAAAATCAAGCTCCAGGGGCGGCATTCAGAAGCGAAGAGGCCCGACGAGAGTCGACACCGATGGAGATCTCGACATGGACGGCCCATCAAAGCGGCCAAACAGAGGTCCTGCGACCGAAACAAGCGGTGGCAGAGGCAGACCCTCGGGAAGAGGAGGTCCACAGCCATCTAGGGGGGCTGCCAAGGTTGCTCAGATAGTAATGAAGCAACTTGGAGGCGGTTCGGACTTGGCTTCCCGAGTTTCAAGGCCAACAAGAGGTCGAGGCGGCCAAATCGAAGGGCTTACTTGGCTAAGGGTTCGTGGCCTCAAACAAAGCAAGGCTGCGTCCAATTCAGATGGGGGCCTCTCTGACCTGCTGGGCTTCTTGGAAAGGAAAGCCTCTTCCCTCGGAACTGGACGGAAACGACACATTACGATTCGAAAGGTAAGCCAATCATTGACGAAAATAGCAGGGGTGCCAACTTGAACCGACGTCTCAGCTGCTTCTTTGGCGACATGGAAGTCACACATCTTCGGGGAGATCCTTGACGTCGAATTTTATTTCGCCCCAGCGCTTGAGGTTGAATATTCTTTACTTTTTCTTGGTTGCTAACCCGACATAGTCACAGAGAGCTGGGGAATACGTTTTTGTGGGGGCCAACAAGGAGGACGCGGAGGAAATTCTCAAGCTCAACAGGTTTACATTTGCCGGCGTTCAGCTGGAGGTGGTAGAGTCTAACGCTGACTTTGAGCCGTCAAGCAAGGCGACAGAGTCACCGGAGACGGCAGAGCTACGCGCAAAACTTCAGTCGATTCTCAGTCAACGCTATATTGGCGAAAACAAACTACTCAAGCTCGACGCTCTGGCCTCTGACCCCGAGCTAGTCACTCTTGGCATGTTTGAAACCCGAGAGAGGGCGCTCAAGACCTTCAAGGGCCTCATGGCAATCTGCGATGGTCTCTTCAAAACGGCTCAGGAAAAGAAGGACGCGATTCACAGCATCAGCCTCGCTAATAACAGCATCGACAATGTTACCCAGGTGGAGTCCGTAGCAGCGTCGTTCCCACAGCTAAAGAACCTGGACATGAGTAGCAACCAAGTCAGCAACATGGACGGACTCCAGCGATGGAAGGGGAGGTTTCAAGAGCTCGAGACCATTTACATGGCCGGGAACCCGATCGAGGGGACAGATGCCAATTATAAGGCTACTCTCCTCGAGTGGTTCCCCAAGCTCCAAAATATCAACGGGGTTGAACTTCGCACTGCGCAGCAAATTGCCGAGCAAGAGGCCGCCCGACAGCCAAAACCGATCCCTCAGAGTGGACCTGACTTCCGGGATGTCAACGGCATTGGCGAACAATTCCTACTCGATTTTTTTGCAGCATACGACACCAATCGCGAAGGACTTATATCCAGGCTATACGACGCTGGCAGTCAATTTTCCTTGGCCGTGGACGCTGTTTCGGTCAGGGACCCAAACGCACCGCCTCCACTACCTTGGGCTGCCTATATCAAATCATCGCGCAACTTGATAAAAATCAGCACCCACCACGCCAGATCACAACGACTATTCAAGGGGCAGTCGATCATCAACGACCTGTGGAAGGAACTCCCTATGACCAAGCACCCCAACATGAAGGAGGAGCTGAGCAAATATATCATGGATTGTCATCCGCTGCCAGGTCTGGCCGACCCCACAGGTCAAAGCCAGCTGGGTGTCGATGGCTTAATCCTTGCTGTTCACGGCGAGTTCGAAGAGTACGACCAGAAGTCGGGAACCACTGGCAAGCGTAGCTTCTCTCGCACTTTTGTGCTCGGGCCAGGCCTATCCGGAACCGCTCCGATCCGAGTCGTCAGCGACATGCTGTCTCTGCGAGCGTACAGCCCCCTTCCAAACGTATTTGTCGCACCTGCACCGGCCCCCGTGGATGCGGCAAACCAGCATCAAGCAATGATTGCCGAGCTGTCAAAACAAACGGGCATGGTGCCTCAGTACTCAGAAATGTGCCTGTCACAAGTCGAATGGGACTTTGGCAGAGCCTTGGTCATCTTCAACGAGAAGAAGGTATGTTTACATTATTCACTTTGTTTTTCTTCGGGGCTAGCAGCTCACGCGTTTCATTATAGACACAACTACCACCGGAAGCATTCGCAGCAGCCGTCTAGCAGGCGGGCTGTTTTGTGCAATGCTCCCATTGCAATCAGCCTACCCACATTGGGCTATTAGATAGGAAGGATTGACAGGAGAAATGGGGCAATCCTTGTATGGAACTTTGTGTCGCTATAATACATTGTCGGTTATTTATAGAGATCGGTATCTGGGAAGTAGGGGTTCCGTGTTCGTGTATTACATGCGTGGCAAGGGGGGAGGAGAGATGAGGAAAATAGAAGCAAGAAATTGCAGACAAAAAAAAAGAGCGCTGCATTGAGCTGGATGATGGGAGGATATGTGAATTTTGAAATACCAATTGAAGCTGTGCGTGTGTTACCATTCTGTGATACTCAATCGCCTTGTCGTAATCAGCTGCTCTGAAGGCATCTGTCTCAGTATTACTGACGATAGTCCACCTGAAGTGCAGCCAACCACGTGCCACTCTCGATGTCTACAATGCAGGAAATTCTGCACCCACTGCGGATCAGCCAATGAAGAAGGAATGATTTGTCCTCGCGAGACCTCCTATCCACGCGTCAGATTGAGGCCCAGAGGGAGTGACGCAAGACAGATGGATACAACGGCTCAGTGCCAAGACCACGTGCAAGATCACCAACAGGGGCTGTCGCAGGTGCTGCAGATTTTGATATGATTCTGCCTGTGCGGCGCTTCAGTGTGTGGTCGTGCATATACATAGGTATGAAGATGTTTTATGTTTATGAGCGGATCATTGTAGAGGATGGATGGATGTTTAGCAGTGGGAGATTGGAATATGGACATGTGAGAACTGCCCGTTGTGTGATGGCCCTGTCTGTCTGTACACAGCGGATCAAGACGCAATATGGGGACCAATACGAAGTAGCATAGCCCATATGCCAAGAACAGAATTAATTCCGCATCTAATGAGCAAGTTCCGTGGTAAGACAGCGGAATATACGGAGTACTGAAGCGTTGGTGTCGAATACTTTGGTGGCAACCGAGCATTACAAGTGCCTACCCTATATGCCAAAACAAAAAAATAAAAATTTACGCGTTTATTGCCGATGCAAGCGAATAACTTCCAGGTCAGGAAATCAGTCAACTGAGAGAATGGGCAAAGGAGCTGAAGCAAATCAGGATTGGTCTCGTCGTTTCGTGGCTGGGAGTTGTCTGTAGATGTATCCCAACCTCTCTTGAAGGGAGTTGCTTCGACATTATGAACTCGCCCTCGCTTTGATACCAATGCAAGGAAACACTGCCACGGATCTAACTAAATATCCGGTGGGCTCAGACTCCGTGCTCTCCACTAGACTCTTCCAGTAAGGTAGCCAAGGGATCATTTGCACCAAACCCTCTCATCGCCACAAGAAGCTTATACTATCCCTCCCTATTCCTTGATGCAGTGCACCCAAACTGATCGTAGATGCTTCAATTCATTAGATTCGGCCGACGCTACCTTATTTCTTGATTGACCGCCGACCGGCCCTGCAATATTCCGGACTCTGCTTGTAAGCACTGCTGGTAATAGTAGTACGACTCCATTCTCGTACATTTCTTGCACTTGATTCGCCCCTCTCCACTCGGGTTGTCAGTTCTTTTCCTCGACAAGACGTGATTGACGCGGAGAGAGACGAGCCCATGACCGGGTTCGATGCAGATGGAGTGATGACCGTAGATGGCCGGGTCCTGTTAGGGGCTTTGGACAATGCAGTTGCAGGGAGAGCCCCTGGTAGTGCGTTTCACGTTGAGTTGAGCCAGTGGGGATCATGCACCATGGAGCTTCAGTAAAGGGACGAGAAGGACTGCAAGCGATCACCGTGTGCCAAAGGGTCCCCCCGGCCAGGAACCGATGCCATGCCCATGGGCGCTGTCGACAGAGATGGATCCGAACCAAGAATGATGACGCCAGAAGGCAACACTGCAATCTCTGCTGCGTGTCTAGGCTGGCGAAGCTCAGTTCCGTACAGGTACAGGTACGGGTACAGCAAAGAGAGAGAGAGAGAGAGCTTCACGGCGCGGAGATTTTTTGTTTGGAGCATGTTTTGTTTTGGCCTCGAATCTGGTCGGTGCGGTCTGTGCGGCCTTCGGAAGCTTTTCTTTGCGATTCATCCAGGTGGTGGTGGTGCAGTAGCTTGAATGAGCCTAAACTGAGGTTGACACTATTCGTACTCCGTACATTAGTAGATGGTCCCTTTGCTGCGAGCCATGGATTAGTTTGAATGCGACGCTGCGCAAGGGCTGGTAATTGCACCAGGCGCTGGAATTCACCCGCCTCAATGCACTCGTACGAGTTCATGCCAGCATCTGCGTCTCTGGTAAAGTGCGGGTAGGCCGTCGCGAGGTCTGGGCGAGCCGACATGCGCCAACGGTATTACGAAATTCGTTGACACCCCGGGCAGTACTCTTTCAAGTACGAAGTGATCCATTAGTTCTCGTAGCATTAAGTACGAGTATTAGCACAAGTGCTGGCATAGCATAGGGAGCGAAAGCCCCAACACGGCGAGCAGTGGTATGCAGGTGAATCGGGGCCGGGCGAGACCAGACGAAAGCTGCTGTTGATGTCATTTCGCGTGCTGCCCGAGTCGTACCATTGCGATGCCGATACGACATGGGAGGGACGACAGCGACCCTTTGAAAGCACTGCTGCACTCCGTACAGTACATGTACTACTTACTTGGTCGAGGACGGGAGGATGCAATTGATGAAATGCGATCCAATTGCTTATTAGCACAGCTCCTTCACCGAGCGAGACTTCTTCAGTCAACACCCCCGGCTTTCGCATGATATGGATGGAGATTCGGACAGGCTACCGCACAGGTGCTAGTGGACGAAACGGTCACATTATTAGACACCAGCTTGACAGATCCAAAACGTCGGCCACGGGGGCGCGCAGGACGCTATACTGGTGCGAATGCAGCACTGTACTCGTACTAACATGACACGGTATGTACGACACGGCACGACACGAATGAAATCGCACATCCACGGGGATGCCTGTACGAGTAGAGGTCTAGTAGTAATGCCAATGCCAAAAGACTCAGGCACCGTGCTACAACATGTACAAGTACGAGCAGCGTATTATATTACTCGATGGAGTCCCAAGGTGGTGGTCTGCAGGCGCCAAGGCGCTTCAAGCACCGCAGCAAGTGGCTTGATTGGCGGCTACCCCTTTTCCACTAAAAAAGGTGTCACCTTCAGGAACGAGCCTTGGCGCAAGACCGGGGGTCGGGTCTCCTCCAGGTATCTTAGGGCCGCCCAATACCTCTGATTAATGCCTCGCGCGGCGGCGGCCCAGGTACCATGACGTCCGCTGAAACCTGGGGCTACCCGGCGCTGCGCGAATGGAACGCCGCCTGCGGCCCCTGATTGGACGACGCGAGGATGATCCCTGCACCAGCACAGGCATAGACTGCCCAAAACACAACCACACGCAGACGCAGGTGCGATGCGCCTCCCCCGGTTCGCACCGTCCACAGCGCCTCCTGCCCATCCTCGTGTCTCGAAGCTGGTTCCGTCTGGGTAGCACGCAGGGAAGGTGCTGAGGGCCCAGCAGGGGGGGGAAGGCTCGTTCGTCCGTCCCAATATGCGAGTGAGCCGGCCGGGTACCTGTGCCTCCAGCGCTGCGCCAGCCAGGCCCGGGGATCCAGGTACCGATACATGCACGATGAAATGCTGCTACGGGCGACCAGGGGCTGGTTGTCGCAGCCCAGAGAATCTTTGCACCCGTTTCTAGTCCTTCTCCTCCGCCTCCTCGTTTTCGCCTCTCCGTCTTCCCTCTACCTGTGGCTTGGTGGCTTTTTTTCCTTCTTTTCGTGTTTGCCTTTGCCTTCACCTTCTCCTTCACCTGCCTTGCAGACGCCGTAGCAGCAGCATCAACCGTCCGTCGATTCCCTTGTTCTTGTTGTTGGCTGGCTGCGCCTTCTCCCTTTCTTGCGTCCTTGCTTGCGTTTGTAAAGTCGAGTCTTTCCGCAGCTCTTTTTTCTTCCCTTCCGGCTACCGATTCCGCCATCGTCGTCGTTGACACGTCTGGAACGAGGCATTGCCCTTTCGCCGTTGAATTCACCTTGCTGTTCCGTTCTTCTTTGATACACGGCCTTGATCATCCCGCAACTCCTCGTTGACCGGCTGGAACGAATACCGCGCCATTCCCGACGACCTCTTCAAGATTCACAGCCCTGCCACGATTTGCGCTATTAGAACCATTAGATCGAAACTGTCACCGCTTGTCACCATTCACTCTTTGAAACAACAACCAAAAAACACCGCCGCACGCTTGCTTATTAGATACATTCGCTATTGTCTTGTCGTATTGTAATACGTCCTTGTCGCTACTATTGTAACGGCAGCCATTCATTTTTAGTTACTTGCCCGCCGATTGACACTCATCTCGAATCACGGGCTCTAGCTATTCAACAACCCACACACACACACACACACGCACGCACGCACTCATACAACTTTCCTGCAACGACTTGGCTGTGCCCTCGTTGCTAAACTAACTTTCAACCTCTCGAAAAGAAAATTAGAGAATAATTTCGTTGAAACCGCCAATCATCGCCATGCAACCTTAGGAAACGAGACCTACATCGAATAATAAAGAATCCTGATATCGTCTCGAACTCGTCCTTGAAATCTCGTCGGATTCGTCTGTCAAACTCGGCAATGTCGTTACCGAAACCCCCCTCGTCTTTGGACAACTCGTGCTCTGTCATTCATGGCAACACGCTTTATTCCTACTCACCTCAAGGATTTCTGTCTCTGCCTTTGGAAGACGGCGCAGAATGGACAAAGCTTGATGTGGGAGTCAAAGTGACTGGAGGAACCTGCGTTGGAACAACCCCCGTAAATGCAGCCGATGCTGCGCTCTTCATTGTTGGAGGATCATCGGATGCACCTGATTATACTGGGCTCCAAAAGTATACTTTCTCAACAGGCAACTGGACCACCGTAACGCCATCGGTTCCCGTCACGCAAAATCGCTTGCACCATGGATCCACGTACATCCAGGCCGACGACGTTATCTTGGTATACGCCGGCAGCCAAGATGGCAGCGCTGGTCCCTCTACGCAAACGTTTACTATCCAGACTTCTGAGCCGTACCAAGCTCTTTCGTACCAATCGAATTCCGCCGCACCAGCTGTTTCTCCCCTTCTCATGAGCTGGTCCAACGCCGATGCTGCCATGATAAGCGGCGACGGCGTGGACGGCAAGATTTATTGGTTTAATCCGACGGCTGGATGGAGAGATTCTGGTGCGGGCACTGCGCCGCCGATCAACACGGCCGGAGGTGCGGTGAATGTGGCACTGGTGTCCGGGACTGATGGATCCAAAAACCTCTATACTTTTGATCTATCCAAATCACCCAACGGTGTCAGTCGTACCATTGTACAGGATGCTACTGGCCACCCTCTCGCTAACTCCGCCCCCATCGCTGCACGAGGCCTTGACGAGGTCTCTGGAAGCACCGAGAAGCGTGACCTGACGCTGAGCAACTGGCCCGACTATAACTCAACGTTGGCCCCGAAGGATACTCGGACAAACTACGCAATTGCCCAATCTGACGATGGCACTGTAGTCTTCTCCGGCGGCAACGCTCAGGTCCCTCTAGCTATCTTCAACGCCGACAAAAACGGCTGGGTCGACGCGGCTGCCCTATTGGGTGACGATCAGCAGCGTATCCAAGACGTTTCGTCAACGACGACCCAGTCCAAGACGAAGACGACTTCTAGCTCACGATCCAAGTCAACCACGCACTCCACTTCTACTACACATTCCGGCTCGACAACGCTCCCGTTTTCCACTACCGCTACTGCTACGCAGACCTCTGATTTCGTCCCGACTGATTTGTCTATTCCTGCCCTCCCAACTGGTACTGGCAGTTCGAGCGATGATTCTGGCCCTAGCTCCAACGCTATCCTTGGCATCACACTTGGCGCCATTGGTGGATTCCTCGCTCTGCTTGGTCTTATCCTTCTGCTTCTGCGTTGCCGCAGAAGACAGCTGCTTCATCCAGAGGCAGGAAAGCCCAAGACCCCCGCCGGTGATGAGAAGAGCGCTCCCGCTTTTGCTGCCCAGAACACGTTTGCGAAGAACACGCTCCCTCCACACGTGCAGAAGCAGCTCCGAGGCCACCAGAAAACCGCATCTTCAGAATCAACCTCATCGATGGCAATCTTGATGGGCAGAGTGGGCCAGCATAAGCCAAGAAAGCTCAGCAATGAATTCAAGAGCACTATTAGCAAGCCAATTCTCCAGCCCCAGCAAGCCCCGATTCTCCAGATCCAGGACGAAAAGGGCGACACTTTGGAGGGCTCGCCGACCGAGCTTCGACCACAAGATGGGCTCGCAGACGATGGCACCCGAAGGAGCTCGGGCTGGAACAAATACTGGTCAGGAGGAAGCGCCCTGGGAATTCTAGGATATGGATCTGCACAGGCACAGGGACAGGCACCTGTAACGGCGCTTGCACCGGCTCCTGCAAACAGAGACACCCTGGCATCCGACCGAAGCTCTCACTACTCCCAGACAACAACTACTCGCAATGTTAGGCAAACACAAGATTCAGCTACTGTTCCGCCCCTCAACTTTGAGGCCCCGCCTGGAATGAGCAGAGTTAACACTGGAAGTCCCGTAGTGTCATCCTACCCCAATATCCCTTGGAAGGAAGGCATGTCAGGAACAATCGAGCGACCAGTCTCAGCTGTTTCGGCGTTGTCAGCAACATCGTCGGGCTATTCCAGCGGAATCCCCGAGAGCATTCAAGAGACATGGGACCCAACGCATGCCGGAAAGGCCTGGGGTGCTGATCGGGCCCCAAGCAGTGCGTACGCTCCCAGCACATCCGGCGTGAGCAGACAGCCTCAGCTCGCCACGGCGTCAACATCAAATGACATGAGCTGGCTCAACCTTGGTGATAACTCACGGGTATGAGTCAAATGACATGATCATGGCGCAAAGTCTTTTGAGCGAATTTTTTTTTGATGAATTGGTCCGGCTTATATCCTCGAATTTGTTTTGGGTGCGGTATTTTCAGCGGCATGCCGCCTTTAATTGTCTCTCACTCTCACTATCCTCACTATTTTTTTCTTTCTATATTCCTCGCGGCCTGGAAAAGGGCAAGTTCGCGTCTTTGTAACGAACACTGCACCGACGGAGGCGTAAGGTTCCTTTTACAAAAGCACTACGCATCGCAATCTCGCCTTTAGTTATCCCGGACACTTAGCTTCAAGATTTGTGTCCGTTACCTAAACCTCACCGCGTGACTCAGCGTCGATATCTCTGATTGGACATATTGGACTCATACTCTTTTGTTTTTTTCTTCTCTCTACTTATTTTATGTACATTCTAGAAGCTGGCCCGGGCTTGGCCGTTTTCCTTGTTAGTGTGTCGCGATTGATAATACCATCTCCCTGCAAGTAATTCGCTGGATGGAAGTTGAGCAGGCAAATGGTAGACGTAGATGGGGTGGGATGGGGCGGGACTGGACGGAGGATGAGGAGTATTGATTGATAGATAGAATTACCTAGGGAGTAGCGGTGATGGGGGAGTGAGCAGTGGTGCGAGGTGAAGAGAATGAGTAGAAGAAAACATGATAATCTCAGTGGTGCCTCAGTGATGCTCGGCTCATGTGAAGTGACGTTGGTTTTGATGCTGCAACGTACTGTAGTATCTATCGATAAGGGCATGCACGATGGACGTGCGCTTGGCCTGGTCCTGTCAAATTCCGAATGGAAGCCTTCGAATCAAGCCACATGCAGCATTTCAGCCGGAATGCGGCGAGTCTGGACCCCTACAAATAGCCTTGGCCAATGGGATGGGCGAGATGGAAATAAACTTGCAGCATCAGCATTATAGCTTGGGTCGAGTTTTGCCTATCAGCTTATCGGCACCGAATTTGGGTGCAACCGAATCGGCGTGGGAGGGGTGGGAACGGGGAGAGGTGATTGGCCGGCGAGTCTTGCATGACAAGATGCGGGAATCACATGAAATTTGATGGGCAGGTTGTTTCTACATAGCTCCCTCATGACCTTGCCTGGACGCAGTTTGAAGTCGTAGTGACGGGCTAAGTGTGATCAAGGGAGGTATTGTATAGTAGGGGTCCGGGACTGGACGTGTTGAGTTCGTATGAGATGCGGTTTCGAGCCGTGGGCGCCCACTTGCGGATATTTCTCTCGCGTGCTTTTTCATTGAGCTAAGATGTAGATATGCAGACATGCATCGGGTCTTTTGCTCGCCCTTCGTGCCACGGATGTTTAGCGTGGGATGCTAGTAGGTGTCTGAGCACTGCCGAGACCGAAGAATGCAAGGAACGTTGATTTTAAGTTTTCCCTTGGTGCTCTTATTGCATTGATTGGCCTTTCAATTTTGAGATATTTCCTTTTTTCCTTTTTTATTAGCCTTTGGGCGTTGCAGACTTGCGAAGGATTGCTTGGGGTGGGGGCGCCAGTGGAGTAGATGGGCGGTTACTCGCGCCGAAAGGAGAGAAAGGAGGCAGTATAGAAGGATTCCCTGGAAGAGTTATTTGGATTGGAATGGACGTTTGCTGTGTGCTATTCTGGGTTTGACGGCTATTGGTGGCTGTCTGAGCATTGGGTTCTTCTCGGAGGTTTGGGTTTCAAGGATGCTTGTGACAATCCATTTGGACTTCATGTAATAGAGCCGTGTTCCCATATTTTCCTCTATCCGCCGCTATACGACACGTATAATTAGCGCTGGAGCTCCGGCGGGGAATCAATAGCAGGAGAGCTGGGCTCCACGGGGAATTACAGTAAGAGTTGAGCGCCAAAATAACAAAAATTCATGGGACCGTAGCCCCGTGCCGTTTTCTGTGCTCGACTCAACTGCATATTCTGCTCTCCCCACTGCCGGACCCCTAGCTCGACAGGAAAAAAAAAAAGGCCTCGGTTAGGTTAGCCGGCCGCTGGTCCATTCTGAACTAGACGAGAGGTCAGTAACGATGGGCCTGCGATGCGGCTGGGCGAGATGGAGGGAGGGCGGATGGACGGCTGATGGTGACGGTCCGGCTGAATGTCTATCTGGTGATCGCGGTCAAGCCACCACCAGCCGGGTCTGGATCGGAAAAGGCAGATGCGAGCCAAGGCTGGGCTTTTGGACTGGCCTGACAAGGGGCCGCAATTGCATCTGGACCCTTGCCAGGAAGTTGGGCGGTTGTGAGGAAGAGTCCCGTCGAGTTTGCCCGTTAGCAGCCAGCGCTAGCCGGTACGCCGCCGTGGGAAAGGAAAATGATGGTAGTAATGCAGAGGAATAGGAGCGTTTGGTCCATCAACTTATGATCTGACTCGAGGAGGCCTGTCGACTCCCCACAGTCTAGACGGTACCTGACCAGCGGCTGCTTCTATGCAGTGAGGCCAAGTACCCTGATGGAGCAGAGTGAGATTTGAGGCTAATGTAACATGCACGTGGGCAGTTCGTTCTGACGCCCGTCTGAGAGGCAAATGGGATGAAAGAATTGATGGTTGAATGAGGAGAAAAAATTGAAACAAGAGAGGATCTGGAAGGAGAAGAGAGAAAAGGACAGAAACCGTTAGGACCAGTGCTGGGTTGTATGCAGCTGCCAAGGCCTGCACTGCATCGTAAATGCACATTCGGGCAATCCTCTCGGTCAGCTTGAACGCAGCCGGTTCCTGTTTGGGATTGATGGACAGCCGCCGCGAGTCTAGAACTCGAGGTTCAGCTGGGAAAAAGAACATGAGATGAGAGACGGACACGGACACAGTCAAGAAAAGCCAGATAAAGTAATCTGAACAAATTGAACAGATAAGAGCTCACACGGTATTTTTTCTTTTCTTTTCTTTTTAGTACTAGGTAGCAAAACTACAAGTACTTGCCAGACACCAGCCCGAGGCGAGCCAAGTTTACCGCCTGGCTGATACCTACCTAGCAGCGCCGACTTGGCCGCAATTTTCGCTCCCTGGGCCGCTTTAGCACCGTGCACCGCTGTGGCTAGCGCCTCTTTGGGGCCTTTTAGCAGTCGCCCACGCGAGATCCGCCGCTGCGATCCCCCACCTGCCACCGCTAACGAACACCACCGCATAACCAAAAACCTGTGCCGCCGGCCCAAGTTGCCTGGCGGTGGCCTGCCCCAGCAGCCTCTTTTTTTTCCCTCTCCGCCCCGGAGATTGACCCCATCCGGGCCTTTTTCTTCGCTCTTTTCGTCGCTCGCCCTCTTTTCTTCTTTCGCCTGTTGCTTTTGAGCATCTCGTCCCATCTCGTTGCGCCGCATCGCCGGGTCTTGCTTATCGTCCAGGAGATATTTAGACGACGGCACTTTTTTTCTTTTCAATCCTTTCTTTTTTTCTGCTGACGATACTCTTGCCGTTGCGTCACTATTCGCCAATTGCTGAGCCTGTGCGTACATGTACAGAACGGCTCCGTCCCGGGTTACTGCCGCTACTCCCCGACCGAAACGCCCTTCGTTACCCCGACATTCGTCGACGACGACGGCATCGCCTTTTCGCTTTTCGCTTCTCTGTTGATCTCATCTCCTGCTCTCTCTCAAGACGAGCCTCGGAAAGCGGTGTCCGAGAGCGCTGCTCACACTGTGGGCACACTACAGTGCAGGAAAAGACGGTTCTGGGCATACGAAACTCGACACCGTTGGATATTGCTTGACTTGGGCCACATCTCGCAGCGAACAACCATCTTGCGCGGAGACGCCCGGCGCATCTCCTACACATCGCCATGATGAGCTCTGCAACGTGGAACCCGCAGGACCAGGCCATGGCCGCAGCGTCGGAAGATGACTTCCAGCAGTTTCTCGACATCAGCGGCATGGCCAACATGGGCGACGGCATGCAGTTTGACTTCCAGGGCTTCCAGGATGACGGCTCGCATTCCATCATGGCCCAGGCTCGCCAGACCGCCGATGCCATCATGAGCGACTCGGATCCCTCCAACATGATTCCTCGAAGCGACGGCCTCCTTCAGAACCACACGCCCGCCATGGCGCCCATGCCCTCTCACATGATGGCGCAGTCGGCGTCCCGCGAGGCCATTTCCAACATCGACGCCCAGATTCAGTATCTGCAGCAGCAAAAGTTTCAGCAGCAGCAGCGACAGCTGCAAGAGCAGCAGGCCACATTCTTCCATGGCCACTCGGTACCCCCGACGCCGCAGAGTCTGGAGATGACTCCCGGTAGCGCTCAGTTTTATTCCCAAGCCGAGCAGATGCCATCAAGAGGCGCCTACGATAGAAGTTACCATCAAAGAATGGCCGAGCAGGATGTAAGTCTTTTCTGCCCCGACCCTTTCCCATCCTCTCAGCTGTGATATACGTTTGTAGACGTCTTTGAACTATTGTTGAGCCATTTCTAATGACGAAATTCCACCTCTAGATGGCCTTTACACCCCTCGTATCACCAGCTGTCACCCCGCTGGATCCTCATTTCAACATGGATACTGCCTTTACCGTACCTGGAGCTTACTTTAGTCCCCTGACATCGCCGGCTCTCCATGCACAGAATGATTCATCATCAAACTATGACCACACCACTCACTCGAATAACTCACCGGTAGAGATGGACCTCGAACAGTCTGCTGTTCCCGCTGTCAACCTGGACCTCTCTAAGAAGACAAGAAAGACTCAGGCTTCCAAGACAAGGAGCAAGCCAAGTGTTAAGAGTTCACCCATTTCTAAGCCGCTCAGGCGAAAGACTGGTCCTAGCCCGGCCATGGTATCACAGGTGCTGAGCGAGGTGGAAGAGAGGAATCTACAGATGGGCGACCACGGGCTGCTCCCCCTACCGGCTGCTTCTACCGATGGATCTGATGAGAATGCGTCCGTTTCGCCGGAGAACCTGTCGGAAATGCCCCCTCCCCCGATTCCTGCTAGGCGCTCAATGAGCAAATCGCCTTATATACGCCCGCAAACGAATATGCAGCCGAGCCTTGCAACCGGTCTGCTCGATGAGCAACACCCTCCTCATCCCGCCACGCCTGCTTCTCTGATGAAATTGCCGGCCTCTAAGACGAAGAAGATCATCACAAGCCACCAAGAGGCTCCGCTCTCCGACAACATCGAGTCACTTGAGCTCCCTGAATCAATATCTAACCCGTCGCTCGCTGGTGGTCTTGCCGACGACCAGCTTGGTATACAGACCCCTCGGGCCGAGCCGAGCTTGGTGTCCAAGGGGGTCACGTTCCAGTCCATGCCTTCACCAATCGTGAGAGCGGCAGGAACGTCATCGGCAAACCAGAGTCCCCTCTTACTACCTGGAGCCTCCGGCTCTAGCCAGCGAAAGACACCCCAACTTTCAGCCAGGAATAGTCGCAAGAGGTCAACGGGATCTATCCACGCATCTCCGGCTCTACTACCCAGGATATCCCCCAATATTAAGCCTCTACTCCCCGGCGCTCCTGGCATGTCTGTTGAGGACCAGGCATCGCGACTTTTGATGTCCAAATCGAACTATCAGAACATCTTGGAGGGCAACCAAGTCCCTGGTGTGTCTTACCCCAGCGAACTGTCCACAAATCTCACCTCCAAGAGGACATCACACAAGATTGCCGAGCAAGGTCGCCGAAACCGCATCAACTCTGCTTTACAAACCATGGCCAGTCTCCTCCCGGATGGCAAAAATAAGATCATTTCGGGCGACGATGATGACAAGAAGGATGGCAAGCAATCAAATGCTTCAAATAGCAAGGCCAGTGTTGTGGAGAATGCCATCGTCCACATGAAGAATCTCGAGAAGGAGAATGTGGATCTTAAACAGGAGTTGCAAGCATTGAGGGACCAGCTGGAGAAGTTGAAGGGTTCGGACGGCACCCCCGAAGTGAGCGACGCAACCCATGACAACGACAAGAAATTGCCCAGGATAAGCGAAGAACAGGGTGGCGGTGCCCAGGACGCCCAAGGAGACGTTAATATGTCGACGGCCACAGCGAGTGTAGGCGAGCCCGAAGAAAGCAGCTGACATTAATGTTGATGAGCACACCTGCTATGCAGAATGCTATGAACCGAGGGATAACGGTGTTTTAACGGGATACGATCAATGTACATGATATTACGTCGTGTTGGGGTTTCCGGCCGGCACGGAGTAGAACGCAGATTTTTCTTGGAATTTGTTGTGGTGGGCGAATTTTCGGGGATGGTTCATGGCATTTTTATTTGGGCGGTCTTATCCGATTTTTTCCAATTTTCTTTGCGACTCTTCTTGATCTTTCCTGTTGTTTCTTTTTTTTTGTTCGGTATGCATTGATGTCAAATGGGTGGGCATGTTGTCATCTTGTTCTATCCCCTGTCTTTTTCCTCGCTTCTTGTTCCCTGTTTGTTCATCCCACCATACTTTATATTTGATAGTGTAATCTAGACTCTGTGAGAGGAAGCATCTGAATACCATTACGCGACTGATGGTGTATCATTATCATATAATGCAGTTCTGACTTGGTGTATGTTGGTGTAGTCGTTTTGATTAAAATGCTGGGTAACCTCTACTACAATATGTCGAAACATTGCGCATACGTGTAGGTGTATTATGGAAGTTATATTTCACATCGAGGCAGCAAGAGGGCGCCGTGGGGATATATATTCACGGAGACTTTATTGGATTTGCCTTTTCTGCAGCTAATACGTCGACGTCCAACTGCTCCATGACTTCCAAGACCAGCTTGAGGCCTTCCATGAAGGAGTTGACGGCGACTCGCAGCATGCGGTTGGTCGTGGCCTGGTATTCTACTAGCAGCACCTCGGCATGGTCGCCGGAGCTGGGGCTGGTGGATGAGGACGAGGACGAGACGACGGAGACATGTCTTTGGACGAGGGGCGAGAGTTCGGGGTCGACTTGGAGGGCCTTGAGGGCCGTGGAGGCGAGGCGGGGCGTAGGGAAGGGGATGCGCAGCTGTCTGTTGAGGGGTCGCGATGTTTGTGTTAGCCATGGAGAGATAATGCAATGATGGAGATGGAGGTGGATGGCAGTTGATTGGCAGGGTAACGGGAGGAGTGAGGGGAAATTAACTTGCATGCTGCATGGGAACTTGGGATCGGAACTCATTGCGTGGGGAGAGTTCTCCGGTGAGACAACGAGTCTCGGGATGTTTTTTCTTGTCTTTCTTTTTCGTTTCGAGGTTGAAGAATGGAGGGGTCTTGCTTGTGTGGCCCGATGATGAATGGCGCTGGTGATGCTTCTCTCGTTTGTTGTTTCTTGCTCTGCTTCTTTTTCTGGATTTGTTGTGGTAGGGCTTAACGAGTGGCTGGCTGTATGCGCGCTGCAGCAGGTGATTAAAGAGCCGGGATAGGGTGGATCTTGTGCGTGTTGATGATGGAATTCCTCGAGCTTGCTTCTAGATACCTAGGTAGATGCAGATGCAAAACTTCAGGTTGACGGGCTGGAATGGGGCATGTGGGTATTACCAGCCACAGAACGTGGCGCACCGCAATGCCGTCGAGCCACCTGTTGGGTGACCTTGTAGACGCTAAACCGTGAGCAGCCGTTCAGCAGCGTTCTAGCACGTCAGACCCCGGGCACAGCTGCCCAGTGCTTGTTATGACGTTGCCCTGGCGACAGGTCCGCGACCCGCAACAACAGCGCTGCGCTGGCCTTGGAGCGCTGGCGCCGGGGGAACAGGGGGGCAACGCAGCTGTAGCGCTCCATTAGGGGGAGCTCAGGCCTGCAAGAATAACATCTGCAGCGCCAAACTCCCCCCTGTTACAAAAACACCCGCGCCGGCCCAGATCACCAGCTCGAAACATCACCGGCTGACTTTTCCCTCTCTCTCTTTAATCCTCACGCTTCCCCTCTCGGCCTGACTCTTTTCCTCCTTGCCTCCCAATCTCCTCTTATTTACCTCCGGTACGAAAAGGTCTGCCTTTTGGCTAGTCTTTGTTCTTTTTTCCCTTCTCATCTTTGCTGGAGCTTTTGAGTCGCATTGCTGTGACGCTTAGCATTGTGAGGGAAGAGACCGCCGCTGGAGAGCGTGAGTGAGCCGTGATAGAGAGAGAGACAAGGTGCACCCGTGCAATTCGCCGCCCACACCCCCGAACACCCGTTATCCTCCCCAACGTATTTTATTTCCTCCACTCGCAGCGAATTTCGAACCAAAAGACATTGGTGATTGTCGACGGTCAAAATTATTCCTGTCCGCCTCGATTGAGCTGTCTGCTGTTTGGGTTACTTGATTTTGTCTTGTCTCGCTAAATCCCGCCCAGCCCCCTTTATTCTTTTTGCGTTGTTGCCGCTTTCTTGTTTACATCACTTGCATCACACGACCCTTTTTTGGGGAGCTTCACCGCAGCTTAGCTTTCGCCATTTTTTTTCTTTTCTTTTTTTGCGCATTCGCGTTTGCGCAATTCCAAACAGCTTTTTGGCATCATATTTTACATTTAGATTCTGTTATTACTACGGACGTGGACGAGTGATTCGCTGTTGCGGATTGGAAGCATAGCGAGCCTGGAAGAATGGCTCCTTCTACGAGACACTCCCAGAATCTGGGCCATGTCGTTGAATACATTCCAGGTAGGACAGCTTTCTTTCCACTCCTCATTGAGCAGTGCAGCTTCTCTATAAATTTCCGAACTTGGCGCTGACAATTTCTCAATCTGCAGACCGACTCTATCTGGGCGCCTATGTGCACCCTCCGACTCCCGATACGCCGCTCCCCGGCACCGAATCCCCAAGGAAGCGAGCGTCGCGATATGCGGACGGAGCTGCCCCGGCACCTCTGGTAACCAACCGAAACCCTCCCTGCTACTTCACAGTCGACGACACTCTTCTGTACAACGCCTTTCACCACGACTTTGGTCCTCTGCACATTGGCCATCTCTACCGCTTTGCCATCAAGTTCCACGATATCCTGGGCGCCAAGGAGAACCGAGACCGACCCATTGTCTTTTACAGTGCTGCTGATCCGAGGAGTGAGTCTTGACCGCCTTTAAACATGGAATTGAAAGAGTTGATTTACTAACATTGTTGGCTGTTTCTAGGTCGCGCAAATGCTGCCTGTATGCTGGCTTGCTATATGGTTCTGATTCAGAACTGGCCGCCTCACTTGGCCCTGGCCCCGATTGCTCAGATTGACCCTCCGTTGATGCCCTTCCGAGATGCCGGCTACAGCCAGGCAGACTACGGCATCAGCGTCCAGGATGTGGTATATGGTGTCTGGAAGGCCAAGGAAGAAAAGTGCTGCGACCTGGATAACTTTGACTTGGACCAGTATGAGATGTATGAGCGAGTCGAGCATGGCGACTTCAACTGGGTCACGCCCAACTTTCTTGCCTTTGCCTCCCCTCAACACACGCCAGTGGCCAAGATTACTGAGGACTCCGACCTGTATCCTCTGCTTCCCAGGGACGTGGCCGCGGTCGAGGATCACCCGCTTCTTCCCCAGCCCTTCAAGAATGTGCTCTCGCACTTTACTGAGCGTAACATTGGCTTGGTCGTCCGATTGAACTCGCCCCTCTACTCCCCATCCTACTTTGAGGCGCTGGGAATCCAGCATGTTGACATGATTTTCGATGATGGAACCTGCCCTCCGCTTTCCATGGTTCGCAAGTTCATTCGCATGGCTCACGAGACCATCACTGTCAAGAAGAGAGGCGTGGCTGTTCACTGCAAGGCTGGCCTTGGCCGAACCGGCTGCCTCATTGGCGCCTACCTGATCTACCGCCACGGCTTCACTGCCAACGAAGTCATCTCTTTCATGCGCTTCATGAGACCTGGTATGGTTGTTGGACCTCAGCAGCACTGGCTGCACCTCAACCAGGGAACATTCCGAGAGTGGTGGATCGAGGAGCGTATTGAGCGAAAGCTCAGGAGAGAGCTTGCTGCTGCTGCCGCCGCCGCCGGTCATCCGGCACCCCAGACGCCCATGCGAGCCGTCAAGTCTGCGCGTAACGGCCAGACAGTGACACCCTCTAACCGGAGCCCATCCGGCCGCACTCCCCTTAGTGAGGTGGACCAAGATCGCGGCAATGTCGGAGTTCACGAAGATTATTTACCGGCGCCAACGCCAGGTCAGCCGCGAAAGGCGGCGCGCGATCGGCGCAATCATCATCACAGATCGGACGCTTTTCACGCGGCAGCGGAGGAGCAACTCTTCGAACAGCAGCAACATAAACAGGAGGAAGTAACAGCACCACCATCGCCACAGCGCCGTTCACAGCCCCCAGACTCGGACGAGGAGCAGCACTTGCGGATGCGAAAGCAGCGCAAAGCGACCCAATCATCTAATCGGAGCGAGAAAGCTCAAGTGGCAAGCCAGAACACGAGCCCCTATGTCATTGACAATGACGCTTCATTCGATGCTGAGAATATTGGTTCCGTAAAACCCAAATCTGCCGAGAGGGTCCCCAGCCAGCCTGGCACACTCGCCAAAGTCCGGAATCGGCGGCAAGCTGCGGATTCACCCTTGAGATCCAAGGAATCTGCTGGTGTTCGCAAGACGAGTGGCCGTGTCGGTAGTGCTGGTGTGGGCGCGGCGGTATCTTCCACTGGCCGCAGAGTCTCGGGCACGACGTAGGCAAGCGTGACCAGACGACGGGCTGGGACGGCCATTCACAAGGAAATGGCTAAACACCTTGTAAACTTTACATCTTAACGATCATGACTTCACGTTTTATTCTATTACGAGCGATTAATGCGTATGCATATACACGGGCGTTTTAGTCTTCCAAGGCGCGACGGGAGAGGCAGCATGACTTTTTTTATACCACTTTTCACCACCATTACCACTACTACAACGCTGAATGTTCCCTGCGATTTTGAGATTACATGAATTCTTTTTTATGATCCTCATTACGCCAAAGAAACGTCATTTTTTGGACACGCTTCAAGCGAGAAAGTGAGAGAAAATGATATGATGAGGTGAGAGCGGGGGAAAAAGCCGGCAGACCTCAAGAAGAAGAAGAAGAGACAAGGAGGGGAGGATTTATTGCGGCGATGGCGCAACGGACGGAAATGGAAAGGGGATTTGGGTACTATGGTGTTTTTTTTTCACTCTATTTCGGCATTGTACTGGCTACTGTTGTTCCTTTTGTTTTTTTGTGTTCCTTTTTTTCGCTTCTTCTCTGGTTCTTTTCTTCTCTTCTTGCTCTTCCTTGTGCGTATTCTTTTTTATTTACTCTTTGCTGCGACTGGTCTATTGGGCATAGGGGTAGGCATTTGGGTATTGCACGGTACGATGTCGGTTGCTAGTTCAACTTTCTTTTGAGATGGTGGAGGTTGTGGTGAAGGGGATGGTGTGCTATATATCAATTTTGATGCATGATATTTCAATAACTCTTTTTAATACTTTGCAAGTCAAGTTTGAAACTCTTTTCTTTTGCTTGCTGCGTATGGTGATACGTCTTTATCCTTGTCTGTGGGTGTGTTTCACAGAGTGACTGTTATGCATCCCAACTTGGTCATCCAGCGCCAAGGTGTACAGGGATTGAGATACTTGCTGATGCCAAGAAGCCGTCTCTATGCGTAATACAGAGTACATAGAGCGTATGTGCTATATAGAGATATTACATCTACTACATCTATAACAACAGTTATTGAAGTGAAGTACTAGCTATGTAATCTTTGCTGAGAACTACATCCAAGCTCTGGCGGTGCTATTTCTATTTGGAAAAGTAAAATAAATGACACTTCGTCAGATGATAATCCTGGGAAGGTTGTAAAATGGGCCGGATGCTTGAGTACGAGGAGCTGTCAGTGATAGACTAGCAAGTCTTGGAACCATGTGGCTGTATCTACTCGTATAGTCGACGGAGTCCAACACGACTCAGTTTGACGTCTTATTTAGTCCAACTGTCTTTTATCCTGCTCAAGTTCTAGCGTTGACAGCCGATTTTCACGTGTCGCTCCATTTTTCTCCTCGGCGATACTACTGTATAACCTCAATCCCGGCCCCGTCACACCTTGACTCTCGAGAACTTCTCGCCCCTGCAACGCTCGTATCTCTCCACGGATGTGGCGACTCGGCCTGTCAAAAATGAAAAAAGCTCTCACTGGGGCACCTGGTAACCATGAATAACATGATTGGGTTCAATCTGGACTTCTGAAGTCCCCGCCGCCCCGTATTTCGGCCTTTTTGCTCAGGTGGATGGAGTCGCCGATCGGCACCGGTTCCAAGAAATACTGTGCCGGAATTGCGCATTGTGGATTCGATATAGATTAAAAAAGCTCAAATCTCTTCCGATCTAACCGTTGACAACGGCATGCGTAATGCCCTTATTAGGAGATGAGAGTCCGTATGACCTCATGGATTCGTTTGTTCGCGGAGAAATGGAATGGCTTGTGGCTCATTGTTTTGCTTCTATAACTTTATGTTGTCTTCACCCTATCTCCTTATCCTATAGCTGGCCATCGTAGGAGGTCATATTTACTATTGTTTGAGGCGCGAATAGCCCAGCCAAACTGTCATTTCTTGTTTCAATATTGCCTCACAAAGTTTTGTTTGAATCGTTCCAAAGCAAACGTTTTGACTGATAGAGCCATTGAAATCTCGGCAAAACGACCAAGTTGCTCACCCCCAATTTCGATTATCGCGATCCAATCCCACCAAACAACATGGAAGGCTCGTCTAATTCAGCCCGCAATGCCTCAAATAATGATGCCGGTAACATCACCTCACCAACCGAGCAGGTCACAAACGAGTCCATGACTTCCTCAAGACGAGCTCTTAACGAGAATCGCGATGATCAAGAACGTTCAAGCCTCCGTCGACGGAGTAGAGCCTCGAGGAGGTCTACCTTTCGCAGCGTGGCACCTATAACCACAGCTGGCCAAGGAACTCAATTCAACCTTGCTGGTACTGCCGACAATCCTCAATTGCGCACCGCACATGAACCTTTTGTTCACCCAGGTTATAGCGACCTCAATCCTTCGTATGAGCAGCCAAATAATGCCAAGCCAATATGGAGTTTAGCCAAACCTCTGCCGCGTGTTGTCCGTCCGGGGATGGTACCAACAAAGAATGAGCTGCTGGAGAACTGCGTCAACGCCGAGCTGCCCGCTGAAAACTCGCAAAATCTAGGGCTGGATGTCGACCCAAATGAGATTGAAAAGGGGCGCATTGAGAAGTCGGCCGACTTGCGTAAAATGGGAGCGCAAGTCACCGATGCCCGACAACAGCGAGAGAATAACTTTATAAAAACGATCCTGGCCGCAGATGCTGAGGCGGCATCAGATGGACTCCCACAGCTTGTAAAAACGAGGTCAAGCCAGAGACGAGCTACCATCACGCGTCCATCAATTCAGAGTCCTTTGTATACTGTCCAAGAAGGCCTATCTGAACATACTTCAGAACGACACAAAGACAGCCACGAGTCCCAACGGTCAGGACAGGAACAGGGAGAATTTGATCCAGGCCCAGACGAGCTGATAGAGGGCAATACTTCTCTTGAGACACTACGGCTTGACCAAGATGCATACCCAGAGGACCTCCACCCCTTGGTCCAGGAGTTGGTAGAGGACGAAATTCACAACAACCACACCATCTGGTCTGTTATCCGCACTCACCATCGTGAAGCCTTGGCCGAATCTCTGGCTGTTTTCGTTCAACTGACCATTGGATTCTGCGCCGATCTTTCTGTCACAGTGGCTAAAGCCGGAAACCCAAACACGACCGACTGGGCTTGGGGATTTGCTACCATGATAGGGATATACATCTCTGGTGGCGTTTCTGGTGCCCATCTTAATCCTACAATTACTATAATGCTCTGGTTCTTTCGTGGGTTTCCTAAGCGCAAGATGCCCGAGTACTTTTTGGCACAGTTTCTTGGAGCTTTTTGCGCGTGTTTTGCCGCATACGGAGTGTACTACGTGTCTATCAAACACTATCTCCTTACCGGAGTAGACGATGATATCATAAACTGCTTCGTCACAAGCCAACGCAGCTCATACATTAACGCACCTACAGCCCTATTCAACGAATTTATAGGTACAATGTGTCTGACTATTGTTGTACTGGCTCTTGGTGACGATCAAAATGCCCCTCCTGGAGCGGGCATGAACTCGCTCATCATCGGCCTCATCATTACATGCCTCAGCATGAGCTTCGCTAACCAAACAGGCGCTGCTCTCAACCCGAGTCGAGATTTTGGTCCTCGCTTGGCGCTTTTGGCCTTGGGTTACACTTCTGAGCTCTTCACCAACCCCTACTGGTTCTACGGTCCCTGGGCGGGTACATTGCTGGGCTCATTCATGGGGGCGTTCCTCTACGATTTTATGATATTCACTGGAGGCGAATCGCCCATCAACTATCCATTAGAGCGGACACAGCGTGCTTTTCACAAGAGTGGCATGAAGTGGCGTCGTCGGCTGCGGATGACGCCTAAACAAGAAGAAGAGAGAATTGTCTGAATATTCGGCGTATTATCATCTATAGTCGAGTAGAATGCCATTGGCGTACTATTGTAAAATTCTATGCACCTCGGTGCTTCACAATCGCTGAGTTTCAATGTTCATTTATCCCAAGAAAAATATGGCTCTCCGGCTGTCCAATAAGAGTATCCGATGTCTTATGCAGCTGATACCTTCATTATTCCATCGGCATGGGAAATTTGATGTAACCTCAAATGCTGTCCAATGACGATTGCAGCTGGGGTTGCTATAGATTCTTTCGCGAGGCTGAGCAGGCACCTGAACCTAGACACCGTCAGGCAGCCAAGGCTTCCGACAGCCCTCATTGTGTGTACATGCTTTTTACACGCGGTTAAAGAAATCATTCTTCTCGGATACGATAATGGGGTTCAGACGCTGGCTCCAGAAACAAAGACAGAAGCACTCTTCTTCTTCATCTGCAAACGAAACCGTCGCAGTCAATTCTGACGATGCACGCCAAGGCCAAGGGCGTCAAGACGTGACGAACGCAATCGAATCGCGCAATAACATTGACTCAACAGACGATCGAACCTGCCGAATTGAAACAACTGAAAGATCAAAGACCTCTAAAGTCGATTATGCGCCATCCACGTTAGACAATACTCCGATTCAAGAGCTGTGGAATGTGGCATACGAAAGGCTGCGAGAGAAGAATAGCGCATTGGTTGCCGAATATGAATCAACCCTCAAAGGAGTTGTCGCCGCTGGTGTGGCACAAACCCTAAGCTTCAAGGCAAATATCAGGGAGCAGATGTGGACGATCCTTCAAAAACGTATGGAGGAGGTGAACGATAATACAAAGCTCAAATTAGGCGATCATGAGGTTCAAATGAAAAATATCTCACAGCTTATTTTGAACGTTATAAACTCTGCAAACAACTACGTTAGTCAGGCCGTCAGTGCGAACCCGTTCGCCTCGATAGCCTGGACAGGAATCAGCTTTTTACTTCCAGTAAGTTGAGATATTTCATAACGGTATACTATTATATAAGAAGACCACTTTACTAATTTGCTTTACTAGTTATTTATGAACGCATCATCTGAAAGCGCCTCTTTAGCTAAAGGACTCGAATATATTTCTTCCCTTATTACCCAAAGTAAAATGAGAGAAGAACTTTATATAGAGGCACGCAGTCACGAAACTCGAGTGCGCGATCACGCAAAGTTCCAGCATTCCCACCGCGAGTATAAGGCCGCCTTGGAGAGGCTTTACAGGCAAATATTAAAATTCGAAGTTAAAAGTTGTTGTTACTACTCAACTAAATTCCGCCTCGGCTAGATGCTGTCCAGTGGAATGACTGGGAGCAACTCATAAGCGATGTCCGGGAAAAGGAGCAGAGTTTTGCCGCAGTTGAGCAGATCTGGCGTGACATTCGGCATGCTGAGGAACAGTTGGCAAACGAGAGTGCAGCTGCTCAAAAAGAACACAGAGAGTTCCTGAACTGGCTGAGCGATGTTGATCCCTCTTCAACATACAATGATGCACTCGTTAGGTATGAGAATGGCACTAATGAATGGCTTCTCAAAGGTAGTGAGGAATTCAAAGCCTGGGAAACAAATGCTAATTCACTGATATGGCTTCATGGCAAGGGTAAGTCTTGATCCTTCGTCAATGTGCGAGGCCTACCGCCGGCCTACTGAAACATGAGACTGACTGCCTATAGCTGGCTCCGGGAAATCAGTTTTAACATCGTCAGTCATCAACTACTTGAAAGATCGACATACTTTAAAGCCTTCTACTGCTCTGGCGTATTTTTATTTTAGCTTCAGTGATATAAAGAAGCAGCAAGTTAACGAAATGCTTGCGTCACTTATCAAGCAAATCTGTTCTAACAGGTTTGATGTATCGCAATTAGATGCTATTAAACGCCTTAACGACTACAAAATGAAAGGCCAGCGCCCGGACACGCAAACACTTGAGACGGCGCTCTTATCCTCTACGTCGGGATGCTCTGCTGTATATATTATCATCGATGGCTTGGATGAGTGCCCTTTACTTGGGGGGCAGAGGGAACAGCTCCTGAAAAGCTTGCGCCGTATTTTAGCAGCTGCATCTGATAATTTTCATATATTCTTAACGAGCCGCAAGAAGCCAGACATTAATCTTAGAATACGCCCTCTTTTATCTTCACCAGCGAAAATCGAGATCGATCTATTAAGCCATCAGCAAGCTATCGATGACGATATCCGGCAGTGTATAAATGTGACTCTGGCAACCGACGACTTCGATACATGGCCGGAGGAAGTAAAAGAAGAAGCAAGACAGTTACTTGCTCAAAAAGCAGACTGCATGTAAGTTATCAGAACTTTCAAATTAAGATAAAGATTGCCTGTTTTAATATGCCATCTTCTATTTAGGTTCCAATATGTTCGATTTCAGCTAGAGGCACTTCGAATGCCGTCGTCTATAGCAGAAATTCGCAAAGCTCTCCAAGACCTTCCTGCTGGACTTGACGCAACATATGACCGAATACTCCAGAATATTGATACTAGGTTCCAAAGCCAGGTTATAAATACCCTAAAATGGCTTGCGTTTTCGAAGACGATCCTGACTCATAAAGAACTCTCTGATATCTTCATAATTCACCCAGACAATGATGTTGTCTTTGATGAGACGGAGCGGCTCTTTACTTCTACCGATGTATTGAAATATTTCTCTGGCCTTATCATTACCCTACCGGTTCATCGCATGGGCTCAGCCGGTGAATCTGCCTACAAGGAGACTTATTTTGAAGTCGGTTTGGCTCATTTTTCTATAAAAGAGTATTTGACGTCTCGCCGAATAGCAGGAAACCCTACGTCTGCTTTCTCATTCACAGAAGCCGACGCTCACTTATATATTGCAAAATCATGCCTCGCCTACCTTAACCATGTCACAACCATGAATAAAATAAGTCGGAGAAAATATTTTGAGAGTATGGATAGCTTTCCCTTGCTAGGATATGTCACTGTGTACTGGGCACTTCATCTGGAAGAGGTCCCACGTACATCATGGCCAGCCAACCTTGCAGAAGATGCGGCACTCGCGCTCGCTTTTCACAGCCGAAATCTACAGCTTCGGTTCAATCAGGAAGCGAATACTTCGACGAATCCACATATGCTACATGCATCTTTGAAACCACATTGTTACACTGCCCAGCGTGGTTTACATCAGCTGACTGAGCTCCTGATCTCTCAAGAATTTGGGGCAAATAAGTATTTGACGCAAGAGGATCTGGATTTTGGTCTTTATTTTGCAGCCCATGAGGCGCATTTAGACCTTGTACGGCTTTTTCTCAAAGCAGGCGCCAACATTAACACCCGTTGCGACGGCTGGGGTTCAGCTCTTGATGCCGCAACGGAGGGCCAACACTTTGATGTTCTAAAGTTCCTCGTAGATGGCAACCGTTCCCAGAATTCACTTAGTTATTCATTATGTCGGGACGCCCGAAGTGTGAAGATTCTCCTTGATGGTGGCGCAGACATCGATAAACAAATCGGATCCTTGGGGACAGCGCTCTGCCTTGCGGTAAAGACCTATGACTCTGCACTCTTCGACCTACTGCTAGAGAGAGGTGCCAATGTCAATGCCTCAGGGGGAGACTATTGTACGCCGCTCCAGGCAGCTTTTAGTTTGAACGGAAAGCCAGAGCTCATGCTTGAACGGATTCAGAAGTTATTAGACTGTGGCGCAGACCCCGGCATTCAAGGCGGGCGATATGGAACAGCACTACAGGCTGCATGTTGCTTCTCTTTATATTATTCACGCGATATCGGAGTAAAAATGAAAGCTGTACGGCTTCTTATTGAGCATGGCGCCAGTGTGAACGCCCAAGGGGGACGTTACGGATCACCACTCCATGCGGCAGCATCGTCGTCACATCCTCAGGCAACGCAGGTGATCAAGCTACTCCTGGACAACGGCGCCGAAATCGATCAACCGGGTAACGATGATTGGAAAACTGCACTGCAAGTTGCTTGTTATGAAGGGACAATAGAAGTTGTGCGCTTTTTGCTCGGCTGTGGAGCTGATGTGAACGCAGAAGGGGGTCGTTACGGTACGCCTTTACAAGCTGCGGCAGCTCGGCGCCTCAACGAGTTATCAGTTCGTGAAAGTCTACAGACTAAACTCTTGATCCTCACATTGCTCATAAACGAGGGCGTCGGTGTAAACGAACACTGCGGAGCCGCGCTATGGGCCGCCGCTTTGGAATCGCCTCATGAGGAAATCTTCGACTTGCTCCTTGCACATGGTGCGGATGTCAACGCATGCGCCCAAGACGGCGAAACGGCACTGATAGCCGCCTGCAGGAGTCTCAAGAATGACACGGCATGTGTGCAGCTTCTGTTGAACCATGGTGCTGATGTAAATGCGCACTCGGATCATTATGGAACAGCCCTTATAAGCACCTGTCAAGCGAAGCGTGGTTACCATACACTCCATGATGACGAATCTGTGGTGCATGTGGCACGATGGCTGCTCGACCGTGGTGCTGATGTAAATGAGCAACACGGGGAATATGGAACAGCACTCGAAGCTGCCTGTGCTTGGAACTTTGAGTTGGTTCAGTTATTGCTTGAACACGGCGCAGATGTTCAGCTCCAAGATGGTGCCGCCTGGTACGCAGCAGCTCGTTCTGCTGACATTCCCAGTCTTCAGCTTCTGCTTGAACATGGAATTGATGTGAATCATGTTTCTCAAAAACATGGGACTGCCCTGCATGCCGCAATGACATGGAGTCAACGGGACCCGCTCGGATATTCCCCAGATGAATACCAACTACCATCGCCTAATCTGATCGGCTTTTTACTTGAAAGCGGAATTGACCCCAATGTCACAAGTGAGAATTTGGGTTCTGCGTTGCAAATCGCATGTGGAAAGGAAACCTCATTCAGCAATGGAGTTTTGGAAAATGATATCTTTGAAATCCCCCCCAGAGCACAATGGCTCCTCGAACATTGTCCTAATATTAATGTAAATGCACGAGGCGGTTTCTTCGGCTCGGCTTTGCAGGCAGCTGCTTACACGGGTCGGACTCTTTTAGTAAGGATATTGCTAGAGAAAGGAGCCAATATTAACGCACGCGGCGGAAACTATCAAAGTGCGTTGAATGCGGCTGTTGTCCGTGGATGCTGGGATATCGTTGAGATTCTCCTGAAAGCTGGTGCAACACCTGACTGTCAATTACAACTGCAGCCTGATGAGGAGTGGCTTCGGAGTGTATCAGAAAAGGATGGCCGAGGTGCTGTTGAGAGGTATAGGAAGTTCTGGGAGGTGGAAATGAAAGAGAGAGAAAGGAGCTGCTCAGGTTAGATGGGACATCATCCAGACTGTTCACAGTACATAAGTACTTGATATTCGAGTGGATTTTAATTACTAAACATATCACTATTCAAGGGCTGAAAAGTAAAACGACTAGCTTGCTATATCATCTGGTGGTGGCCCCAAATATGCAATTGATATGATCTAGTGTAGCGTTGTAAATACAGCATGATTCATTGGAGACGTATCTGCAACCACTTCTGCACCGTTTATTCAGGGCTTTATCAACTCGACATACTCTGACTCCCTTCTCGCCGTACCACATGCTTTCCACAGTCCTCACCCAACTCAAGAAACTCATTGACGACTCCCTCACTAACCACAACAAGATTTGATCATGCAGCAATGCCCCTCAATATGTTATTTCACAATGCCGCGAAAGGTGTTGATTATACGCTGTAGGCGGCTATGGCAGTGGTGAAGGTAGCCGTCATCTGGGCCTTGATCGCTAGACCACCGGCCTTCAAAAGCTGAGGCTCAGCTGCGATGACGGCATCAAGAAACCCGATCACGGCGGCGTCTGCTGATCGGAGCTGGGATAAAATCAAAGCCTTCCCATCTGGTATGGCGATCCAAGAAGACACTTGGGTCCCCAACTTCACTATCGCGGCTACAAAGGTAGGCACGAGCTGCTGAACATCGGCGAGGATAGCTGTGCCAGAGACGACGCCAAATGAGACAGTATTTTTAATATCAGCAGTTGTGGCATTCAAAGCAGCAATCGCATTAGTGAAATCCAGTCGGATTGTAACTGCTCCTGATACGCCGCTGTCCGGGAAAGCATTGATATCGGTATGGAGGGTAGCCCAGGTTGGGCTAATCTTTTGCGCAATATCGTTCTGAACGGTAACAACATCGCGCTGAACGATGGCTGCAGCAGTGGCAGCAGTGGCAGTCAAAGCCAGCCAAAGGAATTTCGTAAACGCCACCATTTTTGCGAATTTGGTTTTGATAGTAAAATAAGCGAGAAATCTGGAGCAACTAGAGAGCTGATAGAAGTATGTAAAGAGAATCGGCTGTGAGGTTGATTGGGAGAGAGAAAAGAAGGAGAGCCTCAGAGACTTTATATACATTTGCCCTACTCTGGCCGGATATTAGGTGTGTATTGGTCGTCAAGTTACGACTGTGTGTACTACAATCGCCATATTGAGTGTCACTGCAGCGATATTGAGTCTCACCGCCGCGATCACGAGTCTCCTAGTGGCAATCTCTATTGTCTTAGTTGCCATCCCGATTATCAGTTACAAATCATGCGTGTCTCATGACGACGAGATCAAGTGCTCGGCTTTGACAGCAACAATGCGGAGTACACTATAGACTAGAGAAAAGATATTTGTCAATATTGTAGAGCCGCCGATCAGGAAACCCCGGTGTTGCGTTACTCAGACAAGAGGCAATAGTCCTATATTGTTGAAAGAATGCTAGCGCAACTATTTATTTGTGCAATCTGCCACAAACTGGGCCCTGTCTGTCAGTGTAAGATATCCATTCCGAAGAGACAAATCTCTGGGTTCTAGACTGTGTTGGCGGAACTGTCAGGGTTGTTACGGGCGATGCAGTACTACATGCCTTGTGGAGTTATAACTAGTTCCAGTCTGCTTGCTTTTTATTGACAAGTTATTTAAGATATATAACAAACGTAGAGAAGTGAGCTCATATATACCGAGTTAGCTGGGCTGAGTTACCTTAATCTCTGGACGACCTCATGCCGGGCTTCATAGGCTAAGAATCTGGTCTTGGGCAATCTCTCGTAAGATCGCTACAGTATCCCTGTAAGAGGAATAAAACCTCTAATATTGTCTCATTCTCCACGATCTCCAAAAAATTATTGAGATCAAGTCACACATACTCTGCTCTCATACAATAGTCTTGATTAGTGCGTGGCGGTCAGGATTATTGGTTATTGTCCTACCCACCTCTTAGTCCATGAATGACACCTAGATCATTATATCGATGGTATTAATATAATGCACTTCAATAGCTGCTATTATAGCAATATTCTTCTAGTGTCTGCTACTATAGCCATGTTCTTCTAGTATCCGCTACGATAGCAATATTTTTCTAGTATCTATTATTATAGAGATATTCCTCTAGTCTGCACTACTTCTTTTACATCTGATTATCAATATAAAGTTATTTGATTTCTCTTTTCTTATTATAATGCATATTAAAATAGAGATACTTAGAGAATTTGCACCACCTACAATTGAACTCTCCCAGCGAATACCGCATAAACCTGCCTCAAGCCTCCTGATGTGACGACTATAATGAATAGGCCAAATATTCTCAAGTAGACTTTAAAGGCGTCTTCATCATGGTCTGTTTAAACACCTGTAGCGCCAGCTCAGGTTGAAAAGCCGGGGTTGCATGGCCCGCCGCATACACCCTCAACCAGCTCAACGCACCGACGGTTTTGAACTCTCCTCCCTTGACACCGTTTACCGTATATCCGGTTACCGCCTTCTGGTTGAAGGCTGTTTGGCTTTGGTACTGGATGGCATTCGCAGCTGCAAATCCTCCGAACCAATCACAGACGGCGTCGGCATCGCCTGCCCAAATGACTGTAGTCACGCCGGATTGAACGACTTTGGAGAGAGCGGGCAGATACGAGCGTAATCCTGAATAATGTTAGATGGAACAGTAAAATAGGGATGTAATAGGAAAGAATTACCGTCGTCAAGGTTGTCGATATTGTTCGCCACGTCGCTGGAACAGTCCGAATAGGCCACATTCACACCAATTTTCTTCTGGATTGCCGGATCATTCAAGTAAGCGATGTAAGTTGCGGGTGGGAAGTTCCCAGGAGCGGGCTGTCTGATATCATGGGTAGAGTAGTTGGTGAGAAAGAACTGGCTAAACTTGTTGTCGACCGCCGCGCAAGGTGTCTCTGCTGCTACGCAGTCGTCGAAGTGGCCATCTTCAAAGGGCGAACAATTTAACACGCCAGGCAGACACTGGGATTCAATTTCCGAGATGTACTCTAGCGCAATACTGTTGTTGATCAATGGGTAGTAGCTGTTGTTGGCGCTGAACCTGACGAAATTCGTTTCCGATATCGCCATGTCGTAATAGCCATTGTTGATTCCCAGAGCGACCAGGTTAATCTTTTGACCCTGGATCTTGCCGCTGGCGATGTCGGTGTTTTGAGATTGGATATATTCAGCAAATCCTAGACGAGTCAGTCAAACATCCCAAACACGATGGATGTAGTCTTACTAGGTCCAAAGTGCCCGCCATATGACTCTGTGAAGATACCAAAGTCACGAGATTCGTACTGTGGGAAGTTGGTGAAGAAGGCTTGTAAGAACGTCCAGACAGGAGCGGCAGTAGCAAAAGTCGTGTTGACAGTTTCGCTTCCAAACGAGAATCCAGTGCCAATAGGCTGATCAACATATAGCATGTTGGCGTACTCGTTCCAGCTGTGTGGATTCAGCACTGGCGTGTTTCCATTGACGTTGTTGAAAGTACAAGGGCCGTTTTCCTGCCAAGTCCCTCATCAGTCTTGAAATATACAAAGAGATGGATTACATTCCGTACCGTGAACAATCCAATCATGGATGAACATCCCGGTCCTCCATTCACCCACAAAGCCAGCGGCGCTGTGGCAGGGCTGTTTCGCGATTCAAAAAACCAGAAGAACATGCTCATGTTTGCTGCATCACTCGTTAACTAACGTAACTTTAACACAAGTCAGCCCAACAGATTACATACTGCCCACAGACAAATAGCCAGAGTACTGGTTTACACCAGGAGTTGTCTCGCAGACACCCGAGTTTGTCACATAGTCAATCTTTGCTCTAGTCGCCCGGTGCTCAAACACGGTATGCGTAACGCCGTCTCGTACTTCTATCGAACGCTTTCCCCTAAGGTCATGTTGCGATGGTACGGATCGAGGAGTGCTGAGGCCATTTGCTGCCGCTATGAACGACAAGCACGCCGCAGTCTGGCTCAATCGAAAGTGCATTTTGGATAGATTACTCTTGGAAGATCTGAATGTAATTGAAGCTGATTGAACTACTTGAAGGCGAATACAAGGCACCTTATATCAATGTTTATAACTTCCATCCCCGCAAAAAAAGCCGGCGAGGTCTAAAAGGGGGCGAGAGTTGTTTGCGAAATGCCAACAGCCGGATCAGCGGTGTATGTCAGAATCAGCGGTGTATATCGGAATTAGAGCTATCTCATTGAAGGTGCTTGAGGATGAAGATTCATGGTATTGGGAGGTTGCTTACGCCATTGTATCTGGAAGTTGTATTTGGAAGCCATTGCCCATGTCAGTATGCATGCCCTTGTATGCCTTGGTACCTGTAAGAAGATAGTCACGGAACAGTCAACCGAAATAAATGTTTAACTTTTTACAAGGTACATAGAGACTTTCCCTTGCCCTTGCTATTACTATAGGTAGTGCTAGCAAAAGCACAAAAGAGGCAATCGTCAACTTCCGCAAATAGCTAGCCCACAAGGCGGTATGGCCAGGAAGCAAGGTCACCCCTGGATTATTTATAAACAAGCTGTAATAATCGTATCTTTATAAACCATAATAAGTTTCTATAATCTCATCGAGGCAAATGGACAAGGACACCAATTGCCCGAAGAAGGAAGAGTCAGGGGAAGTGGCTGGTTTCCTTCATCAGTCCAACGAGGCCGGGGTACTGAGTCTGGTGTAAGACCACAACGGAATCGGGAATGGGGCCCGTGCAGCCTTCAATCGTCGTGTAATACAATTACTTCGTTAGATCTTATTGGCCTCTGATGGGATGTTTTCAAGGCTGAGATGGCTTGGTCACTTGTACTGGATGACTTCTGGGCGCCGATACAAGCAAACATGTAAACAGTTATAAGAGCGAATGTAGAGAGTTAGCTGAAGTTGCAGTGTAAAGCTAGCGGCCTATTACATAGCAAATCGTGTTTGCTGTGCTCATGGAACCAATTTCAATAACATCAATGCTTTGCAAATGCGTCAAGTGTTTACCAGATAAAGAGGCCCCAACGCCGCTTCACCGCAGATGCTAAAGTAGGCAAATTAATATTATTCTATCGTGCATTCTTTTTCGTCGTGCCGCGTTTTCCCCTGCATTTGTTGCCCTCCTAACTCAGCTACGTAGGTAGTCAATATTCGTCATTGAACAGCTCTTCCGTCCTTAATTACCCACATAGGTAGCGATGTAGCCAAATACGGCCCATCTGTACGAGTGAGAGCTTGTTCGCTTTCCACATCACTTTTCGATTTGGAAGTGACTGTAACCGAGTCTTACAAAGGACTGATTTCATTTTTGTTCTTCGTTTGCCTAGAAGGGGGTTTTCCAACTATACCAGCAAGGCAGCTATCCAGCCCCTCCAATACCATGTCTGCAAATTAGGACTGGCTAAGAGGTGCGCCGTCCTTTCGCTTCTGCTCGCCGTACTTCTTGAGGCGCATAGCCTGGATGGCAATGAAACCAGAGGTATCCATCGGGGAAAAGCCCTCGAGAGAGTCCATAGAAGCATCCTCCTGGGAGTACAAGTTGGATGACTGGCTGGAACGGCCCAAGATAGTCACGTTGCCCTTGTAGGCAGACAGTCGCACAATTCCAGAAACATTACGCTGAGAGAACTCAATAGAGTTGTCGATGAACTCGCGTTCAGGGCTGAAGTACATGCCGTTATAAAGCTGGCGTGCCCAGTTCAGACTGACGAATTGATCCCGGAGTTCTCGCACTCGGGAGTCCATGACGAGACCCTCGAGGTCCAAATGGGCCGCCAGGGCCAGCGTGAGGCCTGGCGATTCATAGCAACCTCGGGACTGGATTGAAAGTTAGCAATCAAGTTTTTCTCGGGCGTAAATGTGGAAAAAGAGGAGAGGAAAGAGCATGAACAGCGGGAACCGAAGAGTTGAAATAGTGGGACCAAAATGAGGCACTCCAAGGGTTTTTAAGGGACACATGTGCCTAATCCACTGAAGGCCAACTCGGGCAACCTAATTCAACGCGATCAAGGGTTGAGAGTTGCCAAATGAGGTACCACAAGTGAGACACTTCGACATTTGGATCTCGGGGTAGGTAACCAAAACGTCGCGGATCGAAACAAGTCTCTTGAAAGTCTCACCTTTAGTCCAATAAAACGGTTCTCAACGATGTCAATGCGTCCGACACCAGCATCGCCTCCAATCTTGTTGAGGGCTTTGAAGGACTCAACGGAGTCGGTAATCTCCTCCTGGCCGATGACAACCTTAGAGATGACACCTTTTTCGAAGTGAATGCTGAATTCGACGGGCTCATCAGCCGCATCCCTGGGGTCCTTAGTACGAAGCCAAAGCTCCTTCGGGGGAGTCGTCTCGGGGTCTTCCAGAATTCCCGCTTCGTAGGAGATGTGAACAATGTTCTAATCGTTGATGTCAGTGTGCTTCAGGCCAATCCATGTAGCGTATCAAGGGAGTTCTGAGTTGAGGCGAGCCCAAACCACGACATAGAAGCTTCAGGGGGCGAAGCTTCAGGGGGTGAAGCTTCAGTCGGAGGCCCATCCCTCAAGATTCAGGTGACTTTGCAAAGCTCCAAACATAGGGAAGAGAGAGAAATCACGGTGTACGAACCTCATCCCTATGGAAATATTAGTAAAGCAATCCCGATACAATGGGTAAATGGGCTGTTGGAAAAAAGGAGATGGAAGAAATACTTACATTGACCAGGGGGCCTTGGGCGTAGAGCTAACGGGGATTCCGTTCTCAGCGGCGAACTTAAGCAGGTCATTGCGACCCCTTGAAAAGATTAGCTGGCCAGTCTTAAAGTGGAAGATAGATTGAACTAACTTGAAACGCTCGACGAAAGCGGGAAGTCGCCATGGGGCAATAACCTCAATGTTACTTTGCAAGTTAGTCAACGTGTCGAGGTGTCGAGATCCAAAGCACTTACGGGTTGAGCGCATGGAAAGCCAGCTCAAAGCGAATTTGGTCGTTTCCTTTTGTCAAAATGTCAGCATCTGTTTGTTATCATGAAGGAAAGAAGAAGAAAAGTATATGAAGAGTGGGAGGTGAGCGCTGGAATTGTCGGGCCTACCTTTTCCAGTGCAGCCATGCGATACTGATACGTCGTTAGCTTCACTCGACATCAAAATTGGTAGGATTCTTACAGTATTGGCAACCGTGTTTTTCTGCGACTCGAACTTGGCTGCGGGCGATCACAGGGCTGCAAAATTGTGAGATGAAGTCCAAGAGGCAGGACGCTGAGTTTGACTGAAACGAAACTCACCGAGCAAGTGCTGTGCCCAAAAGGTACCGAGACTCAAAGACGGCATTGCACTAATAAAGAGCAGTAGGTCAGCATAGTCCGATATTCAATAGTTACGGAGATTAATACCTGGATAGCTCGCTTTACGACTTCGTCCACGAGCTCACGCTGGAGGTTTTCGCAAACGAAGGCTTTGGCGCCGAGCTGGAAACGATTAGACTTTTTCTTCATAAAATCTCGAAGCATTCCCAATGGCAATCAATACCTGAAGAGCCTTCTTCTCGACGGCAGCAAAGTCCTCGATTTGACCCACATCGGCCAAAAAAGCAATCTAGGAGAGGTACGTTAACTGTAACGTCTCACATCATGAAGCTCTAGAAGAACAAACATACCACCTCGTATCCCTCCTGGATCAGCCAGACAAGAATCGTAGACGTGTCAAGTCCACCGGAATAGGCGCTGTGACTCCATTAGTTACTGATGAAAGCCAATTTGAAGGAGTTGATCGGGCAATTTGAAGGTTGAAGGAGAAGGACGTACAGACAAACACGACCCTTGGACATGATGGCTAGCGGTTGGATTGGAAAAGAAAAGTTGATGGGTTTGGTAACAACAGTGAGAGCAGGTGCAATTCGTACCTTGGCTCGAAATATATGAGTTCGGCCAAGAAGAAATGTCTCACGTTAGGATGACTGTTCCAAGCTCAATGTGTCGTCACAAGCATGGATGATGCCGATGCAATTTATTTCCTTGTGGGTGACTCGGAGCTGGTGGGGCATCACGTGATGCACCCGATCTCGGACCCCTGATAACAGTCACCTTTGTTGTTGGTTTGTTTAAATCGTTTAAGCTTCAATGCCCAACAAACTACCTAGTAGCGTACGGGACCCTTGGGCAGCAAAAGCTTGCTATAAGTAGCCCATATAGAGAACGCTGTGCAGTCGCAGGTCTTCGTGTTGGCATTAAAACCCGCCCATAGCATACATGTAGAGAGCATCGCCAATTGGGGTGATGGGACTAAGCCTACTACCTAAACAGAGTCTCACTTTCTCGATGAAAAAGAAGATCTGCTCAGTCTCTCAGGTGGCCATGCATTGAAGGGAATGCTGAACGATACTTGGAAAAACACTGGTATCAGATATGCGGCTTTCCTGTCTGTTGTTATTTCCAATGTACCCGCCAGCTCCGGAGATGGAGCATAGCACCTGGGTGTCCGGAGACAGGTATCTTATTAAGAAAGGACTGGTTGGTAATAACAGCAGATGCCTAAAGAGCTAGGTGTTCGCTATTTACTAGACAAGTAAATAGTAAAAAGAGAAAGAAAAAGGCTTCTATTTCCTTCACCTTTTGTCCTGACGCTTACACCTCACGCAGTCGCTGGGGTCGCTAGTATCTGCGTTATAAGTTGATTGAGTCGTAGACCAAGCACATACGACCATAGGTAGAGGAGAATTCGGGGTCCCGTCTGCTCCCCCAGAGACAAGCCTCTAACCGGCAGATTAGTAGTTGAGTGGGTGACCATCAGCGAACACCGGCTGTTGTATGTTTTTGTTTTGTTGCCTCTTTTTTTCTTTCCGCGTCTTTCTTTTGTCTTGTCGTCGTTTCTGGCTGTTGAAGTGATGTGTGAGCGAAAGAGCAGATGCTTACATTTTGAGCCTGTAAAATACCTAATGCAAGGTAGGGTAACATCGCGTCAATGTTTGCACGTGATACGGCATTTCTCTACTTTCTCCATGATTGATTCACCTCCTCCAATAAACAGAAGAGGGGCATTCACAAATCAACGCAGAGCCTGTAACAAGCGCTGTTGTGTTTGGAGGTCTGCCTGTGGCTTTCAGTAAGCGATTACCATTCATTTCCAATTACCAGGCGAGAGGGCGAATTCAGTGCCGCCACTTTTGGTATTTGGAAAAGAAGAAAAAAAGCGGAATCAGCGGTCAGGGATCGTGTTGCTTATGTGATGGATATAAAGCTCACTGCAGGGAAGAAAATCAATGAGGCGGAGCAGAGTCGCACATAGTAGACGCTTGTATTTACGTAGCGGACCCTTGGTTTCATTCAATTTTTTTCTTCTTCTTTATTTTGCCTTGAATTTTTGTTTTTCTCTATTTCAACTTCCTTTCTTGTCTGCTTATAAACACCACGTCTCATTAGCCTAGGGCGATCGCCAAGGCCAAGTGGTCTTTCTTTCTCAGCCCAGAAATCTTTAATCCCCACGTTTTCTACCATCTAATCCCAGGCCATGGCGGAGGTTCTTGGCACCGCCATTGGCGTCATTGGCTTCGTCGGCCAGCTATTCGACGGCTGCGTCAAGGCCTATGGATACTTCACCACGGCAAGCAACCTGGACTCGGACAGCCAGCGGATGATGTGCAAAGTGCGCATTGAGGAGATGCGGCTGGTGGTCTGGGGCAGGGAATGGGGAGTCGCAGAGGGCAAGTTTGACGAGCACCTGAGCGAGCGGAATCCGCAACTCAAGGTCTTGGCGACACAGATTCTGGAGCAGCTTCATGGCACCGTCACGGACTTTAAGAAGCTGCAGGATCGCTATGGGCTGGTGGATGAGGCGGCGAGCAAGGGCGGTAAGGAGGCGGATGTCTCACCACCGCGGAAAGGATCCAAGGATGAGGGCAAGAAGACGAATGGCTTCAAGGCGTCATCGAGTACGCTTTCGCTTTCAAATGAGAGGAGCTGGAGAAAAGAGATTGGGCTGAGGACGAAATGGGTAATAGGAGGTGAGATTTGGTCGTGTCGGTGCAAGTGAGAGAGTTCTGGCGGTGATGCTTACAAATGCTTCCCTGCCCCTGAACAGACAAGGACAAGTTTTCCAACCTGTTGAAGGATCTCAAAGGTGCGTACGGTCACTTACACACGCTTCTTTCTCCAACAACGTCGAACAGCTAACAAAGAACCCAGACTTCAATGATGGCCTTGAGGCCCTCTTCCCCCCTTCCCAGGTCCAATCCTTTCAGCGTGCCTGGACGCATCAGCTCCTCGACCGCGCCCAACGAGACCTCGCTGAGCTCTCTCTGCTTGAAAATGCATCGTCTGGCATCTATCCCAAGCTCACAAACTCAGCCAACCTCAAGAAACTTCGCATCAACCTTGACAGCAAGCCCCAGGAATCCTTTAAACCTACCTTTGCCCTGAAAATCGGGCGCACCTCGCTCAACATCCAGGACCTAGAATCGCCTCGCCGGGTTCAGGCGCACCACGTCACTGCAGGTGATGTACTCATCGAATGGGTCGACTATGACCGCGAAGAGATTGAGGAGCGTGTTGTCCATGTCCGAAGAATGGACGACTTGGCTCGCATGATGCACTCAGCCTCAGAGTGCCATCCAGATCTTCACAGCATTGATTGTCTGGGATACACAGACGACGCCGCCAACAACCGCTATGGCCTTGTCTATAAAGCGCCAGCATCATCCCACTCAACACTTAAGACGCTCATCTCTAGCCCCGACCTCAAAACGCCGGATCTCGACGACCGCATTCGCCTTGCGCAAACCCTCGCCGTTGCCGTTTGGTCCCTGCACTCGCTCGACTGGCTGCACAAATCCATCTGCTCCTCTAACATTGTCTTTTTCCCCTCTGCATTTTCAACATCCGGCCTCTCGCCCACCGCCTCTGCCGCCCTCGTCCCAGACATCTCCTTGCCGTATCTCAGCGGCTTCGGCGCCTCCCGCCCGGAGCTCGACACGGCATTGTCCGTTGTCCCGCGCAACCCGTCTATTGAGGACCTTCACCGCCATCCTGCCTCTCTTCGTGGCAGGCCGCATATCAAGTCGTTTGACATTTACAGCTTCGGCCTAGTCCTGTTGGAGATTGGCCTCTGGAAGGTCCTACAGACATACTACAAGGGACACTACACTGCTGAGCGCTGGCGTGATAAGGTCGTCCTCGCCGTGCTAGTCCCGGGGTTAGGGAGCAAAGTCGGCAAGAGGTACAGGGAAGTAGTAGAGATGTGTCTGCGAGTGGATGAGGAAATGTCGAGCAGTGAAGCGGGTGAATTGATGGAGGAGGTTGTGAATAAGCTGGAGAGCATCCGGGTGTGATGTGAGCAGTGACAGGACACGATTTGACGACGATAATGATGATTACATGTGTAGTGATGATGAAAACATGGCGGGTTATTGCATATAGAAGGAAATAGTAAGGAATGCTGCAGGGAAATAGGAGTGGCCGCCCGACACTCCGACTTGGTCATTCAGAACACCGAGTTTATGTTAGTAGACACGATACATATTTCTAGATACTAATAGAATGTAGCGATAGTAGCAGGAATTGTGTCCAAATCTATATACTATCACTAGTAGCAGGAAGTAGACCTCAATTCTTTTTATCCGGCTACTAGGTAGTATATATAAACTCCTGGACGGTTGCTAGAGAAAGAGTCTTTCCTCGGTATCAGGTCCAGATCGACAGTCCGCTCGTGGGCCTCGTCAATGACGACGCATGCGTACGCCGATAAGGTTTTGTCTATGCTCAGCTGGCGAAGGAGAATGCCTCCAGTCATATAGGCCAGCCGAGTCTTTTTCTGTTTGTCTTGGCTGATCATGTTGTCGTCACGGATCTAGTAGCCAACTTCCTCGCCAAGGACAACCCCCATCTCGTCGGCAACTCAACTGTCAAGCTCAGTTACAGCCAGTCGGCGCGGCTGGGTGCAGGCAATCTGGAGCCCACTTTGATATTCATCATAGACAAGAAGCTGGGGGACCTGGGCTGACTTGCCAGAGCCAGTTTCGCTCGACAAAATCATTACCTGGGACTTGTGGTAATTGTCCAGAATCTCTTGGTATCGTCCATAGACCGGTAATTGGCGGCGGCCTTGAAGAATGTTTTTGGTGATCTTGGGGCCACGATTTTCCGGTCAGCGGGTTTTGAGCTGCTATCCTTAAGACGCTGGATTTGGGCGGCGGTGGCCTGGTTGCGTGCAATGGACTCCATTTTGGCTGGTTTGCTTGGTTGTATGTATCTTTAAAGAAGATTTGCGAGTACATTATGCTGAGAGTTGAGATTGTCCTGTTGAGAGTGTTGCTGATACTTGAAAGTGGAAACAAAAGGTAGCCAGAGCAGTTGATACAAGAAATATAGCAATAGTAGTAGATACTAGAACATAATATCGACAGTAGCAGATACTAGAACATAGTATCAAGAGTAGCAGATACTAGAATATAATATTAGGAGTAGCAGATACTAGAATAAAATATTTATAGTAAAAGAAATTAGTAATAATAGTAAATACTTAAAAAGTAGGGTAATTAAAGTTATTTTATTAAATACTTATAATTAAAATATAAATATAAGGCTTTTTTATATATTTTATTTTAATACTTAAGCCTTATATAGTTAATAAAAGTCTAAGTAAAAAATAAGAGAGCTAAGCTTAATATACTTATAAATAAATTGGGGGGGAGTTGCTGGGCTGTGCCTTCCACACAGGGCTCTAGCTGCCTCAGGCAGGCTGTGTGTATTTTGTTAGGAGAAGGTGCATTGGTCTTAGTTCGCCGCTCCAGCGTTGACAGGAATCCTGGATCCTCTTATTCGACAAATCGTCGATGAACAACTCGCCGCCGCTGGGTTTGGCGACTCTGTTGCTCTTATTCGACAGACCGTCGATGAACAACTCGCTGCCGCTGGATTTGTCGCGCCTGATGGCGACTCTGTTGCGGATGGCTCCCAAGAGGAAATTGAGAATCAAATCGTCCACGACGACAACAACGATTTTGATGTCGACGACGAAGACAACGATTTCGATGTCAACCCTCTTCAATATACTTAAGGTGGTCTTCGTCATGGACCTGGGTCTCCTCTTCTTCTTCTTCCTTATGCATCCTTACTCAATTCAATGATACTGTCTTTGGCACCCCTCTGCCGTTGTGACCGTGCCCTAGCCTCCAATCTGGTGACCGAGACAGGGGACAGGGAAGGTTCGCAGCTTCTCGGCCCTTCCTGGCTTAATAGCCATCTTCCCTCCAACTCGGTGAGTCCATCCGACAGCGACGATTTCGGACATTCCCACTTCCACCTTGTTGAAGCTTAGCTTCAAGAGGGCCCAGAGCAAACGGGGCAGCAAGTGGTCTTTTATCAGAGTCCATTCGGCGTCAAAGCTCGTGCTGGTGCCAAAGATATCATCAATGTAGGACCCCAAAGGGTTCAGCTCGCCTGGGCTGTCTTAAATATTTAATTAAATTATTATAATAGGTACATATATTTATTTTTAAAATATAAAAGGTTTTTAAGTATTATTAATATTTATTAAAGACTATAATAAAGATAAAGGCGCTTAATAAAAAGATAAAGAAGTAAGCCTGCTCCTGAACCCTATATGGGATTATTAATAAATCTGCAGGGGGCAGTGTTCGCTAAAAAAAAAGGCTGTTTAAGTAAAGAAAGGTGACCCTTTAGACAACGAAACGTCAGGACAAGCTTCAGATGTGCACCAGTTCAGTGGCTGCCATGTCCATGCTGAATATTCCAGAATATTTCCAGGAAGGCTTTTATATAAAGTTAAACCACTCGACACATGACGTCAAGCTTCAGACAGATATCCAGGCCTGGAGAGCGCACGCAATCTGGTTCTTGCCGCTGTTCTGGTAGCCCTTCAGGGAGATGCACCATTTATCTTACACATGTCACCAGTCAAGGCAGTGAGCAAAGATTAAATTCTTGCCATTGCCGACAATACCAATGACAGCAATCAATTAGTTTCGACCGGCCTGCAGGTTGAGTTGGGAACGACAATTTGAACTTATATCTCTATTATCAAGATTAGTTTGAAGCACTGGTGCCATACGACACAGGTCATGATCGCTCCCTGGTGTTAGTACGTGGGGGGTTCTAGTTCACATCACGAATGACTTGGATGCGGATAGCTACATGGATTTGACCTCGCCAGAATTTTCGTGTTTTATCTCTCTCTTGTCTTTTGTATGTTACTCTATATCCAACAAGTATCTCCGAAGCCGTCGATTCGATCTGACCAACATCCACAAGATGTCCAGCGCGATTCCACTTCAGGCTCGGATTTCTCTAGCCTCCGTACCTATTTTTGGCACTCCAAAGCCCGAGCGAGTCCGAAAAGCCAGCAGCAAAGACAATGTCCAAAATCGGAATGGCTATACAAGCGCTGACTCGCGCCAGCCAGAATCTTGACGCTGAACAAAAAGAGAGAGCATGGGGATGGTCATTAGTCGAAGCTCTAGTGTAAGGCTGTTTCAAGCTTATGTACGGAGGATGAGCCGCAGCACATCCCCCTGTAATACGGAGTAAGGCTGACGGGAGTTTAATGCATCCCGGCCTCGACCCCAGAGTTTCTGAATAAATATCTTGACAACCCTCAGACAGCATTTGGATCTGCCTCAACTCTTCTCCTCCTCTTCCCGTCACTTCACCAACCATGGCCACAATGGCTTCCTCATTTCCGTTGATGTCGTTTCCCGAGGAGATCATCGAAAACATATGCCGACAACTGGCCGACTACCCTCGATTACGATATACCCCAAAGTCTCTGTCCGACCTCTGCCAAGCATCAAAAGCCCTCAATCGCATCGGCACACCTGTGCTTTATTCTTGCTTCGACGCCAGCGAACGCTTAAAGAAGCTTGCTGATTTCCTCCGAACCATCACCCTGCGACCCGAACTTGGTGCCTTGGTGCAAGATTTGTATCTCAACGCGTTTTACTGGACCGAGTTCGACAAGAGTCATACCGAAGCCTTTGAGCGTGCGGCAACAAGGCTGGGCGTAAGTCTGGATGGCTGGATGGAAGACAACCCGTGGGAGGCCATATCGCAGCTCGTCATCGCCTACACGCCGAATGTAAGGTCCATGGAAGTCACTGCGCACGAAGTCTACTGTGATGATGGCGTTGGAGCCTTCACACTGCTTGAGAAAATGGCTGCTCAGGTTCCAAGGCAAGTCTCGCTGCCGCACCTGCGTAGACTCTGCGTGGGCCATGACGACTGTCGGCAGATATCTCTGGGATACTTTGGGGGAATTCTTGAACTTGCACCCAGTATAAGGGAGATTAAGTGCGACCCAATCTACGGCTTCCATGGTAGCGAGAAGCTTATGAATGATCGTATGATTCTCGACAATGTAACCCGTTTATATCTCAAGGGTGGTCACATATCCAGGAGACAATTAAATGAGATAGTCTCGCGCTGCCAAGCCCTGGAGTACTTCAAGTATACATATCACTCTATTTACGCTGGCCTCGAGGAAGAATGTGTGACTCCAAGAGAGGTCATCGATGTGCTGAGAGACCATCATCACAACGACACTCTCCGCTCAGTCTACATTGATCTAAGATGGCGGGAAAGACGGTCAACCGATGAATTGTCCTTTTCCGGTCTATGCACGGATGGTGACCAGATCCTGTCCCTCAAAGATTTCTCGCGACTCGAGAGTTTCCACGTCGACGGCAGCTCAGTCCTATTTCCAGCCGTCCAAACGCCAGGTTACCGCACCGACATTGTGACCAACATGTTGCCCGGCTCTATACGTCGCTTTCAACTTACCAATGCGCAAGGAGAATCTGTCGCAAATGTGATGACTCTGGCAACGTCACTTACTGAATTCCCGTTCCTGGAAGAGGTGGTTTTGACGGGGAATGGCACAAACGGGCCGCTGGGCGATGTGGAAGAGGAATTGGATGGATCGGAGATGGGCCTGCTGCGCAAAGTGTTAGATGAGAGTGGGATACGACTCGAAGATACGTGGAGCGACGATGAGTATGATTGACGAAGTATGAGATGTCGACTTGTGAGGCAGTGGAGTTTCTCAGTAATTCTGGGTAGAAGACACGTAGAAATAGGGCACATCTAATAGTTATGAGGTAGTTTATGAAATGAATGCATTCCATGTATCGGGGTTATATCTAATCCGCCAGTTTCTTGTTACGAGGGATAGCTTCTTCTACTGCGTATCCTGTAGTTTCCAGCATATGAAAAACAAAGTCAAATGTGTTTTCAAGTCTCGCTTCATAAGGACATGGATAATCTCGTATCACTAGGTCATCAAGGTGTTGCGCGAGCAGAACCTTCTTGTCCAAGGTTGAACTGGTGCACATCTTTAACTTGTCCTGACGTCTCATTGTCGGAAGGGTCACCTTTCTTTGCTCGAGCAGCCTTGGCGAACACTGCCCCTGCAGATTTGTCGACAATCTCATGCAGGGTTCGGGTTCGGGCTCAGGGGCGAGGGCGAGGGCAAGTTCACTCTTCGTCTTCTTATTAAGCGTCTCTATCTTGGTTGCAGATTCCAGTAAATAGCAGCAACGTCTAAGAACCTTCTACATCTTAGAGATACTTATCACAACGGTTTAGCTAAATATGTTAACTTTGCCTTTGCCCTATCTACAGGTACATTAAGCCTAGCTCTCTCATCCTTAACCTTAACCTTTACCGACTGCGTAAGGTCTAAGTGTTAGAATAAGATGCGAAAGAAAGACTTAGATTTATATTTTTATTGCAGGTATTTAGTAAAATTACTTTAATTGCCCTGCCCTTTGAGTATTACACAACTAGCTGCTTTCTGCACTATATGAGAGTCTAATTGAGAGAAAATCTTGTTCCTCGCCAAACTCTGATGCATCGCACTTCTACCGGGGCCAAGTTTGCTGCGTATTGTGTCAAGCATAAGTGTTGTAGGCGTCTGTCATGAATTGCGGTAGTAATTCCCCATCGTGGCTGCATATAACTGAGAGCTCGTGGTGCGAACCATCTAGGCGAGGAATCTTGACGAGTCCTCTGACGATTTGCTTTGCCAACTTTGATCTCAACAGATATTGTTCTGGCCTGATTGGGGATAAGGTCATCAAGTACTTTACATGAGGGGGCTGTGTTTCTTTTAGTACAGACCTGAGATGGTCGAATGTCACCGACAAGCCTCCTCTCCCGTGTTGGTCCTCACTTACCTACACATATAAAATGTGTACATATAGGATTGAAGGGATCACATGGGCAGACACTAGCCGCAAAACAAGGTAGCTAAACAAGATATGAGGTATGCTTACCGAGCAGGCTTTTGATTGTCATGCTTCTTGAGACATCAGGTCCCGGGTCCCATTTCGGCTTTCTTATCACAATAAACTGTGTGGATAGCCAATAAGCTAATGGATGATGCGGCTGCTGATAAATACTCGGGCGGTTTTCACGGCCAGCTTCAAGTGTTTCCTTCATTCGAATCATCTCTGGATCAAGGTCAGTGGCCTCCAAGGCAGCAGTGGACGGCCTCCATTGGAGACGTAAACAGGCGATAACTTCAAGTGGCGAAGACGCCCGTTGAGGACAACCTGTACCCTACCTGGGCCATCAGGCCTATACCTACACGATTTGCCCAAGCGCACACCGCCGCTTTTGCAAAACCAAGAGCCAAATACTGCCGCACTTCTACCACCAAAATAGATCGCTGTGGGAATCGAACCCACCCCCAAGGGGAACCAGTGCGACCTTTAAAAGGTTTTTCAACCATGAAGAAATTGGGTTTCCACCCATGAAGGAATGGGGGTTTTCACCCATGAAGAAATTGGGTTTTCACCCATGAAGAAGTAAGGAGAGAGTGGACTTTCGCCCAGAAGAAATAAGGAAAGAGTGGACTTTCGCCCGACCAGGTTTTCACCCACCAAGAAATTAATACCGTACTATTCATCTATGTAGGAGGGTACTCCTCGTCGCTTTGAACTTCGTTATCGTCATCTTCATCTTCATCCTCCTCTTCCACCCCCCTATCCTCGATCTTCGATCTTCGATCTCTCCTGTTGCTCTGCGGAGCGAACAACATCTTCCACTGCTTTGTGGACTCGGCGGGCTGCCTCTTCAATCTCTTCATCCGTCATTTTGAGTGGCGTTTCAAATCCGTGGTCCGAAATCCAAGAATCGATTACTTGTATGTCAGCAGTCTCGAAATGAGTTGCAAGTGCCATTAACATGCTTTGCCGCATATAATTTCCTGGCGATGGGAAAGGACGCTGATCATAGTACTCAGCCCATGTTATCTCCCATCCGTAACACTTTTCATGTCTAACACGGATAAGCGACATGATAAAATGAAAGTAGAGAAAACGCGAGACGGGACGTTTCTCGTTGAGAAATGTTAATTCCTTTCGGTGGATGTCTGCACCTTTTAAAGGAGCGTGAAATATCTCTTTGAGTGTACTCTTGTCGATAATGTCTGATCGCCATCGTGTGATGGGGACTTCTTTAGCATCGACGGGTACAATCACCATCAAATATTTGTCGAACCACCCCTCAAGTTTATCGTGCAAAAGGAGTGAATTTCCCGCTTTTGAAAGAGATTCCGCTCGGTTACCGAATAGAAGCTCGCCGAGGCTCCCGACATCCAGAAAAAAAGGCACAATATGCGCAGCTGTAATATGTTTCGTTGAATGATACATTGCAGATATATGGCACCAAACGTCCTTTGTCGGAGGGAGTGAGCTCGTCCTGCCCTTCTTTTTGCGGTTGCCTTTCACTCTGGGCTCGACGTCATCCTGGGGTTTGGGGGCAGCTGCGCTCTCAGCGTCGTCTTTGGCCAGCCCGTCATAATACAACACGACATCTCTGCGCCAGTTGTTCGGGCGACTTTTCCTCTTGGTGAGCCCATCATGGTCTGCGTAAAGCGACAAGACCCCTTCAGAAAACGTGTTGGGGCGAGGGTCCAACGCCCGCACCACACCAGTCCCGGTTAAATTCGCCTTTTTCCTATACCTCCATAGATCCTCTCCATTGGAGAAATGTCGCTGATTATTACTTTGCGAGCGCCTCTTGGCTTCCTCGTGTAGTATCAAGCCAAGCGCCTCCTCTAACTCGAAGACTTGTCGCTCCAATTGGATCGTTTTCTTTTTCCTGAGAGCTTTCTCGATTCCGAGATTCGCCAACTCCAGGGTGGCCACGAGGTCTGGCTCTGGCTTTTGCTGGTCTGGCTCCAGGTCTGGTTCCACTTTGTGCTTTAGGGACGTGTACTCCCTCTGCAGCTGCATCGAAAGTCGTCGCGCTTTTCTAAACGCAACCCTCACGGCGACTAACTCGGGTGGTGCGACATTTGGGGAGCCTCGTGTGTGTGGCGAGACTCCCGACCCCGGAGTGAGAGTGGATCGAGGAGGAGGAGGAGGAGCCGGGGTAGTTGCCGGCTCTGGAGATGCTGCATACGGTTAGAATAATTAAAACCATCCTGAAGATTATGGTATGATGTATATTATACCTTCCATTGTATGATTGTTCTAGACAAAGAGGCTGAAGAACTTGAGGCGTTTGGTGCGTGTAATGGTAGGTAGTGTTGTGAAATGTGAATGTTGGGCCAGACTTGCGTTGCAGTTGTTGTTGTTCCAAGAGAAGCTGGGAAGGTGCAAGTGTACTCGTACTATCTCGTACTGTAGGTAGTCGCTGCCTGGGAAACGAGATCCAGCCAAGCCGAATATAGTTTAGCATAGAACTTTCAAATTAGGCCAGGCTGTAGATGGACTAATCAGCTCACTTTGCTTTATGTACGGATCCAATCACCAGGATTGAATCCCGTCTGTGAGTTGTTCAGTGATCCTAGATTGAGATGGGTAGAAATAGGGCACGTCTAATGATTAAGAGGTCCATAGTTTATGAAATGAATGCATTCCATGTATTGGGGCTATAGACTTGACTCTGCTACCTAAGGTAACCCTTAACCGCAACTCATAATCACACCTTTCGTTCGTCGCCTTGGCTCCAGGTAGCCCGTACACCAGAGATGGAGAGTTGAGGTTTCCCCCGTCCACCGATTGAGCACAATGATGATGCCGGCTGCACCAAATCACTCTTTATCGTCCGAGGTCTTGGGACTGGCTGGGACATCGCCCGCGGGGGCCTCCTGCTCTTGATTGTCTCGCTGCTTGAGTAGCTCGTCCAGCGAGAGAGGCTCTGCATGGTTGCCTAATTGTTCTCGTGTAAAAGGCATGTGCAGAGTCTCAACAGAATTGCCCGACTCGTCAACAACATCAATCGGCGCCAATGGATCCCTCTCCACAGGTCGGTTGTCACGCTCGTTCTTGTAGAAGTCGAGAGGGGCTCGAGGGTACTACACCTCCCAGCCTTGGGCCTCCCGACCAGCAACCTCTTCCTCGGGAACGGTGACATAGTCTACTCCTACTCGTTCTCCGTCTTCAATGACCCAGCAGGTTGATTCATCGTGCTGACCGGGACGGCTTTTTCTCTTCAAGGTGATATACGCGGTATCGAGCCTGTCTCCGGTGATTTTGGCAGCTTCCGGATTGACATATTGGGTGGGCATTATCTTGGTTTTGTCGGGAGAAAGTCGTATGCATGGCACACCAAGCGATTGCCAATACGCCGATCGTCTCTCAATGTCAGCGAGCACCTTGGCTCGGTGGGCTTCAGGATTTTCATAATCATCCCTCCACTCCTCTGGCCATGCAGCATCCACCAGAATCGGTTTCTCGGAATCAGGTGGGACTGTAGCCTTAGTCTTGTCGGAAGACATGCTGATTTCCGGAACGTTAGCTTCCAACATGGAATCACTGAGTTTGAGTCTCAGCTGGCTTTGGGATGGAACGTACGTGGACAGTCTCGACGTCTTTTGTGGTTCGTTCAATGTTGGGCGTGTGTGAGCGTTTGCGTTTGCGATGATGTAGTGTGCAAGTTTGCAAATCTGAGCTACGGGGTGTGGACGACGTTAAATACCTGCGCATGTTGGGCACACACATTGCCCCGCCTCTCATCTCACTTTCAGTTCACTTATTGTTTACTTGAAAGAGCCGTTTGTCGGTTTCTTTCCTTTTATTTTCAAGGGGGTCTATGGGTTTGGTCGAGCTCCAGAGTGTGCGACATCCCGTGCCTTAATCGAGGAGAAATGAAGCGAGACTTGGATAGACATGTATGTACTTAGTCTTCTTATGTCATGTGCCAGAAACTACAGAACACGCAGTAGAAGAAGCTATCCCTCGTAACAAGAACCTGGCAGATTAGATATAGGGAGTGATGATGGCGAGGAAGATAGTGATGAGTCTCGCATATGGATATATCTTTACGCAGTGACTATGGTCATTTACTACTATATAATAATATTATCAGTCAAGTCACTTCATGACTACATGGATAAAAAGGGGGGATTGTTCAACAGAACCATCACATTGAACTTGCAACAGTCAAGCATCTCTTCGTATCGTTCGTAGATTAGCGACTGATGACGAACCACCATCTGGTTCATCAAGCGTTTGGACAACCAGTTTTGAGTACCTATTAAGGTACCACCTTAGTACCTAGAGGTACCTTAGTACATCACCTCCTGCCAAGACGACCGATCCTAAGCCACGCTGTCCATCGACAAACGCCCTGCCCGTCAACACATTGAATCAACGTTTGACTAAGCTGGAGCAGGCCGTGGAGCAGGGTCGTGGCGATATGATCTTTCGCATGGGCCTGGTCAACGAACGAATCACTCTTGTTCTTGACCAAATCACTAACCTATGTAATGAACTCGACGATTATAATGATGATATCGAAACGAAGCTTGTTCCTCCGGTCCACATCATGGTAAACAGGGTCAATAAGCTGATTCAGACGACTCATCGAACCTTGGGCCTTCCGACGGAAGAACCAGCTGATCAATCAATGACTAATTGACTCATGATTGTTGCCACCTGTTGTGTCTATCTGGGGTTGCTTTTTCTTAGGTTGATGGAAGTTTGGGGGTGTGTTGGAGGAAACTACCATCGATGTTGCTACGTTAACATGACGTAAGCATGGCACATATATATATATATCTATAACAGTAGATTTAAGCTAACCTAGAAGGTAGTTTAATAACAATAGGTAGGTACATGTAATCAGATACGGCTCACTTTCAGCTCACTTCTAGCTCACCGGTGCCAGAAACTGCAGAACCTGGCAGCGAGAGCCTGGCACTGCCAACCATATGGCTGAGGCAAAAGTGAACTGGCAACCAAACAGAATCTTCTCTGTGATCGCTTGGCAAATTCACCTGACAGCTGCCCTTTTCCAAATTCCCACTCTCCCAAATTTCGAGCAAAACTCTTTCACAAAACAACATCACTCTGCCCAACAAACCGCAACCGCAAACGTCAACAAGTCTGGCATCACCGCTACAAACCTCTTTCAAAAGCAAACTCAAGTCGAACCACGCTGTCAAACCGACAATAAAGTAAGCATCACAGAGTTCTTTGCCTTGTCCCTCCCTCCCTGAGTTGGACATCTCAGCATTTACTAACCAATCCGCTAGAATGGCACCCCGCGACGCGCAATTCGAGGCCATCATCGAGCCATACAGGAGGCAGCGACCCTTGTCGCCAAAAACATTTATTTTTTTGGCAACCCGAGCTGAGTTCGAGACCGTTGTCCGGACTAAGCTCACCATGGGCGATTCCGTCAGCTTCGTCTAGCCTCGTTGGGATCACAAGAATTTCAGACGCAACACGAAGCGTCACCGGGGCTACACGTTTATCGTGTTTAACACCAGAGAAGACTCCGACCATTCAATTTCTGCGGTCGTCGAGTCAAGATTGAAATCGCGTACAAGGAAGCCGTCAGTCTACAGATCTACTCCTCCCATTTCTAACACTTCTAACGCAATCATAGTTTGCCTCGGCTTCTGGATACGCCCAAGAAGCAGCAGCTGCTGCTGCCGCCGCCGCCGCCGCCATTGCCCCTACTTCTGCTACCGCTCCTCCTCCTCCTCCTCCTCCCGCTCCTGCTGCTGCCACTCCTCCAGCCGCTACGAACCGCAACCCCTCTGACTCTACCGAAGAGCCTCGCACGTCCTGGCGGTAACGGCGAGGACCATGACATGGGAGATAGCACAAACGGATGATGGAATAAGAGGAAGAGGAAGAGAAGGAGAAACAAGGGGGGGAGACCCCCGCGGTCTTGAAGAGGAAGAGGAAGAAGAAGAAGAAGAAGAAGAAGAAGAAAAGAAAAGAAAGGAGAAAGAAGAAGAGAAGAAAAGAAGAAGAAAAGAGGAGGAGTCGGGTGGGCGAAAGTCCAATTTTTCACCGGCAGATGGGCGAAAGCCTAGTCTCACCTTTAGGAAGATGGGAGAAATCCCATTCTGACTTTTTCCATAATGGCTTCTAGCCTTGTTCCTTAATGGTTGGAAATCCTTGGGCTTCGGCCCTAAAGGTCGCTCTGGTACTCCTTTGGGGTGTGGGTTCGATTTCCACGGCGATTCGGTACATTTCCATACCTTGGCGGTTGCAAAGCTGCATTCATTTCTCCATGATCGAAACTACTTGGTTTCTGCCTTACGGTATCGTATTTTGACATTTGGTCATATTCACCATCTACTTATCCCATCTCTGCGGAATGGGAGTAGTAGCGACGGCTTTGGGATGTTCACTTCTCAAGACAGCCCAGCTCTTCCATAGCAAGGCGATGCTCAAGGTAAGCTGATCACACGGCATCATTATACTGACATGGCCCCTAGGGTTCTGTCCGAACGAGTACCGTCTTACAATGCACCACGGGCTTCCAGATGGAGCATTACATTAGTGTGCCGTGATTTGGCTCACGTCTTTTTGATCTCAACACCGCACCTCTTCATTTGCATGGGTTGAGATGAACGACGAAGGGCAAAATACAGGCAAGCTAATCATCGAGATTCTACTCAAGTATTTATGCGTCAACTTACTACATGTAACTTGATTTCATTCTTCCAGCGTGCTGAGATTACTTTTGTCAGTAATGGCCTAGGAGAATTCGTCCTCGACACACTAAGACCAACCATGACTCCGTCGCACCCTAACACAGGATGGCAGCTTCGGTCGCTGACAAACATCACATCAAGTCTCCTTTGGAACACATTTCAAGCCTTTTAAAGACACTAGTTTTGTTCGCTGCTGGCAAGACGAGTTGGCAAGGTACAGTGCGATTGGATAGACATGAACACATCCCTAAGCAATGCCAAGTGTGTGCCACAATCCTGAACGACCGTGAAGTCCGAAAACAGCTCATCAGCAAAAATTTCTCCAGTACGGCCTAGTAAAGCATTGATTGACACCGCTACAACTGCAACAACATCAAGTTCAGGTTGTATGGACTCGAAGGTGCACATTTGACTAACTACAAGGAACGTGATGTGATATAGGAGCTACCAACAGCAGCCACATGATACTTACCTAGACACCTATAACGAGACTCTGCTGACCCAGATGCTCGGCGAGTTTCAGAAACGGCTGGAGATTGTCAAAGAGAAAATCGAGTTCCGGGTATGGGGGCAAAATCTCCAAGATACTGCCAAAGCCGCTGAAGAACAGGAAAGTTAGCAGTGCCGCGAATGCGAAAGAGTCACAAAAACTACCAAAGGGTATTCAGAGGTAAGCAGTCTTTTCTGATATCTGTTACTTCCGCTATTCTCTTCTACTATTGCTACTCTCCTCTACTATTGCTACTCTCTCCTACTGTCGCTCATTTCTTCTAGATTCCTTTCGATCATGTCTGCTATATTTGTGACATGAGACTCTGATAGCCAAAATGGAGTACTGGTAAGCAAATCCTTCAATAATCCCTTCGCCGCGATGGATTCTAATTCTGACAGATCCTAGCGCTACTATTCACGTCTCCAATGCACACCGACTTTGGCCCGGAGGAACGCCAAGGGTTGTGATATGGACGCCGCCCTCTTCAAGAAGCGCTCGAGGAGCCGCCAGATGCAAGCAAGATCCTCTTCGAGCTGGGCAAGCCCACTGTTTCGACCACCGCCACGAGAAGCTGGAGTTATTGAACTCGAATGCTCTCACAAAGTCTGGTAAAGTCTAGACTACTGCGAGCTTCGGAGGGAAAGGGGGTGGGCGGCTGTGTCCATGTCAATGCCCCATACTTCAAAAAGCGGACGGCATTCCATTCCGCAAGCCCGGACAAAATACCACATTCGTTTCAGTCCGTTTTTTCAGTTAGAATAGATGCATAAGCAAATGTTACTAGCCATTGTACACCGTTCAATATAGGCTATTTGCTAGATGACGCCAACATACATGGTCATCTTCCTCCACGATTGCGACACCACCGTGACTTGATGGCCTGAAGACCGGCGGTGCATTTTCAGCTATGTCTTTGTTGGCTGCATCGACCTCGAACAGAAGAGGTGGCTATAGCATTGGGAGTTGCAAAATAGGAGAAATTGGATTGCAACTAGTTTTTAAGGGAATATTACTCCGTAGAAAGGTATATACATAGGTAGGTAAACTAGATAAATACATGTTATCAAAGCAGGTAGCTCAGCAACTACAAGAGCGTACCTAAACATGAGAACAAGAGTGTACCTAGACATGAGACTTTACCACTTATGCCAAAATACTCCGAAAAAAACAAAGATCAAGCGTAGACTTTTTCCTTGCAACGTCACATAGAGGTCAAAGACGCCAAAAAGTTAAAAAAAAAAAAAAAATTTACAAGAGCCGGTGGTCGCCCGAGTGTTGATCGAGCTCGGGTTGTGAGAGTTCCCGAATGTTGAGTCGAGAGAGAGAGAGAGGTGTAAGCTCCAGGCCGTATATCCCCTGTCAGGATGTCCCAAAAACAGGGGACACAACCGCTGACAGCTATCCACACTTTCGAACCTTGATTAACAAGCAAGTTTAAAGCTGTATTAAATATAGGAAGTGGATTAAAACATGCGTTTGGGGAACAGTGGTGTATGGGGTTAACTGACATTTGAAATCCAGTCTGATATGAAAGATCTTCAACAACAACCACACTCGAATTTTACTCTTGGACTAGTTCACTGCTCTGTCAAGATCTCGTCAGCTTAGAAATTTATTAGAAAGACACAGTGCAGTGCTCTACATAAAGTAATTGATCCATTGCGTTCATAACTACGTCTGCTTGAATAGGCCGATGTCCGCCAGATTCGTCATCAGATGCGCCCCTATCGATCGTATATTAATTTGTCGCTCCCGCATTGTTATTGATTTCAGCGTTTCACCCTGAAGCTGAGGTAGGTATTATTCCGAATCAAGATCTTTGTTTCAGCGCTCAGATCAAATCATCACACGTGTACGGGGTATCTACTGCATCTATGCCCCTGGATCTGTCTCCAATTAATAACGAGTCAAAGATTCCACGGTGTCCCTGGGCTTCCGAGTCATGGTCCAACGCCTCGGGAGAAACTTCCGGTTCGCTGCGATCAGGTCCCATAGCCACGCCCCTGCTAAACTCCGCGAGAAATCACTTATCGCTTACGGGCTGTCAAAACACAATTACTATATCATAAATACTACGATAGGCAAGCAAACTTATGCGCTGAAGTAACCCAATTCCTTGCTTGGGTTGCATCAACGTAATCCTCCCTGAGCCTGGATAGAGGGGTCATTTGCGCCAAAGTGGGAAAAAGTCCGCCGCGGATGCACCTCAGCACGGGATTCCGGACGGCGATGCTCCCCGTGTATCCTTCACACCACTCTCATCTTCTGCCAATAATCGAACAGGTTTTTTTTTTTTTTTTTTTTAAAGGGGAGGCAAGGTTGTAACATACGGATGAAACCTCGCGTATTCTTTCTGGCCAGAACAAGGGAAGTTGTTGAGACCCGGCCTCGACCCTTGCGGAGTTGCTTTACTTTTCAAATGTTCAGCTGGGGAGGGCTTGTTGAGATGATGCAACATTCACGAGATGGAAACGGTGGGGTTGTGGGTTTATGCTCTGCCTGATTCTTGCCAGGGCACCAAGGAGAATACTCCTATAAGGCACATAACACCCTGCCTAGATCGGATAGATATAAATACCATCCGTCGTCCCCTTCTCCTCACAACGTGTCCAAACAACCCAAGGGAAAACATTCTCAACATGTCAAACTTTGTCATAGCCCAGGGCATCATCGTCCTGATCGGCGTCCTTGTTTATTCCCTCTTCTTTCGCGGGAAACGTGCCCTCCTGCCTTTACCCCCCGGCCCAAAACCACTTCCCATTCTCGGCAATATCAGAGATGGCCCGCCTAAAGGAATGCCGGACTTCCTTCACTGGCTCACATTCAAAGACAAATACGGCCCCATCAGCTCCATCACCGTGCTAGGCCAGACAATAGTTCTCATTCACGACAAAGACGCTGCCATTGAGCTTTTGGAAAAGAAAGAGTCGTTGAAGACTTCTGGACGCCCGAGCTATACGTTTGCACAGATGTGCGGCTATGATCGGTATCTGCCCCAGGTACAATACAACGACGACTTTCGCCTAAAGCGCAAACTTCTTCACCAGCAAATCGGGACCAAGGTTCTCGCATCTCAGTATACCGATACCCAAGATGTCGAAGTGAAGCGATTTCTTTTGAGACTCTTGAACGAACCCGGTGATTTGTTTAATCACGTTAGAGCGTACGACAAACCCTCCGCTACCAATCCCACAATACACCAATCCAACATTGGCCTTGTTTATGAATAATCCCCCGCTAATAAAAACGTATAGAGAGGCAGCCGCTATTATATTAAACGTCACCTATGGCTACTCAATCGAGTCACACAAGCCAGATGCTCTGGTAAAGCTTATCGAAGAAGTCACAGACCATAGTTCGGAGGCTTCGGTTCCTCTCAAACAGATCGTTGATCTTATCCCTCCTCTCCGGCTCCTACCCGACTGGTTTCCAGGCACAGGTTTCAAGCGGATAGCTCGTGACGCGAGAGCGAAACTTGACGCCTCCGCTGATGTCCCTTTCGACTTTGTCAAGCAGCAGATGGCAACGGGCACTTTCCAGGAATCCTTCAGCTCCAAGCTTCTCAAAACCCTTCGCAACGACGCCAACGAGATTGGACCAGACATTGAGGATGCGATCAAGTGGACTGCGGCAATCATGTTTGCCGGTGGCTCGGATACCACAGTTGCCACCATCATAGCGTTCGTATTAGCCATGATCATGAATCCCGATGTCCAACGAAAAGCCCAAGAGGAGATTGACAACGTCGTCGGCCCCGATCGCCTGCCCAGCCGAGCTGACCAAGAAAACCTCCCATACGTCAACGCAATAGTCAAGGAATCCCTTCGTTATTTCCCCGTCGCGCCCATGGGGGTGCCGCACATGGCTACCGAAGAAGTCTTCTTCCGCGGCTATCGCATTCCAAGCGGCTCATACATACTCCCCGCTGCGTGGTGGTTCCTACACGATCCGGAAACATACGCGAACCCTGCGGAATTCGATCCCGAGCGCTTCCTGGAGCCTCGAAACGAACCAGATCCCGATGCCGTATTTGGCCATGGTCGTCGAGTGTGCCCTGGCAGGTTCATCGCCCAAGAAAGCTTATACCTGACCATCTCGCAGACATTGGCTGCCTTCAACATTGGCAAGGCAATGGAAGGAGGGAAGCCAGTAGAGGTTGAATGCAAACATACATTGGGCATAGTGGACCATCCCGCGAAATTCCAATATAGCATCGTTCCGAGAAGCGAAAAGTATGCGGAACTGATTCGGAGAGTAGAGGTAGACCATCCATGGCAAAGCAGCGGAGAGGCCCTTCAAGGGAGTGCCATCCTTGACAACTTTAAGGCAGAACACAAGGCTTGATGAGGAAACTTGGCGGAACGGTTGTTATAAACTATATTGTATTCAGTTACTTGGCCTCGATAAATGACCAATGCAATATTCGATTCAGTGTTGTAATGATTCAATATGTTGTTTATACAAATGGAATGCAGCTTCAGCTACCTAACCAATATGTAAGTGGAGCTGTGTCGCGTCACAATTCCAAGCACACAATCAAAATTGGTGTGCAAAGAGTTAATTGAGGGTTCGTGCTTTTTTTTTGTTCTCTCTTTCGTATCCTAGCATCCTTCTCCCCTCCGTGACTCCTGAGATAGATAAATTTTTTTCCTCTCTCTATGTAAAATGTGCAAAACTTGCAACATCTCGTAAAGACCATACTTTGTCATGTAAACTCATACCCAGCAAATCCACTTCCCGTTGTTCCCTGTCGACCAAAAAAAATGGCAGAAAAAAATAACTCCAAGAGGTTGTGGCAAAGTTCCAGATCTTGGAGCCACAGTGCTCACATGCCAGCGAATCCAAACATGCGGGTTTGTCCGTGATGTATTTTTACTCGGGGTTTTTTGTTTAGTAAACCTTCTTCTTCTCGTCGATGCTGAACTGGCCGGGGCCGCTGTTGACCAGGAGCAGCAGACCACCGACAATGGACAGAATCTGGAAGAAATCGTACTTGGCAAAGTCCTTGTGCGGGTGGTGCTCGTGAAGCTGCGTAAAGAGTTTGGTTAGTCAAAAGGCAAAAGGACCCGGAGAAATAGGTAGCAAAGGCACTTACAGTCCAGAAGTTGTTCACCAGCAGGTTGAAACCGCTCAGGATGACGACAAGCAGCGTAGCGCTGTACTTGGCCTTGAAGCCAACAACAACCATGACACAGGCGCCAGCGCCAAGGATGCAGACGATGACGCGCCAGAAGGACCACTGGCCGCTGAAGACGAAGCCAATGAAGAGGAAGATCAAGAGCACACGACCAGCCAACTGGAAGTACATCTTCTTGTCCTTCTCATCCAGGGTGGGGAGACCGGCAAAAGCCTTGGTCTTGCGAACCCATGAGTCGGACAGGACCATGAGCAGACCACCAATGACGGACAGGTTTCGCAGGAAAAAGTTGAGGTCGAAGATCAGACCATAGCCGAAAGCCTGGATGACCACCACGGACATGAGACCGGCAACGGCGTAGTCAGAGTACTTCCTGGCAATGACGAGAGTGGAGCAGGAAACCATGGCGATGACGTTGAAGAGGAGGAAGATGTGGTTGAGTCCGGTGGGAACTGGTCAAGATGTTAGCTCACAATGCCCAGCAAGAAAAAGACGCTGCAAGGCAGGCATTGCGCCGAGATGATTGCTTACTATGGCGGTAGTCGTGGAGATAGAGCAGCTGGTCGCTCCATTGGGTCATGATACGGAGCGCATCCTCGAGGAACGTGACGACGATCAAGAATCGTCCAATGGCGGGAAGGTATCTGAACGATGCGCCGCGAATGTTAGCTAGCAATTCTAGATTTACACGGTTCCAGCAAGCCCGGAGCTCGCTGCGTGTCACTTACGGCTTGACGGGCTCGCTGATGGAGTCCAGAGCATCCTCGACCTTGCTGGTGTATGGCCGGAGCTGGTCAAGGACGCTGCCTCCGTTGGACTCGTCAGAAACTCCAACTCCGACGCTGCCACCAGCATACGGACTGGGGCCGCCAATGCCGTAACCTGAAGGACCGCGATGCGACATTTCGAGCTGTTGTGCTGAATCTCCTTGGTCTTTTCCTGCTCCGATTCCTATTCGCGTCTCCGCCCTGGGCTGTCGTCGGTGCTTCTCGAAGCTCCTTGGTGAGGCGACTCGGACGACGGAGCCTTTCCGACCTGATGGATTGCGATGCGATGCGATGCGCTACGAGACGATGAGCTGCAATGTCAAGATGCAAGTGGCCAGCAAAGGACAGCGACGGCGCCCAGTCTCACAGGCAGGGTCTGACAAGGTCGAATTGAGTGGGAGAAGCGCAATTGTGCGACGAGATTGACGGCGGGAGGAGGGGCGAGGGAGGAAGATCAAAGGTTCGTGACCTCAAAAGCTCGGATTCTTACATACCACTGTGTCCTTTCCAAATCCCGTGATGGTGCAGGCTCCGAGGTGTCCACTTTTTACTTTGTGCAAGCCAGTGGAGCCGGGCTTCGAGTTTGATCATGATCCCCAGCTTTGCTTTGCGCAGGTACCTGCCGCTTCCCCTCCAGCGACTTTGGCGGGCGGTGCAAAGGCCAGCGACGGGGCGTGTAGCTTTGCCCAAGGATGCAGGTAGCGAGGCAAAAGGCAAGCCCCCTTCTGGCGCCAACTCTGTGACAATGGCTGGTGGACTGGCGCGACAGAGCACAAGTACACTGCTGGTACAGGCACTGCGTGACGGCGAGTGTTGGAGTACCCGCTCGGTACGGCTTAAGCCCGATGAGCCTGTCCGTGATTGCATCTGATCCATCCATTTCTAACACAGTACTCATACTCACACTCCGTACAGCCCGCCCTTACATGTGGCTCCGACTGCACCGACAAGGTAGGTCGGTAACTCGAGCGCATACCTTAGCTGCTTAGTAGGAGGGAATAGCAGCTAGAACCTCCCTAATTAGGGCCCGTGGCGAGGCTTGAAAAGGGCCCCAGTAAGCCCATAGCCGCAGAGCTCGAACAAGCATCCATGGATGATGATTGAGTGGAAAAAGCTACGCACGCCATTACGGGCTGCCACGGCAAGCGGGGTGGGAAGCAGCGCCAAAAATAAACTAATTCAAGGTTACTAGCCATGGCGGCAGAGCATTTCTTGGCAGTTGAGTGCTTGCAGCGGCCCTTTTGCCGTTTTGCTTTGCTTATGTCCCATGTTGCTTGATCGATGTGATGAAATGCCGTCCATCAGTCAAAATACTACCCATGTGCTATTAGTGGGGGTAGAGCGAGGTATGAGGTGTGAGGTGTGAGGTATGGATGAGATATGAGGTACTTTGGGTGCGATGAATGTGAATATGAATGCCCCAACGGCAGACAATCAAATCAACAATCATCCATTGAATCCATTCTTATTGAGGCGCTATTGACTTAGTACCACCTTGGGTACATGTAGGTTTTTGCAGGGCAGAACAGCCCTACCAACTCACCGCATGCTTTGCGCCTCTCAACACGGACCAGATCCGATCCGGAAGATTAAGGGAACAAAAACAAAAGCCCCCAACGGCATCTCCCCTTCCGACATCTGACTGGACCTGTTACTAAATAGACTCTGGCTGGTTCTGATACTATCTTCTAGCCTCTTCCAGACCATCGCCAGCATCGGATAGTTCAGGTCAGAGGTACCTCGTCGTCACAAGTGCTCACCTGCCTAAACAATCGCCCCTCGTGCGATGGACCGTCCAGTCCCCTCTTTTACAAAGATTTCAGAGGCCGTCTCGCCCTGCATGACGATGATGCTAGTAACGGAGCATTGGAACTTTTATTCGGTGGCCTGAACTGAGCAGGTCGTAAAGCTCTTGGTACAGGACACCTATCGTCAAAGTACGAGTACCTTGAACTAGGCGCCACTGTGGTCCGAGACATGTGCATGCTTAAAACACCATAAATGGTGGGCCAAGCATACGGTACTAGGTATGTATTGTTTGTACTACTATCGATTGACGTTATGGGGTACCTAGGTAGGTAAGCGTAAACCATCTGCCAAAGTCATCTTGCACTATTTCGTAGAGTCAGAAAATGCGTGACGGCTGATTACGTGGGATTTGACCTTTTGTGGCTGTGATGGATGATGGCGATGCAATTGCTTTATTTATCCGAGCTATTTCGCATTGCTTGCAATATTTGGCATCTATTCTAACACGAACATGACCGCGTAAAGAGGCACAAGATCACATACCACGTGTCTACATACTTATCCAAGCGCTTAGCATCTCATCTCATGCCATCTCTCCCAGATTACAGCATTCAGTCTACCGTCAGATTCCTCCCGCTCTCCTCATACGGTCAAGATTCTCAATGCCCCCGTGTCATCATACTCAACCCTCCCTTCGTTGACAGCCCTTCGCATCTCCTCCCTCAATACCGTGCGTTCGCCGGTTGTCGGGTCCCATTCCCAGCCTTCGCGCATCCACATCCACCGCAAGCAGGCTCGCAGCTCCTTGTCGGCCGGTTTCACCCTCATCCACTCAGGTTGAAATTCGCCTTGACGGCCTTTTCCGTTCCAATCTTCAGCGCGGCCCAGCAATTCATCACGACAAAATATGCGCCAGCTATCGATGGCATACTTGCCCTGAGTCATGTGGCCGATTTCCCACGCCTCAAGATCCTGATCACTGTTGGCCGATAGCGAATGCGACATTTCTGAATCCTGCGAATCTCCGCTGCTGAGATCTCTTGGTGTAGGGCTCATGTCCCGTTTATCATAGTTTTTCACTCGATATCGGACACCAGACTTTGGTGGCTGGTGTACAAAGGCTGTGGCATACCTCAGGATATATGCAAGCCGCACATTGGATAGTCCTAGGTGACGTATCATGTCAAGGAGTTCTTCCTTGATTGATGGATCTAATAGCTGTAATGGCGTAGGAAATCGTTCTTTTACCCGACGCAATGCAGGTAAAGCCACCTGCCCGCTCGTCTTTATGAGAAACGTAATGGCAATAAGCAGCCAAAACGGATCATGAGCCAGTTCCTCTTGAATGATGCCAAACGAGTGCGAGTCGAGGGGAGGAAACGGGATGCAAGAAATTGTCCCTGGTGGCGGCCGCTTCTTCTTCGGAGACTCCTCCTTTGGTGATGGTTTCTGCAAAAAGTAGGGAGATTTTGTTGAGCGTTTGCTATGCAGCGTCTCCTTTTCGTTTTCCAGTTTACAAAAGGCACTGCATGGCCTCGGGTTGTTGAGGCGGGAGCCGTCGAGCGAGGATAATACGTCCAAAGGCTGCGCATCTGAAGTCGATGTAATAGCAAGGAGAGCGGCACGAGTGCCTTGCTGGATGGCCTGGTCATATAACCGTATGTGACTGCCTCGAAGATAGCCAGAGACAGACACGGAGGGATTGTCTTGCCTGTTGTTGGTTTTCCTCGTCTGGTCCAGAGGCTTGTCAGGCCAGTAGTGAGACGTGGTTCCTGGGTGTTGTTTCTTGACGCGTGATTGAGCCCGTGAGGATGCGCTTTTCCGAGCCGATTGCGTCGTGGGCAGCGAGGGCGGCAAAATCTCAACATCTCTTTCTAGATCTTTGGCGAGCGCAATCAAACGATCAGTTTCTCCCCAGGGTTCGATAGATGGCGATGCACCGTCGTATCCATCAAATATTTCCCAGACGAAGCTAAGAATATCGCCGCCATCCAGGCTTTCGGGATGGCGATTCTGAACGCATCGAATTGACCGAGCACAGTCGATCAGATAATGCCAGTCCTCAGCTCCGCCAGTGAGGCTCTGGTCGAAGAGACATTGCACTTCATCGATTGGCGCATCCCCGGATTCCAAGACTTCAGAAAGAAACGATGACGAGTCTTCCCAAACATCGAATACGGATAAGATGCTCTGGCCGAAAGAGGTTGGCATGGTGTCGAAATTCACGGGGCGCCGTCGGGCACAAACGGCTTCGATGTCTCGGTGTCTAGCAAAAAGCTTGGCAGTCGTGAATGAAGAATCGTTCCATGATGAGGTCGGACGGGCTGATTAAAATAGATGAAGAGAGAGAGAGAAGAACGGCTTCCAAAAATGTTTCGGAGCGCCCAGCAGGTAAGTATGCTGAAAAAACAGTTGCTTAGTGTGTTGTTTTCGAAACGATCGTTAACGTCTTAACCACCGCCGCACTTGGATTAAAAGCAACACACGACTTTGAGGAGGAAGAGAAACCCAGGCCATCAATGAATCGATATGACTCTTTCCTCTCTATTCTCTTTTCGTCGTCGTCTTTTCGTTCTCTTTTTCTCTTCTTTTTCTTTCGATTTCTGTTTTAGTTGTGATCTATTACTAGCGTATCCTATTATCTGCCGTCAACCTTGAAGATCCATACTAGGTACTCATTCACCTCTACAAACGAGAAACAGCAGAACCAATTGCAGCTCCGCAGAATCCCCGATAAGCCGCGGATACTATTATCCAAGTACCTTGTGCTGCCAGCGTCTGGCCGGCGGTGAAAGCCGAGACGTTCGTGCGGTGCATGGCCAGACCGGCCCCTGAATGGCTGTCGCCTGACTCATCAAAAGCCCCCCCACCGTGAATCACTGCAGCCAAGGTGGCGCGTGATGCAATTCTGCGTTGCTGGTTGCGCGTGTTTTTCCGATGGGACCGTGTTGGCGGTTGGCAGTTGACATGGTCTGATGTATCAATTCACTGCAGAATTCCATCAAATGTTGTCTTCCCGGGTACAGTACCTCTGGACCTACAGTAGACTGCCGAGCATTAGAGGTACTCGCGCGTATTGCTTTGTGTGGTGCTGGAGCTCACGTGAGCGGTGGCCGAAATGGAACATTTCCACGTTGATCGAGTTACAAAGTCTCTTAATAAGACTCTTATCAAAGGTGCAGGTACTTGACAGCTAACCAGTGTATACAAAACTTCTCTCTCCAATCCCTCTCTCGGCCTCATTAGTGCTAGTATTGCCCGTGTCAAAACCTCAAATTGCAAACCCCAACATTCCGGTCCTTGTGATACATCAAACTGCTGCATTAGCACACCTCAAAGCTGCTCGTTATACTCACCGAAGCACAACCGACCAGGGAACGTGTCTCGACGGAAGCGCCAACTGCAAGCAGAAAAAATAAAGTGGAGGAGCTCCAGAGGCAACGCTAGCAGCCACTTACCCTTACCGCACCACACACGAAAAAAGGTACGTACCCGGCGCCGGATGTCCAATTGCCAGCTTTCAGGCGAAAAACGCGAGTCACGTGGGCGTGGCCTATCAGACCCACCGCAATCGCCCATTCTCTCTGGCCGTCTTGCGTCTTGTGCCTCCACCCCGGAACCTCTTGTTTCCAATCCATCTTTCGCATTCCCTCTCCGGCGCCACGTCCGACCCTTCTCGAGTCTGAAGCATCACCACCACAACCTCAATCATCCAAGAGATGAGTAGTCGCGGCGGGAAACTTGCCCCCGAAGTCAATCGGTGAGTTTTTTCGGCTTTTCTGCGAGTCTTGGCGTCGCCGCGAGGCTGCAAAGGCGTGCCGTCTCGTTTCTCCGACCACTCGGCCGGCACGTCTCGCTGGATGCTCGGTTGAAAAAGTGTCAAAAAGAGTCTTTGCTAACTCGTTCCTCACAGCGCTCTGTTCGTAAAGAACCTGAGGTACGCCTCCGTCGATGAGCAAACGCCGAATCCAGACGAGAAATACATTTGACGCTGACTTGTCGGTAGCTACAACGTTACTCCTGAGGAGCTCTTTGACCTCTTTGGAAAGTTCGGACCTATTCGGTATGTCCAAATCCACGCGCGGCTGATAATACTGGCCTGCCGCCGTTATTCTCCTCCATGTACGCTGTTTTTAACACCTCTGTAGCCAGGTTCGACAAGGCATTGCCGGCAACACCAAGGGTACAGCTTTTGTGGTCTACGAAGATGTCATGGATGCGAAGCAAGCCTGCGACAAACTGAACGGTTTCAACTTTCAGAACCGCTATCTCGTTGGTACGTGACGACGTGTCAACCTTCTTTTTTTTTTCCTCTTCTCCCCGCCAACAAACGCCCTGCTGACACGCGATGTAGTATTATATCATCAGCCCGATAAGATGGTAAAATCTAAAGAGGACCTCGACGCCCGCCGGGAATCTTTAGCGCAGCTCAAGAAGCAGCACGGCATCGATTGACAATCCGACCGGTCTGTAGGCACCCTGCAGAAGAAGACGCCTTCTTCGTCTGCGGGCCGGTCTTCCTCATCCTCATCGTCCTCGTCGACTTCGTCAGAGATTAAGACAATCCTGCGAAAAGAGAGGTCGCCAGCCAAGGCCACTCTAAGCAGTGGGCACTCTCCCACCCGAGCCGTCCGATTTGCAGAAGGACTACGCGCAGCTCTACCGTCGTTTGCCTAACAACAGAGCATCGGACGCCGTGCCCACAGAGTGCATTATTATTCTTAACTATTAGCTCTTTTCTTCTTTCTTCATGCCTTGGCTGGCACATTAGCTTCTTTGTTACCTTAATGTCAGTATTTACCGGATCAGTCACCCCTCAGGAAAGAAACAAATCACGAATGCGAGTCTTTTATGAACGGAAAGGGAGGGAGAGGGTACCGATTGGGGGAGCTGGGAAAATCAAGGGGTGTTTATTCGGCAAGTGACGACATGGCAAGTCACAATTGAACTGCTTTATTCGGAATTTGGGCGGAGCCAACTTTGCGGCCATGTTTACTAGCGAACATCTCCTGCCTCCCGAGGCCTTAACCAGAGAAATCAACAGCATGTCTCAACAACACAAACGCATCTGCACCTTTGGTCAAATCAACTGAAGCAAGGCGTGGGGGTTTTGTTTTTTTTTTCATTCGAGTGAGCCCGTCTCTGTATTTTACGCGATTTGCTGCAGCATTTTCTTTGTCTGGCAGCTGAAAAGGACGACTGTCGTTGTGGTGGAGGTTTATGGCTTTTCGCCGTGGCGCGTTGCACTGCGGTTGAATGACGTACGATACCTACATGCGTAGAACCGAAGGAATCAACTTTGGCGTCGCAACAGTTGCTTCAACAAGGGATGTGCCTGCTAGTAGACTTGTATTTTGAGCCTCCAACGCGTTAGCACCTGTCTGTGAAACCACAACGAATGACCAAGGACGTTTGCCTGCCTCGGGCCAAGCATCCACTCTCATGATAATACCAAGCAACCCAGCATGTGACGATTGTACTCTTCCGCTACTTGGTGAAGCAGGCAGACATTGACGGAGCCTTCACACTAGTTCCAACGGATCATCCAGAGTTTACCTGCCTACCAGCTGACATGATTGTAGGACATGGGGCGTTGATAGCGTTTACCAACATGTGGGCGTGATGTGATCCAGTGAACAGTCTTTCCTCCGAGCGAGTACATACATACACCGCACGATGAAAAAAACGCCTTGCAAGTTCGCCAGCAAGTCGCGAGACCATTCCAACGTTCGATTCTACAAATTCCTTGGATTCCAAGTGTCAGTAGGCCGCAGACTTGGTCTCCCTGCGAGGGCGGTGTTTTTCTGGAATCGCAGCTTGTGTGGACTGTCCATGGGCTCGACGAGCAGCCAAGATGGAGACCCGGGCCGCAGAAACGGCCGGACCTGGTGGGAATCGCAGCGGCGGTGCAGCGGTGCGAGAGCGCTGTAACTGTAATTTTTACTGCCGTCGAGACCTGGAGTGCGGTGCCGGGGGGTTCTGAAGCAACCTGGGCAATAGACGGTTTAGCGCTAGAGCAGTGCTGCAACCGAGACGGACTGGAACTGATGGAGGGTTTTTTTTCCCCGTGGCGCAGCACCTTTTTGCGGTCGCCTTTTGCGGTCGCCTTTTGCGGTCGCCTTTTGCGGTCGCCTTTTGCGGTCGCCTTTTGCGGCCGGCCGGGTGGAGTCGCGCTTATCCCCCATATTCGTGAACTTGCGACCAACAACGGCCGACGCTTTTGCACCTTTTTCTTAACCCCGTTGCGAGAAGCCGCGCAGAAGCGGTCGACCTCTAAGAAATAACGCCTTTTCAGGCCTCCCTTTGCGGTCGAGTGTATCGAGATATAGAAACAGCAGGGCTTTTTCGATTACGATTACCGGCGCCAAGGGGTCGGTGGCCCGGCCTGGCCGTGCTTCTGCTTCTAGGAATAGCACTCAGATCTGCACAATGGGCCTGGGAACAAGGCTGAGAGTGAGTTTATCGTGAGAAGGGAGCCTGACCTTGTACAGACTAAAGGCAGGAGATGGCGTCATGCTGGCAGACAAGACGCTTGATGGCCCATGCTGATTGGCGATTTGCTTAGGTCTCTTTGTCTAAGCGGTATGGAGATTGAGGACAACTCGTGCATAGAAGCCGGTCATGGGCAGCCCAGGAGTGGCTTGTTGTTCAGCTTGCAGAATATCAACGATCCAATGAGCATCCTCAGCCTATCATCTACATCCCAGTCGTTAATATGCCATGCCCAGGCATGCCACGACACGTTCGTCCTATAAACGGCGTCACACGCCGTCCTCCGGCCCGGACCCACATCGCCGGCTGAGACCCCCGACCCTCTTCCGGAAATCTTGGAGACCAGTCAGAGGCCGTTCCATCGCGCTGGGATTAGGCTTCACTGGCGTTGATGCGTTCACAGCCCCTCCGCAAGGTGACTTGATGTCCTCCCTGGCCGTCAGCCGACCGGATTGGTCCTTGGATGAGGCTCGATATGGGCTCTCTCGCGAGCAGCCATTTCCCCCCGGGTGTTCAGCCTCTCGTCCAGTGACATAACTTATGAGGACACGGGTACTTTTGCTCCTGGGGAACTCCTTCCTTGACTCAGTGTATTTGTGACTCTTTCTATATTAGTCTACACGTACCAGAGAGAGGGAGAGGCTCGGTCAGTCATTCCCCCTTGATGTTGGTTTGCGTTGTTGGTTGGGACTTGGGTTCGACGTTCCCCTTGACATGATATGTTTGTGGTTATCTATAAAGCTGCTTCAACTTCCACTTCCAATTTATGGTTTCATGACACCCAAGTCATAGATGCAAAAAAACTCAAACAACGATACTTCTAGTCACTACGTGGTCAAGTCCAATGTCAGTGCCAGTCGCTCCATTCAGCAGACTGACCCTCGACGAGATGTCTCCCACCAGCCAATCAGGTCTTCACGCTGCCCTACAAAGAGACTTTTATGAGCCAACCGTGGAAGACTCGAGCTCTGACCTCGAATCTTATTCAGATTCTGAGGGCGACGACGACGAGCTTTCCATGGTCATCCAGTCTCCTACTAAACTCGCCTACAACATTAATCATCTCCCAGAAAAGGCGCAGGATGCCGTGCGCGACGTCTTTGGCGAGCCTCCCGCGATTGCGCTGCAGCAGTGTCGTCTCATTGATGATACATATGCTTTTCAGATGACGGAGCTCGTCACACAATCTATTCGCATTCGCGCCAATGGCAATGGATCGTCCCAGCTCACGTGTTCGTGTGGGCGCGCAGACGAAGCAGAGCCATGCTCACATTTGCTATGGCTCTTGGATCGGCTCACGAAGCAAATGCTCTACGACTACGATCCCAAAACTCCTCTTAGCATGACCCAAGACGGTTTCGCCGAAGAGCTCGGTGATCCCTTCACAGCCATCTCAGAGCATCACCTCGATGTTCTTTCCGACGGTCTCCACTGCCAAGTCATTGACCCGGAAGCCCTCTCCGAAGACGACCTTGCTTCATACCGCGTCCAGGAGTCGCGCGAGCTCTTAGCTGCCGTCTATGGAAAGACTCCAGAGGACTTCCGTCCGGATCTCTTTGCGCGGCCGGTGCTAGGGAAGAAGGTGCTCAAGCGCAACGACCTCGACTGCACCGTCTTCCGCATGCTGCTCGACAACCACCACTTCTTCAACTACTTCCAGTCCGTGTCTCGGCCCAAAGACCCCATCAACGATCCCTTCAGGAAGCTCGCGCAAAGAGTTGACCGCGTGCTCCGCCGCTTCGACGCATACGCCTCGGATCTCTCACCCGTGCGATCCTCCGCAGAGACGCTCCCCAACGTCGCCTGGGCGGCGAAGCATCTCCTCGGATGCGTCAAGCTCATCAAGTCCACCATCTACACGCGTGACCGGCCCCTCCAGCCCTCGGAAGCAGCCTCTGCCGTCCGCACGCTGGTGCGCATTCTTTCCGCCGTCGTCTCCCGCAACCGCGACGTCGCCTCGTCCGGCTCTCCCGCAGAGGCACCGCGGACAGAGCGGAATCTGTACTTGCGCCTCATTGGGGACAGGGACAGGGACTTTGTGCTGGCGGAGCTGAATCTGCTTCCCGAGGCGGCGAGTCAGCATTTGCATACCCTGGAGGCTGTTTTGGAGGACATTGGGATGCGCGGCGCCCCGGTGACGTTTTCCGATAAGTTCAAGGCGCTGTTGACGAGATTGAGGGCGCCAAAGAGGAGTTCTGGTTTGAAGAGGCAAGGTGATGAAGAAGGTGATTCTTCTCGAGGTTACAAGAGGATGAAGTAAAGGGAGGGATGCCTGGACATGTGTTGGACTTTTATTTTCATTTCTTGTCCCCCTTTTTTATTTACCTTCTTATATCGCACTCTGTCGATATACATTTCACGCCGGTCGTGGTATCGTTGTTTTACTATTCCTTCTTCTCCGTCTCTCTTCTTTCTGTTCCCCCCCTTTTCAATTCTCCCGTCCTCCCTTGTTTTACGTTGGGGATCTAGTGTATATGTACAGAGCACGCAATATGGCATTCATTGTATACCAGGTAGATGAGCATTCACGCGATTTTATCCGCGTTTTTTTCTAGATGAGTTTCACAAGGCAATGAACAAAAAGATGAACAACTCATTTTAAAACCAAATACACAGCTAGTAAAGTCATTTCCTCGTATACATCTCCTCCAACGTTGCATGCCAAACTCAAGGCTCAAAATGACCTTTGCTCACGAAGAAAAGGGAAAAGCCCTCCTGACTCAAAACCCCCACAAGCGCAGACCACCCCTCGGATCACATGTAGAGCTAGGCGTCCCTGTCGGAGTGGCAAAACTAACAGAAATGGTTCTCCTCGAGAAATTTGGTCAGCTCCTCGCGGACCTCACGCAGGCTAGGTCGGTCATAGTAGTTCTCGTTCCAGTCGCCCCTCTTCATGCCCTCTGCGCGCTCCATGAGCCACGCCTCCGAGTCGGCGATTTCCTTTGCCCACCAGTCGCGCGCCGTCTTCTGGACCTCTTTCGCCGTGGACTCGCCCGTGTTTTCAAGATCTCGCAACACCAGCTTGTCTCTGCGGCGGACGATGAGCCTGCTAAGCCCAGCCTGCCGGCCGCGAGTGCAGCGATCGATGAGATCTCGCATGGCGGGTGGCGTGCGAGTGTATCCGGGAAACTCAACCAGGGGCTCCCATCGGTACGAAAGCCACACCGCCGCTCGCTGGGGGGCGCTTTCGGATTCAAAGATGCACCAGAGGACTCGCCCGAGCATGTACACCTCGCAGGCCTCCTGCTCTTTGGGGGTCAGGCAGGCCCACGGCACGTTGTACCCCTTGGATGGCCAGACGTAATCTTCGCCCTGGCCCATCTCCTCCCACCCGGGAAGCATGCTCGTCAGCATCGCGGCATACTTGTCTACAATGCGCGAGGGGATCTCGTCGTCGACGGCCAACAGTCGGACGTACTCGATGGCGTTGACTTCTGGGGCGGCAAACTCGCACCAGACGCCACGCTGCTCAAAGTCAACCATGACAACGTCCCCAGATTCCGTCAGGACAATGTTGTCAAGCCGGAGGTCCGGATAGAAAATGCTGGACGTCTCACGCAGATGCACCAAGGCAGACGCAAGTTGGACAGACCATTTGGCCTTGTCGGCTAGCGACACTCGGTCATGCACCTGCAAAAAAGGGATCAAGTCACGCAGGCTGCCATGGACGTGAAACTCGAGCGTGAATCCGAGGACGGCCGTCTTGCTGCCAAAGCTGCACTTCTTTGTGATGAGGTGGACCGGTCGTGCCACAATGTTGGGGTGAGCCTTGATGGAGAGGAGCTGTCGTAGTTCATGGTACAAGTACTTGGTGTAGCTGGTCAGGGCCTTGAAGATCCATGTTTTGCCCTCATATTCAATGAGACAGACACTGTCGTGCAACTGTGACAGATACACGACGTCGTGAACGTCGACCGTCGGGGGGAGGTCCAGGTGCGACCCCCAGAAGCTTTCAAATGATGCCACGGACAGCATCTGACGCTCAAGGTAATACGTCGGAGCGATGCATACCTGGACTTGGCTGACATCCCTGGGAAGGTTGTTGAAGACGATCCTCGAGCCAAAGGGGATGTTTTGATATATCTGAGGCGGATCATCCAACGTCGACGTCCAGTACTGGAGCAGCCGGAGCACATGCTGGGTAACGCCAAGCTGTGAGATGCGGGATGCGTCTCTTGTGTAGAAGGCCACGTCCATGTCGAGGACGCTGCGCAGCTCGCGCGAGAGGGTCGCTGGCTCGGGTATGAAGACATCAATGCGGAACGGGGGAATCGAGTCCATGAAGAGAGGCACGGCATAAAACTGAGTTCCAAATGCAGTACAGCCATCAATACGCCACAAGGGCCGCGCCGGAGGCTCCAGACTGTCGATGCGATTCTTGGGGTTCAGTGGAGACTCATCCCACGAAGTCTCTCTCGCAGCCTCGACAGCGGCATTAGCGGCCGACTGCTCCCAGATGCTCTCATCCGAGAAGGCTGCGGTTGGATGGATGACATCGTGAATCGACTGTTGGCTGAGCTCCATGTTGTGTTGTGCAGATGCAAATGCTATATGTCTCTCAACGGACAGGTGCAGCCTCTACCGTTACTAGAGAGGGCAGTGTCTTTATCAGTCATTTGGCACACGCGAGAGAAGAGACTGAGACTGAGACTGAGAGAGCGGCGGCCACCGACCTAGTACCTCTTCGACTTCCTCTTCCACGTGCGGGCTCTTTGTGCTTGATCAAGCCCGGGTGAGAGGAGGCATTCGACGTGCCAGCTCTGGGCCCAGGCAGCTGCTGTTTGCCGTCACAGGCGGCCCGTTGCAAAGGCTAGCGATGGGATTCAGCTTCTTCGACCCCTCCCAGCTGGAGAGACTGGCCGGGCTTCCGATTTGCACAGGACCGACAACGTCGATTGTGTCACGTCTTTTTGCGACTCGAGCTGCCCAAGTTGTCATGCATGAACTGGGGGGTTCGTGGCCAGCAGCCCGCTGCATCTGGCTTGATTTGGCTGCGCATTACCTTATGCCTGATCACATGATGCGGCCTCGAAGTACCAAAGTACATTTGCATTGCATTCCATCTCGTCTGATGTCGATATCAGACGTGGCATTGGCCATCGTCTTGGAAATGCTGAGTTGTGCCCTGGTTTGCAAAGGCAAAAAGCCGATACAGGACGGCACTTGTGCTAGGCTGGAGTTTTTGGCAGCTGGGGTTAGGGGTCATGTTTGTTGCCCAAGCTCCGCAAACACACACACAACGCCTTTGAGCCATCAGTCGCGCAGTGCAATTGCTACGTCGGACAGGGACATGCACTTCGGCAATGGGTGGCTGTTAGGAGCACGGCATGCTGGGAGGCTGGCAACGGGCTGGGATCCATTTCGTCATTGTCTTGATCGAAAGACGCTTGATCCGTCCGCCTGCCCTTGTGCTGAGAGGGCAATGCCGCTCCTATATTTACGAATGTCCAAAGCTCACGCACATCAGCAGCAGCAAGCTAAATCCGGGGAAACGAATGGCCTGGACGAATCGACCAAGCAGGTTTCCATCGGTTATCCTTGGTACTGTACAATTCGCCGCTACTGGTGCCCGCGAAAAGAGCACACGCGAAAGAGTACGAGTACAGGCAAGCTTTTGCGGCTGCACATCCCGTCAGCCAGCCTCTCTCTTTTTCCGTTCCCCGTTCCCGTTCCCGTTCTCGTACTGGGCCTTGTTAATCTTGCTGCCTTGGACATTAATATCGGCGTCATACATGGCCGCCGCCACCGGCGCTTCGTACACACGCGAAGAGGGTGGCCCTTTTCCCCTTCTCCTATTTTGCAGCAAGTCCTTTGTTTGCTCAAGCCGAGCCGAAGTGTAGGATTGAGTGGAGCAGGGAACATAACTTGGCCCCCAATGCCATGGCCATCTGTCTCTCTTTTTTTTCCTCCGGCCGATGGGGGCAGAAAACAGTGGTATTCAAGGGTAACGGATGCATGTCTTGCTCAAGTGTCAAAGCAAACCTTGACGGCTTCAGCCTATGGAACACTCATTCATACGATATTTTGTGGCGTTGAGAATGACTCGGGGGGCCCATGCTATGCGTACTCGGTCATCTTCAGCCGCAACAAGCGACAATAGCCGTGTTCTGGAGTACGGGAGGCAAGATATCGGAGGCAAGATATTCGGACAGGCCCGTATGCGACCCATGGTGCTATTCTTGAGCCGGAGGAAAGCTTGACGAAATTAGCCAAAGCTACGCCATAGAGACGCAGCACAAAAGAGGCGGAGCTCAATGCATTGTCATTACGCTGCATGGCATGGTCTCTCACGTACGACTATAGCAGCTTGTCAGTGAACAACGAATCTCTCAAGCCCACTGATTTAGATGAAAATTATGTAGCATCAGGCGGCTTGGACTATACAGCAGAACATCCGATGCTACTCTCTGCCCACTTACATGTCTTTGGCACGCACTCAGCGCGATGCGAATGGGAGCAAGGCAGGTGATTATCCAGATCTGAACTGATCGCCGATTTCATGGAGAATAATGCATATCCATCAAGACTTGCATTGACTGATGTCATAACATGTGTCAGACGCATGTTGTCATTAGTTGTGAACGAACCTGCTGGGGTAAGAGGCCGTGCTGTTAGCAAAATGCTCTTACACACCCATCCCACAGGCACCACTTGCAAATAGCTCATCCGAAGTTACCAACCGGTCTCTCCATGGGCTGTCGGGAAAGAAGATGCAAGTCACTAAGCTGAATCAAAAGTATCGTCCTCCTCGCCGTGACTTGTCTGAAGGGGCCCATGGTACCTTGCAGCCTAGTCATGATCTGGATAGCATAAGCCACGGCTCTCTCCATCTCTGCTGCTCCAAAGCCCAAGTTGGCACCACTGCATCTCCCTTAGCCCCAGACTCACATATGCTAGTGGTTTGGTGGCGTCCATGCTAAATGCTCACCGGTCGGCGAGGGTTGTTAAAGAATGGAAAGCAGAAGCCCAGGGTCTCTGCATATCGCGAGGAGGCCATTTGATGCGGCCAGCCATATATAGGCAGCTTAGCGGGCTTGGGAAAGTAACATGTAACACATGGTTACTCAGTTTCTGGTGGTATGAACCGTAGTCCCTTTTTGTGCAACGACCATGGCACCAGCACCACGGCTGCTTCGAATCAAGGCCCTAGCCTCTCATATGGCCCCAACTTCCCTCTGGCCTCGGAGTGGACCACGAGAATGTCGAGTCTGGCTGCATATGCACGATGCACCAAAGGACGGAGACAGTCCGTAGACAGCCCGCGCGGCCTTTTGGTACTACTACTAGGTACCCAGTAAAAGACGGACTGATGCTATGTCGTGTAGCTTCGCGAGAACAGCCCGTGTAAGCTGGGTGATGAGGTCAGCGTCAAGCCCTATTGGTGATAAGAAAAGAAACCACCGACCAGTCCAAACAGCGGTGTTGATAACGCGCGTATACGAGCAGCAACACGAGTGGTTTTGACAGATGCATTTTCGTAATATGCAGCTCGCCGAGACAAATTCGAAGCCACAGCAGACGAAAGACTAAGGCATGGAGTTACAAGGTTAGGGTAGACGATGATGGACTTGGAGGCCATGACGTTGCCTTGCATTGGCCCTGAGCAACTCCACTAGCCCGAACAGTTGCAGCAGCAGCGGGGGAAAGCAGAAGCAGGAGATGAAGTGCGAATCGGCGCAAAGAAACGGAGCGTTGAAGCATCTCCGCAGCAGCAGCTCGTCAGAGGCTTCTTAGAGGCTCTTTGGAGGCTGATTGCAGGTTCATTGCAGGTTCATCACAGGCAGAGGCAACTTGATGCCTTATATTGACCCAGACCAATTGGATTTGATCCCGGCGACGATGATTGGCCAGCTAAGCAAAAGAAGGCTCGTCCATGCCTTGGCTAGCACGGGGCAACTCGTCCTGGCTTCCTTCCTAACTAAGACACAGGCAGGTCCATCCGACTCCAGGCGGAGAAATAACGGAGCAAGGGATTTCAGCTAGGGCCGTAGCAGGGCCGCAGTGGAGGGCCTTAGCAGTGGGAACCTGAACGGTCATCTACGATACTTGCTAGTCTAGCCCCCGCGGGCGAACCACCGCCATTCCGCACCTTAAGTCAACATCTGACCATCGACATCTGCTTCACATGGCACGGCATGCTCGCCCTCGGGACGCCCAGTGGAGGCGCTGCTCCGTTCGCCGGAGATTTTCGAGCAATGATTCATGAACCGCGCAGCACGAATCAGCCACAGTCCGTGTGTGCAATTTCATTTCAACTCAGAGTCCAATTTCGTTGCGAGGGTGGCACAAGAGCCGCCGAGGCGTGGGGGAGATGCAACGAATGTCTTGTGTGACGAAACGAGACAGCCACGCGAAAACACAATGAACAGCCGCCCACCCTCGACTCGACCTCTCTTCCGATGGGCCGTGTCGCGAGGAAATCCGCACCGGGCCTGGAATTCGACCAAGTTGCTTGACCTATCTGGTACCGCTGCGAGTTTGTCGTCGTCCGTGGCCTTGCCAGGCCCGAGAGGTTTTCAAGATGCTCACCCCCCCTGGCGCAGAACCGCGGCTACCGAGCCGGGATAGATCAAGATCCCCTGTGGTTGCGTGGATGCATCTGCTTCGTAACTGGGCTTCCAAGGCCGTGTGGGTGCAGTTTAATACAGGCCTCGCTCACCGGTTCCCCACTCCTAAGCGGTTCATTCACGAGAGCTTCCTCGTGTGGTAGCACGCACAGCTTTTAGCTCGATGATTAGTAGGTTCGAGCCCAGCACCAGTCCAATGCACCACATGTGCCTCGTCTGATCTCGGCTCTGGCTTTAGCATCGTGGATGGGCAACTCTACACTGTGACAAGTTTGCCATCCCAACTCCCCAGCTCCTCAATCATCAAGCAGCCCAAGTATATCCAGCCTGAAAAGACAAAACAGACAATAACCGGCTTCTGCGGTTATTCCAAAACAGACGGACGGACGGCCTGTGGTTGAATCACCCTGCGGCTGCGTTTTCCCAGGTGCAGGTCGCAGTGCATGTGACCCGCCCGCGTCGAAATGAAAGAGGCGTATAAGCTGCAGTTGACAAAGCTCTTTGTGGTACCATAATAGCCTTGGAAGATAAGACGACTTTTCATTGGACTGGGTCGCAGTCGGACTCCAACCTTGCTCTGCCAGAATCCCTTCCTCGATCGCACACTGGCCGTCAGCCCCGTTGGGCGCTACGGCTGACTCTTCTCCCGGCCTGAAGACGAGGGCATTCTTTGATGCCCATGTTGTTTACCGCGCCATATACACCTGGTCCCTTCGTTCTCGTTGGCCAACTTTGTCACGATGGCTCCGGCGCGATGCATCTTGCTGGAGTTTTACACACCGTCAGGGCCGTAACTGCGCAATGACATCTCAGCCCATTCATCTCTCGATAGCATGTGCCCGCTATTTCTCAGCAGCTGTATGGAATGCCGGCCCGATCGGAGAAGCCCAGGCTCAATCTTTGCTTCAATGATACCACCCGGAGTTCATTGGGCACTGCATCCCAACTACTCCCCCCCCTGGCCGCAGCCGTAATACCCCTCAATTCCCATTAAATACACACAACCTGTTTAGCACCGGGATCCATGACTTCTGCTCTCTCACCGAGTCGCTTCTCTCTCTTGGAATAAAAAAAACAGCTATCGTCGTCTAGCTTTGAATCCAGCCACTTAGACCACAGGCCAGCGGCCTATGCACACTTCGGCAACACGCCCCAGATTCTAGCCCGCGCTACCCCGTCACCCCCTGCTTTACGACGGAGGATAACCCCGGGCATCGAGGATACAGCCGGCAGCGCAGCAACAGCAACACCAGTGTCCCCAGAGCACATTCATCATCGGTCACCAGAGTGGCGGCAGCACGAGACCTCTTGGACAAGTGTAGCCAGGCGGGTGCGCTTCGCAGCTCGGCACCATCATTGGACTGGGCTTGCTTGGCCGCCGGCCCAACGCTAGTCGGACTCCTTACTTACATGCCACCTCTGTCTCTGTCTCTCTTACTCTCCGGCCATACTGGTTCATACACCAGTAAACGAACCCTCGTCTTGGATATTTGCGGCTCACTGTGTTCCCGCTCCTGCTCCTCCTCGACCGCACAGCGTCCCGCTCCACCTATCGTTTTACACAGCGGAAGCCAAACTCTGGCCCCAGGAATGGTTCCGGTGGCACCATAGCCATCCACCCCCTCCCCGGCGTCGCTCAACCTCACCCGCTGTCTTGGTGCACAGCTTTGGTGTACCTTGTTGATATTGCTTTGTCTCTCGAGTCTAGCTGATACTTGGCTTCCCACGTGCCGGTACATTGGATCCTGCTCCTGTTACCACGCCGCATCTGTCCAACACACCCCATCTATCTAGGAGCATCATGGTAAGCCGACTTCCTCACCCCACGGCGGTAGCCTGCATGGTTATATCTGTGGCCGCTTCCTGTCACCTATTGTTTGAGTTTCTTTTCATAATGCCTTCACCACTTATGCCGTCTCTTTCCTGTTGATTCCTGTTTATATCCTTCCCCGTACGACATCAATCCATTTTCCTCTCCATTTCCCCCCCAACTCCCAAAGTACGGTCAAGTTAATCATCACATAGGCTCCCCGTCGAAAGCGTGTCCGGTCACTGGGCACATTTGATGTATCAGTGCCTCCAGAGCCTCTAGTACCTCTGGTACCTCCAGCTCCTGCCGTGAATACGGAGTTTTCACAATTGCCTCTTGATGAGACGCAACTCTTGGTAGGACAAGCGACGGCAGCCCTCGACTATCCCTATGGTTACTCTGAGTATTCAACTGGATATACATTAGGCTATACATCTGGCTATTCGCCTGATTTCCCCCCTGCCTGTCCCTCCAACTCTCCAGCACATTCACACAAACGCAGACGACTGGAAGGTTTTTACCCGATGCCTTCTGTCGACGAGCCATCGTCATCTGCCGTTGACTATCAGGAAAAGGTACCTGTAGCAGGTCCTCATGATGACCAGCAGGGTCATGATGCAACATCAATTATACCGCGATGGGCACCCGCCATGCCTGACGTTCAATCCCTGAGCTCCCCGTTGACATGCATGGCAGAGACCATGCTTGCCTGCTGTAACTTCGCGTGGCAGCATCCTACCGGTATGCAGGCTCCCTTTCCCACCGCTTTGCGGCTCCTCTCTAGTACCAAGGTGAGGGCTAATGACTTTGGCCCAAAGGATACCAGCTTCTTCCCGATCCGGCGGCCGTGGTATACGAGCCTCCGCAGCAGTATACGATGGAAGTGGCACAACCTGTGCCAGCCCAAGCGATTCACTCTGTGCAGCACCTTGTCTCAGACTCTGATGGGTTTCCTCAACATGCGCCGGTGCAAGATCAGCACTTGAACTTGGATGTCTTGCCACTCGATGGCTACCCCGTCCTTGGGGAAGCCTCATTGCAGCCGCTGCTCCAGCCTGTGTTGCAACCTACCCTGCAGGAGCCACCGTCCATTGCAAACACGGACGATGATCCTTATCTGGTAAACCAGACTGGCCACGAGTACTCTAACCAGCTGGCTTCTACGGACTTATACAATTATCCAATAGTCACGGCACCGATGGCAATGTCCATGCCGCTCATTGATGAGAATCCTATGGATGCGAATACTTCACTGCTGCCGTACGGTCCAGCCCCCCTTGTACCGCTAGTCCAACCTCCTTTGGTGGTCATTGAGCCCACGTCCCCAGAGATACACAACTGTTATAACACTCCTGCGGCGCAGAATCTACCTCAGCCGGTACTGCGTGAAGATGAGAGCAACACAGTTGGCCAGACACAAGATACAATTCCCGACAACCTACAGCCCACCCAACGTAATGGTAAGCGTGGTCCATTCAGAGACCAAAGCCTTCGAGAGCAAACGGCCCAAACAAGGAAGATGGGCTCATGCATAAGGTGCAGAATGCAACGCATACGCGTAAGTGGCATCATCCTGATAGCGAGAGGCGACGTACCCCGTCTTGTGGTACACAACAGCACTTGGCATGATCTACGTAGGCTAACGCAACACTTTCCTTGCAGTGCGAGTTCAACTCGGATCTTCCAGGCGGCGTCTGCCTGACGTGTAAAAAGGTAGAGAATACAAAGGCAGCAAGGCTACCGTGCCTCCGGTACAAGATCACCGACATGATGCTCTATAAGCCAGGCGCAGTCCCAGGTTACGAGTGGTCCCAAAGATGGAACAAGAACAACTCGGAACCCATCCAGCTTTGGGCCTCGCGTGAAGTCAAAGTCATTCAGATATCTGTTTACTTCTCAAACTCGTTTCTCTTACTGCCGGTGCGCAAATTCGTTCCACAGGAGGGAGACAAACTAGAGCGGACATGGGATTACCAAGGCACCAAGAAGTCGGTCACCATCCCGCCATACGCGCTGGTGGACCTGGAAGCCGGCAAATCAGCGTACACGAGATTTATCCGAGACTCCATGACCGACATTTTCAAGAACTTCCTTGGTGACACGGATAGTCTCTTGTACAAGACGTACCTCCAAGCTTGGCACATGTGGAAAGACCCAAACATCGCGGCGGAGTCGTTTGAATTACTCAACTGGACGCTTCGGCTGTGGATAGCCGTCCGCTTGTCAACTACGTCGGCGTTTATCGCCGGGAATGAGAGACTAGGCATGTCGACCGATATTCTTGACCAAACCAATCCAAACCCTGGAAAGATTCCACTGCCCCCGGTGCTGGGCGCACAGATGGACATGATATTGATCCAGCACATGCAGTCCAAACTTAGACATGAGCTGTTGGACAACCTCCAAAAAGTAATGCTCAAGAATAAGCCATCTAGCTGGCTGGTGACTTACTTGGTGACTTTCATTCTGCTTCACAACGTCGCGCTTATTACAAAGCACGATGCTGCGTATGCTCGCAAGCATGGCATGAAGGTGAGTTTACCCCATGCATAGGGTAACGTCGGTGGCCAGCAGCCATGTTAAGAGCGCGGGGCTCATCCCCCTCGTCCCTCCTTGGCACGTAGTAGTACCAAAATGCTGACGAGATTGCCCTTGCAGCGCCGTTACGCTCGACAAGAAAAAGTCCAAGAGTATCATCTGGGTGAGACCGGCCCCTCCTCCCGCCGTTGAACGCTGACATAGTGGCTGACCTTTGGCATCTAATGGCGACGGCAATACAGGAGCCAATATTATCCTGGCCCACTTTCACTACTGTAACAAGGGCATCGTGCCCTTCTCGGAAGAGTGCGAGGATCAAGATCTTCGGACGTTAGCGCATCTAGATGAGGATAAGATCAAGTTTGTTCGTGCGACCAGGGCACACATTCAACGGCACAGTGAGTCCCCGATACCACCACACTCCCCAGCTAACCGGATTCCCGGACTGGCGCTAATACAGGGGTCAACCCCTTCTTGTACAGAGGAAGAGTGGGAGGATATCCGCGCCAAAAAGGCGTACGAGGAAGACTACTTCTTCGTCAGCCAGTTGTTTGAGGAGAAATGGCAACCAAGGACCTCCGTCTTGTAGCATTTTGCTTTTGTTTTGCTCTTTAATTTTCTTCCTCTTGTTGCTTTCTTTTCTTGCCGCAAAGTCACCCAGTAATGCCTTGAGGTTGTTGAAGCGGTGAGGTCTCGGCACTACGCGTTTAGTTTGGATGAAGGGGGCGGACTGCAGGACGCAGCGCCCTGAGGCGGAGATTGGCTCTGGCAAGTGTCCATCAAGATGCCTTGTTCCGAGATGAGGTGGTACAGGTATGGTAGCTACCATCCAGGGGCATGCAAACTACCCAAGATGGTACCTAGGTGGTACGCTAGATGTTTCGCAGGTCTACGGGGTCATGGGTGGCTGGGGGAGGAGGACACAAGACATTGTTACCGGTATGATATGTCACGTACACGATGGATGCTGAGCATACGAGGCACGAGTAATGGATAAAAGAAGCACGCTGCCAGGCATCAAGTTTGTTGTCTCTTTTCTCCGGCGATGACCGATTCACCATTGCCCGATTCGTACAGATTAGCGTGCTTGATACAATCCCACGCGAAGCAATCATGACAATCATGAAGTCGGCGGCGCATTCAAAGGTCCTATAAAGGCCATGGCCTCCCGCTAGCAGTATCGCTTTGCCCGAGTAGCAAACATCGAGGCACTGAAGCAAAGAAGAGTCCGTCCGCCCGTCCTGTCGCAGCTCCTCACACGGGACCCTGAGCATGTATACACCCGTCTACGCCAAGATAGCGGGAGTGTACATGTATACACGAGAGGGTAGCGGCATCTCCCCCGGATATCTGCTGCAATTACTTGACCGCTTGTTCTGAGCGACGAGAGAAGGGAGAGAGGGCCTTGTTTTGGCTTACTTCTCTCTTTTTTTTTTTTTGTTTCTTAGGGTTTCTTTTCTTTTTCATGGTCTTGTTTTTTACTTTTTCTTGGTGGATTGCTGTGGATCCGGGGCTGAGGGACAAGCTTCAGCAGGAAAAAAAAAAAAAGGAAAGAAGGAAAGACAGGGGTTACGCAAACTTGCCTAGGAGAGGAAAAAAGCAAAGCCAAGCAAAGCCAAGTACTACCTAGTAAGTGGCAGAGAAAAGAGACGACAGTTTTTCAGCACATGAAGACTAGAGGTACTATCTGATCCTGTACCAAAGGGTCTACCAAGGTTATGAATCTTACCCTGCTCAACGCCTAGGGGGGAGACCCTCGATCACACTATGCTCGCTGGTGTCTTATGATAACATCCCCTACGCTACCAAGACCAATGTGTCTCAGCCGGAAGCTCACATTTGGGACACATTTGGGAGGCAATCTAGTGCAAAGGCGAGATGGGCCAATGCAAGGACAATCATTGCTGGAGCAGGTAGTGCGGTGACGGATACGGGCCGTGGAAATACGGCAGCAAGCCGAAGCGCCGGTTTTGTGCTGCCGGGCCTCTTGTCCCGCCGCCGGAACGAGTCCGCGGCCCGGATCCAAATGACCAGGCAAGGGCCTTGGTTGCTATTTGCTGTTTCTCTTTGCTTCTTTCTTCGCGGCTTGCCTACCTAGTCAATGGCTGGGTGCAGTTTGAACCCAGGATGGTTTCAGTGCTCTTGCCTGGATGAGACATTTCCAATTTATTTGCCAGAGAGGCGGTCTGCCTCGACATGACATATAAATGGAGGGCATCTGTCGCTATCGTGCTTTCCAAAACCATCAAGTCCAACATTAACCGAGTCCACACCGTTGTTTGACAATTCCAAAACTTATATATATATATATTTCCCTCCTCTTCTCTTCTCCCAAACTTGAAACTTCTCTCTCAAAGCACAACACATTCGTTTTGCCATTCTTTGCCGTCTGCACTCCAATCCAACTTCAATCCTCTGTCCTCCTCTCTTCCAACAGCCAACATATCACCTGTCCTCATTCGCAATGGCCGGTACCGTTGTTGCCAACTCGGAGCTTGCTGCTCCTCACCAGGAGCTCAAGCTGCTTTCTCCCCTCGCAGAGATGTCGACTCTGCCCAGTGGCTTTCCTGCCGTGCTGGCCTCGCCTATGGCATGGACTGGTCAGCAGTTTGAACAGCAGCCTGACTTCATTCACCACCTGGATGCCGAGGAGCTTGGAGAGATTGACGCTGCTCTCAAGCACTTCAAAGGTGAGCCAGCTACCATTGGCAGTAGCTCCCCATTCATCCAGCTTTACTAATTGCAACGGTGTGCAGCTCTCGAACTCGACGGCGACCTCGTCACTCCTGACAACTTCCCGCTTCCCACTGTTGGTCCCAACGTGCTCAAGGGCATGCGCCAGGACATTTACCAAGGTAAAGGGTTTGCTGTTCTCCGAGGACTCGACCCCAAGCAGTTCTCCGTAGAGGACATGACCACCATATACCTGGGGGTCCAGGCTCACATTGCCAATCGCCTCGGTCGTCAGGACAAGAAGGGCAACATGCTGGGTAAGAACGTAGAAGCCCCGAGCCGAGCCATGAGAGAGGCTAACACCAGTGTTTCCAGTTCACATCATTGCCGACAACTCTTCCAAGGAAAAGGCCGAGCACCATCGCCACTCCACTTCTCCCATCGTAAGTCTGCTGCAGCATACCCCTCAATCACTTGGCGACTGACGCGAGTAGACGTTTCACAACGAGGAAGCTGGAGACATCATCAGCTGGCTCACGAGAAACGCGGCCCAGTCCGGTGGCAAGTGCATCATCGCCTCGACCTACACAGTTTACAACGTGCTCGCTGCTACTCGACCCGACCTCATCCGCACCCTGGCTCGATCTGACTGGCCTTTTGCTCTGTAAGTGTCTTGGACTCTGATGATGTGATTGCATGGCGCAAGGGCTAACGTAGTCGTGTCTCATCCCCTAGGCCCAAGTTCCAATGCCGACCTGTCTTCTTCTACCAAGATGGCCGTCTCATTACCAACTTTGGCAGGGCTGCCCTGATGGGAAGCGCGAGCCACGCTCGACCAGCCCATTTGCCCGCGCTCACTGCTAGCCAGGTTGAGGCCTTGGATGCCATCCAGGACATTGCCGAGGCGACCAAGTTCGAGTTCACCACCCAGCCAGGTGACATGCACTTCATCAACAACCTGGCGATCCTCCATCGCCGTGCTGGATTTGTCAACGGCTCGGAGCCCAGCCAGCGCAGACACCTTGTGCGCATGAGACTCCGCGACGACGAGATGGGATGGAGCATCCCCCTCGATCTGCAGAGCGAGTGGGACAAGGCTTTTGGTCAGGCGGGAACCCGTGTGTGGCATCTCGAGCCCATGCCCTCTGGCTACTTTCCTCTGCGATCCCAGCCCAACTAGGGTGGTCGGCCAGCAACTCAAATAATCTCGCAAGCTACTTGACAGGGTCGACGCTTGGGTTTGGAGCGAAATGCCACTAATGGAAGTATTGGTGAGAGGGCATTGCATTGGCATCGGCGTCTTGAGAAAAAAAACAAAAGAAGCAAAAAAAAAAAAACTATAGACCAGGTTTTGGAGTTGTGGGCCAAAAAACTCCTTCGGCTTGCTTGATTGTTACATAGATAAACATGTTCGGATCACATCCGCAAAAGTTCGGCAATGGCACGGCATAGACTAGAAACTAGGTAGTCAGATTGGACCAAATTTACATATTCTAGCACTTGATTCGTTTCTGCTCAGGCACCTGGTCGCTGTCTTGATCACTCACCACAGGCCACACAGGCCCGTGTAAACGAGGAACCGCATGTAAGCCTCGACTGCTTCACAGCTCTAGTTACAGGGCCCAACGCAGCCATTTGACACATTGGGCATTAGCCTGCGCACTCAATGCCCAATCCGACGAGGCTGGCAAAATGGGCGTTTGAAAAGCATCCGGAGCTCATGATGGGAAGTCGAAAGCGGAGCCCACCTGACCGGGATGCCGAGACACGGACGAGTCACGAGACTCGGGGAGTGATTCAGCCGCTTGCAAGACAAGGAACTGCAGCTTTTGACACACAGCAAGGGTGGGCTAGACGCAGTAGCCGGACTAGAAAGAGAGAGAGAGAGAGAGAGAGAGAGAGAGAGAGAAAAGAGAGAAGCAGGGAGAGTGGCAGAAAAAAAAGAAAAGAAAAGACATGGATATCTCACCGTTTTTGCATGTCTTGGGCGGCAGGGGGGCAATGAGACCGGCCGGCGGCTTATTTACCGGAAGAAGCAGAGACGGGGGAGCTGAGAAAGAATGAAGGGGGTGATTTGCGAAAGAAAAAAGAGAAAACATGACTACTATACCTGGCAGGTTCTCGGGGAAAAAAGAAAAGCCCTGGGTTGACATCCTGTGATTTGTAGGGGGGGGGGGGGGGGGGGCTGGCGCTATAGGAAGGAGATTTTTGACGGCGTCGGTCGCGGCGTTTAACCATGTTACACAGGCGTCTTTTTTTGTTTCACTTTTTTTTTCATCCCGCGTTTTTTTATTAACGCTTTGTTAGACGTTGTAATTCATCTTTTTTTTCCCCTCTTGTCTCCCTTGCATGTAAGCCGCTCCGGTAGTTCCAATGCTAGAGTGGAAATATCCCGTGTTTTGTGTTTTCCTTTTTTCGTGACAGGCCCGCAGGTTGGGGCGGGAAACATTGTAAGTTTGTTCTCCCCCCTGCTAGGTTTTGTGACAGATTGGCGTGAATGCCCAAGTCTCGATCCCTGGCAGGGTGGCGGTGATAAGACACGCGCCTGGACGGGGAGGAAAGAGAGATCTAGGGATGGCGGGGGGATGTGGGATCGGAAGAGGCTTTGATGCGTGTACGAGTATGTCATATCATGTCACGATTTGTCTGATTGAGATGCGAGATGTGAGATGGGGTGCATACATGTATACTGCTACTAGTATCTTGTTTGTGTAAGCCATCAATGTGTAATTCCACCTAGTATGCGATAAGTTATATAAACAAGTAGGGAATAGAGTTGTAGCGTCGAGGTTTTCGGGGGTTAGAGTTGACGTAAAGTGTATGCGAAAACAACGGCAAGATAAGATGAGACGACGGCGAGTCAAAGGTACGATGCCAAGCGAAAGTTTCGATACGAGCTGGAATGACATCCGGCATCGACCACGACCGTAGGAAGCTACTATATCCATAGCTCTCATCACACAGCTCACTCTTTGTAGTCAAGCTGCTTGGGCGCCAATTTGCACAGTGCCGCTACCGACCCGAAACGGCGGATGGCTTCCCCGTGACCCAACCACGGCACTTGAGCACCCGCTGAACCCATGCCGGGGGCGCTAAGCCACGGGGCCGCAATGCCGGTACAGTGTCCAAGTAGGAGAGTCGAACACTGTACAACGCTGAACTGTGATTTCCTAGCTACCCCCTGCTTACGTGTGGAGTCTTGTTGTCTCACCTAGCAAGCAGCATGTCTTCAGCTTCATCCCTACATGCACTATCGTGACGGCATCCAACCTCATTCTGACGGCCACTGCCTGGCACTCTTTGCAGCTCGCCCCAAGGCTCTGACGCGTCAATCGGCTCCGGCAGAGGGGACGTGCCATTACTCGGACCAACAGCGTCGCATCGCATCGCATCGCATCGCATCGCCCATCACATCACATTCGCCTCGCCTCGCATCGCATCGCATCGCATCGCATCGTACCGTGCCGTCGGATTGATTTGAGACAAGGGGCCGGGGCGAGGCCTTTGAGGGTCCCGGCATTGCCAGTACGAGCAGCGCCCGTACGAGTACGTTCGAGCCCAGGTTCATCCTCCAAGTCCATGCATCAGCCGCACGTCACGGGCTGAGACCCGGCGTCTCGTGATCCGATCCTTTCATCTTGCCTCCTCTCTCTCTTCTTCTTCTCTCTGCTCTTCTCCTCGTGCTGATTGGCCAATTCTCACAGCGCCTTGCGACGCGGGTCTCTTCTCTCGTTTATGTACCAACCCCAAGTCCGGAATCGAGATCGATCACGAGCCATGTCGACCTCCAAGCCAATCAGCAAGCCTGGCCGCGCCGACGCCTCAGACTACCGGCCAGTCCACCAAGACGACGACGCACACGATGCCAACGAGGAGGAGGAGGGCGTGTCGACCTCGGCCTACCTGCCGCCGCGCCGGTCGCGCGCAGACCGCCGTTACCGCACCACCATCCTCGCTCTCGTCATCGCCCTCGTCGTCCTGCTAGCGGCCAACCTGTACCTATCTCTGCCCTACTTCTTCCCCGGTCACGGCCCCGGCTCCTGTCCGGCTCCTAGCAAGGTGCCGCAGTACTTCCAGACATCGCCGGAGCTGTGGGCCGGGCCAACAGCCACCGGCAATGCCGCCTTTTTAGCACAGACAAGGACCTTTGATCCCACCGCGACCTTTGTGCCCAATGAGCCGCTGCAGACGGCCATCCCCGTCAAGGGTATGAGGCCCGGCAACGACACTATTTTCAAGATGATGGGCTACTTGTCTCCCTACTTTCCCTCCCCTGGGTTTGGAGTCAATGAGTACCCGCTTCCCGCGGGAGCAGAGATCGTCCAGGTCCAGATGTTGTCCCGTCACGGCGCCCGCTATCCTACTTCTGGGGTCGGCGTTGTCAGCTTCGCCCAGCGCATTGCCAATGCCTCTAGCGACTTTAACCCCAAGGGGCCGTTGGGCTTTCTCAAGGGTTGGGAGTACCATCTTGGGTCGGAGATTCTAGTACCCAAGGGTCGTGAAGAGCTGTACAACTCGGGTAAGCATAGCGGCAGTATGCCATGCGGATTGCCCTGGATAGAGCTGACATTTGCATAGGAGTTCTTCATAGCTACATGTATGGCAGTCTGTATAATCCAAACAGCAAGATTATTGTTCGAACAACGGTAAGGCTCACAGCTTGACAAACAAGCAGTACTTGAAGTCGATTTCATTGCGTACTGACAACTTGATATAGACACAAGATCGTATGCTTAAGTCGGCTGAGAACTGGATGGCTGGCTTTTTTGGGTTGGAATGGTGAGCACTTCATATGAGCCACTTTCATTGCGGGCCATGTCTTACAAAGCTCAGGACGAACAACGCAACTATCGAAGTCATCATCGAGGCTGGAGGCTTCAACAACTCTTTAGCAGGCTCCCTCAATTGCCCCAATTCTTACACCAAAATATCGGCAAACGAGGCCAAGCAGCAATGGATCAACACCTACCTTCAAGATGGTATGTATTCGCCTAGTCCCACCTAGTTTCAAGGGGTATCAAGACAGCTAATGTCAGGCAGCTCTTGATCGTTTCAACGCGTTGACGGATGGATTCGAGTGGACCATTAACGACGTATACGACGCCCAAACGTTGTGTCCTTACGAGACAGTAGCATACGGCTTCAGCATGTTTTGCGACTTATTCACCTATGAAGAATGGCAAGGTTTTGGCTATTCAATCGACGTGTGGTTCTCAGGAGGCAATGCCTTCCACAGTCCTACCGGGGTACGTATTGAGCCTCCCATCTCCGCACAAATTGACGTTGGAAGCACTAATGCTTTTTTTCCTTGATGCAGAGAGCAATTGGCATTGGATATCAACAGGAAGTCCTCGCTCGACTGAAAAACCATACCCTCGGCTACTCTGGCTCGCAAATCAACGTCACCCTGGATAACAACACGGAGACTTTCCCCCTCAACCAGAGCCTCTACTTTGACTTTTCCCACGACACCAACATCGTTTCCATCCTCACTGCATTCGGCCTCCGTCAATTCGCGGAGGAACTTCCGGCTGATCGATACCCCGGAGCCCACAACTTCACCGTCGCACACATCACCCCCTTTGGCGCCCGTCTCGACATTGAGATTATCAAGACTCCGAAGCCCCTCTCGCCCAACCGCGACGGCTACCTCCGCGGCGAAGAGCAGAAATACGTTCACTTCATTCTCAACCAGCGAACAGTTCCTCTGGGTCTGAGTTTCCCCGAATGCGACGCCAGCCGTAAAGATGGCTGGTGCGAGTTCGACACCTTTGTCAAGATACAAGAGGGCATGTCGGACAAGGCGAGCTACGACCATGCCTGCCATGGAGAGTACGACAAGGAGCCTTATGGAAAGATTACCGATGGTGCTCCCAACTAAGATGACCCTTTTTTTTTTTTTTTTAAATTGCTGGAGGGGAAAGAGAAGGGGGCTTTTATAACAACTTTTTAATATGACCAAAGACATGATTCTCGATTGGTAAAACAAAGTGAAATATACGGCGCTCACGGAAGCTTGGACGGGATTTACATGTTCTTGCTTTTTGAGACTTGGAAAGAAACGAAGGCGTGGGTTAGAACAAAGACGGGATTTACGGAACAGCATCGCTAGTCAAACTGTTAAATGGGAATCTATTCGAGTTTCGGTTTCATCTTTGTTACCATCGTCTTTTTAGCGTTCAGCTGGTTTAAGAAACGACTTTATATCTCAAGAGAAATGTACAGACCATCTATAAGCCACAAGAGGGTGAAGCAATTCATCAAGATAATTCTCAATGAAAAAGCCAGCACACCTATTTGACCGTCCTCATCATCCTCTCAATTTTCATCCTCTCAAATTCAAACATCTACACATAAAGCAGCACGGCACAATACGTTGGTAAAAGCAAGACGGAAACGTTGGATCCAACTTTCAAGTATATTCATTGGCAATCATCCACACGCTGGTATCTACCAAAAAGAGTTTGCGCTCTATATAAATCAATGCCATCCCATCCATCCACGGGAATAAAACCTCAAAACGCCCGCTATGTAAAGCCCCAGATAGATATGTGTTCAAACAACAACAAATACAGCGCCGCAGTGGAAATTAAAAATTGCGGACAAATATAATAACATGAACAAGGAACGGCTTTTGTATAACCTCCCATTTTGTGAAAAGGAAAAAATTGAAACAAGACGTAGACGCAACGCAACAGCCTTAGTCGCGCTTCTCGTTGCTCTGGCTGCCCTCGGTCGTCTCAGTGCTCTCCGAGCGCTCCCTGGCGCGATCATCGTACATGGATGCGGGTTTCTTCTCTTCGTTCTGAGTATCGGCCAAGCTGGCAGAGCGAGCCATGTTGGCATGCTCCTGGATGCCGTGCTGAGGCTCAATCAGGATGGTGCTCTCGTGAGCAGGCTCTTCGCGCTGGGGGCTCCAAGCCAAAAAGTCTCGTCGGACTTCAACGTAGTCGTATGAGAACTCGCCGTGTTGGTCGTCGTCCATACCAAGGAGCTCGGCTTCTTCGGAGGCACGCAGCTTAAGGCCGGGGATGAGATCAATGATTTTGGCAATGATAGCGGACATGACAAAGGCATAGGCAGAACCAGCGACGATAGCAGCGATCTGCCATCCGATGAGAACATAGTGGCCGTCGACAAAGCCACCAATGGCACCGCTATTAACCCCGTCGAGACCGATGATGCTACCGCTGGCGAAAAAGGCGTTGAAAATGAGACCGACCATGCCACCGATGCCGTGCTCAGCGAAAACGTCGAGAGAGTCATCGATTCGAATGAGGAACTTGACTGTTGAATACATGTTAGAGAATGGTCTGGATAATCTCCAATGTTGACTACAAAAGTGAAAACTTACTCTTGGTGCCAAAGTTGCAGCAGACGCCGGCAACGACACCCAAGATGATGCTAGCCCACGGGGTGATGAAACCAGACGCGGGAGTGGCAGCAACCAGGCCCGAGATGGTTCCGGAACACCAACCGACCATGGACCACTTCTTGGCAAGACGGAAATCGAGGAGACACCAAGTCATGGCGGCGAACATGGCCGTGAGGCACGAGTTCCAGCAAGCCATGACGGCTCGGAGGTTGGCACCAAAGGCAGATCCACCGTTGAAGCCCAGCCATCCGAACCACAGAAGAACGGTGCCGAGAGTGATGAGGGAGATGTTGTGGGGCCGGAAGTTCATCATCATCTTCTCGTTCCGGCGGCCCAGGACCCAGGAGTAGGCGAGGGCCGAGACACCGGAGCCGATCTCGACGGGGACACCACCTGCATAGTCGAGGACGCCGTTCTTGAAAGCCCAGCCGTTGGCGTTCCACACCCAGTATGCCAGGGGGCAGTAGACGAGGGTGGCCCAGAAGAAGCAGAAGACCATGCTCGGGACCACCCGGCCGCGCTCGGCAACGGCTCCGACAGTCAGGCAGGCGGTGACGGCGCAGAACATCATCTGATAGAAGGAGTAAAGGAGGGCCGGGATCAGGGGAGAGCCAATCGACGGGGTGGCCAGGACCCTCTGGAGCCCAAAGTGGTTGAGGTTGCCAATGTAGCCATTTTTGGAAGTCGAGCTGAAGGCTAAAGAGTAACCCCAAAAGTACCACTGGAAGACGATGACGCTAAAGGACATCATCGTCACCCAGAGCATGGAGAGGGCGGACTTTCTGCGAGCGAGGCCCGAATAGAGAAAGGAGACGCCGGGTACCATGAGAAGCACCATACAGGCGGCCACCAGGATGAAGGCCTGGTCTCCGGATTGATACCATTGGTTCAGGTTTTCGGTCCCTGGAGCAAAGGCTTGTCAGTCACCCCGTGGTCCATTTTCATCTCGGAACCATGACTTTGCTTATTGGGAGAGATAAGGGGGAATCAGGGTGCTACACGAGGAACGGGGTCAAGTCAAGGCTACTGTCGTTACATACTGGCATCACCCCCGAGGGAACCTGTCCCATTAAACGCGGTCGGGGCCCCAAGATGGGCGTAGGACATGGTGGGCTAAGCGAAATCCGGGGTTTCGTCGAGTAGATGTTGGAGAAGGCCAGCCACGAGGACCAGATAAACGAGCGATAGGACGCGGAGTGAGATGAGACGAGAGAAATCGAGGATAGGTCGGATGCCGGCACAGGGCAGGGCGAGGATCCGGGAGCCTGAGCTACGGCAAAGCGCTGTGATAAGGTTGCAGGAAGTGAGATGCCTCTCGAGGTTCGACCAGAGATAAGACGTGCAGGAGAGGAAGAGAGATGAGAGGAAGGAAAGGGTAGCAGGACCAGATTAGGAGGAAAGACGGAGGAGGAGGAGGAGGCTTAGAGATAACGGACAGGCTTAGATCCGTTGTATATAGCATGCACATCGCCTTCAACACCACTCAGGCAGTCCCCGATTTCGACAGCACGGCGACAAACCGGGAGCAAGGCCGCTGGGGCCATGTCAAGGGCCACCACGCCTCTTCCTTTTTTCCCTCTCATCAGCCCAGCCCTGGGGGGGCCCATGATGGAGCCAATTACCCCAGACAGGGTCGTCCGAGGGCAGAGATAAGACACCAGGGGTGGGCGGTTCTGGCTGCTGTCTCGTTCGAAAGAGCGGTTGTGCCACGGATTGGGGATTCTCTCGGGGAGGCCATGGGGGCGTGGCCACAAGCGAACGGGGGGGTGGTTTGTCTATCTCATCTCACTGTTCGTTATCTCGGGGCGAAAGGGCTGTGGGTGCTGGGGCTAAGGGCTTAGTTCGAAGCGCGGCGCGAATCTGCATTGCTGAGGCATGAAGGCGAAAGGCAACTGGGGTCGATGGATGGCGACGAACGACGCTCGTAGATGGAATGAAATGTTCGAGGTTGATGGACAAGTTTCTTGTCAGTTTGTTTGTTTGTTTCTTCTTGGTCGAGAAATTCTGTTCTGCCTGGATTACTTAATCATCAAAACGATGAGGAAAACAAAGGGCAGGAGCAAGACAATGAAAAAAAATCAATCATTCGGGAAAGCGCAGCGCCACGAACGCGGATTATCGAACCCGGAAGCAACAGCGAAGAAAACAGGATACAAAGTGACATTGGCAATAGATAAGGTGGGCGTGTATAATCCGCGGTACGTACGACAAAAGCCAAGATACGGTCATCGAAATCGCCAGGTACGTATCTTTCCCGCATGTGGGCGGGTGAGATAACGCTAGTCGGCAAGCGCTCTAGCGGCGAGACAACAATAGAACATGCAAGTGCAGCACCCGTTGCCGCGCAGCCCAGGTATCGGCTGAGTATCGGTGAGGCCGCAAACAGGGGAGTTCTTTTTTTTCCCATTCTCTCTTGTCTGGAGCCGGATAAGCAGCAAATCTCCAACCCTGAACTTTTTCGTTGGGTTTTTCTTATTGTTTTTTTTAGTCGTGTGGCTCCCACGCTCGATAGATGGGTGATTGATTGATGAATTGAAAAAGGACGGCCATTCACCCGGGGCTATTATCCAGCAGCCAGAAAAGCAAACGGCTCTGTCTCGCCTCCTTGACAAAAGGCCGTTGTCGGCATCACCAGCCCGAGACGGAAACACAACTCATGTCCTTCCTCGAGACAACGTGAGCCGACAACCCGAACAGATGAGACAGATTTCTTCTGCGCTGATGGAGTCCTGCACTGTACTTGCACAATCACACAAAGTACATGCATTCTGCAGTCAACCAGGGGGGTTCGGTCGCATTGAATCAATGTCCCAGCCCATATCACTAAGGCGCCTCACCCACAAGGAATACTTCCCTGTCCTCTTCAGCTGATGCTGAGAAAGAGGTACGAGTAGGTACCTACAGTACAACTTACCGCCTGCCAATGCCAATGCCGTCACTTCATCATGTAAAGGCTGATAAGCCCACTCTAAAACGGGAGCGAAGCCGGCGAGGTTAGTGCCCTGCAGTGGGGGGAAACCCGCGCCCTTTGCCGGCGTACCTTGCTTACAGTAGCTGACTTGCGTGTGTTTCTTCTGTGCATGGCAAATTACTGTACAACTAAGGTGCTGATAGAGACTTAGTGCCTGGGTACCGAGGGTCTCCGTGATAGATACGATTCGGAACAAAAGGTTTCCTCGTTACGGCATTCTCGTCTGTCAATGGCGCTCCGGCGGCTTCGGGCGACCCGCCGTGGGCATGTATTAGTGCACATGAGTGGCGGCCCAAGTACACGTGAATATCGCTGCTAACAATACACATGGATCTGTCAAAAGCGTGGGCTGGCGACGAGCCGCGGGTTTTCGCCTCTTCTTCTGCAAAAAAAGAAAAAAAAAGTCGCGTGTACTTTGATGTTTCACAATTTCAGCGCGCATTCACGAGTTCTCGATCGGCACGCTGGCTATGGGTTGAAACACACGCAAGGGAGAGAAAGATTACAATAAACCAGTTTTAAAATAATAAAGATGGAAAAAAGAAGAAGACGTTCCACCGATCTTCCGTAAGTAGAGGCAAAACCCCAGAGTTTCCCTCACACAACAAAGTAATACCTCACGTGCACACGCCGCTTCTTCCCCGGTCTCCTCCAGAAAGAAACCCCAAATCTCATCTACAGTCAATAAAACACCCCCGTGATCCCCAAACCCGGGAAAATCTCGTGCCACCTGCACACAAACGCGGGAAGCACAGGCAAGAAAGAAAAAAACAAATTCACGGGATTCGCTAACCCCAGCCCCAAGCCATCCATCCCCCTTCCCTTCCCACCCCCGCCCGCCCTCTTCGTCTTGTCCCCATCGATCCGGTCGACTTTGAAGGAATAGGTCCTCGGTTACCCGTGCATTGGCATGTTTGAACTAAACCCAGTAGCACATGAAAAACATAATCCAGCATCATCCCGGGGGGGGGGCGCAACCAGTACGAGTTACAATACGGACGTGAGCCCAACTTTTCGTTATCAGAGGATTGACCGGCCAATCACAGCCCCGCTTGCTCATTACGTTCGAGAAACCCCGATTTGGCGATTTGCGGAGCCAGCAGCCCGTTGTTGCGTTTATCGGATCATCGTCCCGCTGTGCTGGATGCGTACAAGCACCGACGCTTGGGATCGACTTGTTCGCTGACTTGCTTTTGCTTGCCTGGGCGTCTTTGGCGTATATCTGTGCTCAAAGCATATATGAAAATGTATGTAACTGTAAACATCCGAGTAGTAGCATTCAGACCGTAGAATTTGGTATTAATACTTCAACACGTGATACTCTGAATAGCTGCCAACAAAGACGTCTCCCTCTTTACAAAATTCCCTTTGACTTGCGTGAAATCAGTCATGGTAAATAATACAGCTGCTCTTCCCCTGTTCTCCTTGCAAAAGTGTCGAAAACGACGCTTATACTCTTCTTTCAGCTATTAACCTCTCTCCTAACACTTAACAAACCATGCCAGCGGGAATGAAACCATCTTTCGTTGAACATGAAGTTTTGAATCCAACGACCAGAGTTTGATTTCGATTTTATCAAGACTTGATTCTCTCACGCCCCATCATACATGCAATCTACCATGACTCTTCCCTCCGGCTTCGTGAATTAATCGGCACAGAAAATACTCGACTTATTCTGATTTCCTTACTCACTCGAGGTTAACCCCATTACGAGGATACCCCCTATAAATCGCCAGTTCGGAAAAGAAACTCGCCATTCATCACGACTGCAACCTTACAAGTCAAGAGAAAAGGATGAGCAAAGAGACAAAACCACAAGATTCTACCGTGTAGCCGGCCCCATATATTGTATTCAAGCTTCGATAAAAAGGCTAATGATTCGCTAAATCGTCCATCAAAAGATGCAAAGTCTCCCTGTTTGTTCCCTCCTCGTCACTTCGTACGCAAGGATATCGTGATTTCGATAATGCAGCATGAGTCTATACCGCTTTGGTGCCGTTGCCCGGCTCGTTCTGTCGCCATACATACGGCCGTCATCCTGCACTGGCCCAACCGCTATCCCGTGCAATGGCCGCAACACTGGTCGGCATGCCCCTTCTTCTGATGATCGAGGTAGAATGCATTCTACCCGGAGCCCGTGATGCCACATCCCCGATGTCTTCGACGCAACAGGAGACCTGAGTTTCGTCGGAGTCACACAAAGAACCCGTCCAGTTGGCGATCCTATTACAACGAGAGAGAGTTCGGGGACGTGGAAGATCATGCTCAGGCGGCTGGTTGCGCGGAAATATGGTCTGATACTCCGTTCCTGAAACAAGCTGAACGTGACGGCGTCAGGACACAAAACCCCAATCTCTTTCGAGCTTGCGTCATGCTCTTCCCGAAGACTCCTTAGCTCCAGGTCCTTTTCTAATGCTCGAATAAAATGATATCGCTTGGTAAAACTTTTGAGGCGGTCTTCCCCTGTTGGCGCCTTGTTGTCATTGTACTCGGGCTGCCTCCTTAGAAACTCGAGAAGCTGCGTTGGGTGCCTAGGAATGGCTTGAATCTTCCCGCTGTGTGGAAAAAATGCCATGTCGAGTCGAATAGGTGGTGTATTGAGTCGGTTATGGCTGCGTTGTCTTAAAATCGTGACATCAGAACTCTTTCGCCTTTCATCCACTGACATGACAGTGTCTTGATCCTGAGGTGAATCCTGTGCTTGGGTCAATGCCGGTTCAGGAGTGTCCGGGGAAGAGATGGCTTCTTGGAATTCCTGTACAGCGTAAGCAAGCTGTCCGAGCGCTTCGTCTAGGTCGTGTAGTGCTTGATGGAATGGCAGTCCTGCCGGCGGAGGTGGAAAGAGCACTGCGCTGCCGCCATGGTCTGCGGCAATAATTTCAGGGACCCCCTGAGCGGCGATATCTTGCTGTGCATCTTGCTGGGCATCTCCTCCTCCTCCTTCCTCCTCCTCCTCCTCCTCTTCTTCGGACTCCTGGCCCATCTCGTCGCTATCCTCCTCTTCTAATTCATCTGGCTCGTCGCTGTCATTTTCTGGCTCGTCTGGCTCGGCCTCGCTTTCGTCGCTGTGCTCGTCCGTGGCATCGAGAGCAATGGCATCGCCTACGAGAGATTGTAAAGACTGGTTATGAAACATGTTTAGAACGTTGGGGAAAAACTGACCCGCCCTGAGTCCAAGCATGGGAGGGGGGCATGGGTTGTCCGGAATGGCGGCGAGGCATTCTGCCACATTCACCATCGGCTGCGAGCATCCCGATCCCGGCTGGAAGATGCCGAGCGCCTCCTCGGGTAACCCAAGCATCTCCTCGAGAGTGCTGACCGGCACAAAGGCTTCTTCAGGAAGAGCCAGTACACCCCATCCCCTAGAAGAAAGAAAGCCATCATCAGAGTCTTGCATCAAATAGGTCGTTGCGCTCTCCAAACGCTTGCTTACCGTGATGGCGCTGGCCAGAATTCTTCGCTCTGTAGTATAAGATGTTTAGATGGCGGGATCTGGACTACAGGCTGGAACATCCTCCATATATCTGCTATCCAGACGACCCCGTTGATGTCTATTGCGCATATCCTCTCGGCCTGGCCGTCCTCGCTATCGGTGAAACAGATGTTGGGGATGTTGGAGGCCTTATCCCCGAAAACCACCACAATCCTCCAGTTCCGTGCCCTCCTAGGAATACTCGATTGGGTGTTGCCGCTGCTCTGGCAGCAATCGCAGAATTCTCGTATTCTTCTTGATTTCTTCTGGCATGTGGTGAGGGCAAAAGCAAAAACCGTCACCTCGTAGCGATTCGTGCTCACAGCGATAAGGCGAGACTTGCGATGGATGGCTAGGCCCCAAGCCGTATGGCCGACATTCTCATGAAAAAAGCGTCTCGGCTGACGATTGGCGTGCGTTTTCCCAGCGCTCCTCTTGGTTCTGGAAATCGAATCTGCAATCTCCTTGACATAGTACGCAACCACATCTCCATCATCGTAGCAAGCGACTAGAATCTCTTCTCTCCCGAGATGGCCCGTAATAATGTGATTGATGACATGCCCAGTATCAGTATCGATATAGCCCCCGATAGAAAGGGCCTCTTTACTTGGCTTGGGGTAAATTTGGAGGTCAGGGTGTCGGGGGATCGTTTGCTTCGGAATGCTTCGAGGAGAGTAGGCGAATATGTGACCTTCATATGCGACAAAGTAGAGCTAACCTCAAAAAAATGTCATCAGTCGTTTACATGTAGACAATTTGGTTTCTTCCCCCCTCTGCAACCACGTACATTGTGAACTTGCGATAAGGCCGTCAAATTGTTTCGATAGTTCTGCATGCTTGGGACGAGCCGATATATCGAGTCCCTGGGGTGGAGCCCATCGTCCGCAAGACCCGGAAGGAAATCTTGCGCGGTAAATGGCCAAGCAAATGGCGATTCAAGGCCCTCTAACTCCATCCCCAGCGAAGCCCGCTCTCGATCCCGGATTGCGCCCTTGGCTTCATTCCCAAACTAGTCAGGTCATCCTCCACGTCAGCTCTCTGCATCTGCGCCTTACCATCACAACCCCAAAACGACTCACCCTATCCGTCGCCGTTTGTATATAGCATCTTCCTACCGAGAGGGCGCGAGGGCTAGGGGTCGGCGGTTTCTTCGATGGGCGATCCATGGCCGTCGAGTGGAGGGGAGCCTCGCCACTGCGGGCAGACTGCGCGATCTCGGGACATGTAAATCAAGCAACAGCAGTAGATGTAGAAGAGCCGAATGGTGGGGGGGGGAGTTTAGTCGTGAGCGATTAGAGAGGATGGATTATTTGATGGCCGGCAACTATATGGGAGGCGAGAATTGCACCCTGGTGGAGAGACAATTTGAAGCTTCCGAGAACCAGAGCGATTGCAGTTGATGGCAGCGGCGACCCCACAATTTAGCGCCTGAGATTAGCAAGGTGCTTTTATCGATAAAGCACGCAAGCACGTCAGGTCACTTGCAGCTATGACTAAGGATTTGATGGAATTACGGAATAGCATCAAAGTAGAAAGCAATAGACAATAACATCTCGTTCAGTTTCATTCATTCTCTCAACATAACATAGCAGCGTACAGGATCGTAAGGCAATCCGTGATGATGCACGTCGCCGTGAAAAATAATTCCAATACCTCGGTGGTCAAATACCCATCCAAACGCCTCCAAAGCGCCAAGTGCATGTGCTCATCAAACTGGGTATGTAACCAAATAACGCCAACCCATGATAAATCCATCAACAAACGATAGCTCAAGCCGGCAAATATATCCTTTGCATACCCGTAAAAAATAAAAAAGAATATAAAAAAAAGGGTTCACCCCAATTCCAGTTCATTGCCTCATCAGCTCCTGCAAATCCTTCATGCGATAGTCAAGCACCGGGGTGATCCAGTCATCGTGCACCAGCGAATATGACTCCTTCTCGTTGTTCTCGGGCTTGCGCGGGTTCAGAGCCCAGTATCCGAAATCCCCATCAATGGACTTTAGATACTTGAGCAAATGTCTAAAGTAGCGCGCATCGCCAACGGTAGGATCGTTTGGCGCTCCCAGCTCTCCAAACCAGACTGGCGCAATGTCCAAGTCGAGCAGATACGCCCAGTTTTGACGCATCGTCTTGACGAACGACTTGTAGTTGCGCTGGGCAAATCGACCTTGCCAGCTTCCCCAGCCAGACCACTTGTAGCCATGGACAGAGTATACGAGCCGGTTCTCGACGTCCAGACGGACCGGCCGGTCGAGAGCGCCCGAAACATCGTTGGCCGACTCGGTGCCTTCGACAATGATGAGCCAGTCGGACTTTAACTTGAGCAGGCGATTGCCGCATTTCTCCGCGGCGGCTGCCCACTTGGACCAGGGCATGGTTCCCCAGAGGCCACGGACCTCGTTGCGGAGATCGGCCCCAATGACCAGCGGATTGTGCACGAACCGCTCCATGACCGACTCCCAATGCTGAATCCATTCCTCCTCTGTCTGCTTGACGCGGCACAGAGGTCCTAGGTGGTCGTTGGCCCAGCCAGCATCGCAGGGGTCTGCTCCACAGCACCAAGTTGCGCTAGTGATGTGGTTGTTGATGATGACAGCAAGTCCAGCGTCCGTCAGGGCCGTCGTCACGGCTTCGAACACGTCCATGGCGCGAAGGCCCTCGAGGTCCGGGTTGGCAAGCACCAGCCGCGGCTCAAGAACCGGGTTCTTGACGACAAGCTCGTCCGAGTAGGGGAGCCTCACGCTGTTGAAGCCCATCTTCTTGATGGTCTCGGCAATGACGCTTCGGTGCTGGATATCCAATCCGCCCGGGACGAACAGCTCATCACTGGCGCCGTACCAGTTGATGGAAGAAAGCTTGAACCGATGGCCCTGCTCGTCGACAATGTTCCGTCCCTGCGTCCTCAACGGCAGCTTGTAGCTCGATATCCATGCCCTCTCCAGGGGGGCGGGCAGGGGCTTCCGGCTGAAGAGAAGCGACTCTCGATCGGGCCGCCACTTGGCATTGAGATCCTGCTCCCGGGTCCACAAGACGGTCAGGTAAAAGACAGCCGGAATCAGCAGCATCAGCATGGCCATTGTGAATCTCGATCGCAGCCGGTACGACCCAAGCCAGAGCTTGCGAGGCGATGCCCTCCGCTTGTTCGCCCACGCCCGGCTCACATTTGACTCGGCCGGAGCGTACGAGTACAGAGGCAGGCTCTCGTCAGAGCTGGAAGCGTCCTCATGGCCATCGCTGGCTTGGCTCCAGTGAACATGGCGCTCGGGCTTGTCGGGCTGAGAGCCGTTGCCATCGTCAATATCGCTGCTGACTAAGGCAGCCGGAGCCCGCCTGTCCGCCATTTGAAGCTTGTGGTGCAGAGGATGGGTTGATTGATTTCAAAGGCGCTTACACAGCACAGCGACGTGACTGAAAACAAAAGGTAGCAGAGAGCTCCGAGGATCCCGTAGAGCGAGGCAGAAGTGTTGTAGCAGTCGACCAACAATGATTCGCCCTTTGTATCGCTCGAGATGTACGTCTCTGATCAAGTATCTTTTGATCCTTTTTTTTTTATCTCGTGCCGAACTATTCAAGCATAGATAGTAGATGTCGCGTGCTCATGTCCGTACCCAAAAGGCCGTCGGAATCGTCGGGCAGGGCTCGCCTTATCCCAATCAAGTGAACGTCGAAAATCAACAAAGGCCACTCCGGGAGGAATAAAAAAAAAGCGCGATCCCGTTGGCTATACAAAAGCGAGAGAATCAGGATCCGGCCAGTAACACAGCCCGCAACGAGGGAGCAAGGCAAAGAGTTCAGGTTTGTCTGTCGTCCAGGCACCGACAGGAAAGAAAATCACCACCTTAGTCGCAGCCTTTATAAACAAAGCAAACGGCAGAGTTAATTCCGTTCCTGTCACGCATCTGGCCAATCGCACCTGCGGCCAAGGCCAAGGGCCGCTCCGGAGAACCCGGACGAGTTTTAGCCATGACCTCACCGTGAACAGAAGCAGCTCCAACGTCGAAGCGCATCTTCGGCACTCTCGCCTGTCCGATGAGAGCAAAGTCGTCCCACCTCGGCAGGTACTTGCAAACACACCGCAATCTTGCCGCGGATACGCGTATCCATGGTCGAAGGAGTACATGCATTCATGCGCCCTGGTTCGATGATCGCCCGGCGCGCCAATGGGCGAGACGCCCGCATTGTCTGTAAGCGGAAAGACAAAAAAACACGACCAGACCACATGGACATTGGACAAAAACAGCATCAATCACAACAACGATAGCAGACGATGTTTTCATAGGTAAGTAAAAGCAGATTTGAACTCTTGAATTACTTATTCCAGAACACTCTTAATCAAGTATCCAGGCTCTTTTGCTCGGTATACATACAAGGTATATACATAAAATACGCTGCGTAGCCACCATGTGCTTCGTGCCAGGCCACCGAATCTGCCGGTAACGGGTACCTAAGCTGCAAGCCTAACCCACAGGCACTAAGCGGTACTAGCACACTTTTTTTTCTTCTTCTCCTCAGCTCCTGCACACATCCGATCCGCCGCTTCCGGATGCGCCTTTAGTTCCCGCGTTCCGCATGCCATCATCTCAACTCTTCTCCTGAGCTATTCGTGATACTTTACATAACAGGTTGTTACCACAAGATGCTGCCAAAGATATTCAACAGGCGCACGTGCAGATCCCCCGGGGATTTTTGCTCCAGCCTCTAGCCATTAAGAGGGGGCTGTCTCGAAGATGTCAGGGCTGGATTCTCCAATCAAGATGAGAGATCCGGCCTCTTTCATCGTGAGCGTCCGCCCCCTTGTTTTTCTAAGGAGTGTATAAGAAAAGAAGGAGAAAGAGAAAAAAAGGAAATAAGGTCCAATATATACAAACAAATGATATGACCGTGGCGCCACGCTGTCCTGTGTCTGAGAGAGGGGTGCCATTCGACTGCAAGTAGAGACCTTTGTGTCTCTACATGGTCAATGGCTGAGGGATAGATAGAATTATAGTAGAAAGAGTGTAAATGAGCGTCATCGACGCAACATCATGTCGCACCGTGAGATGCCGGACATGTGGCGTCACCTCCAGGGTATTGTTCTTGATTCCATGGCTAGCCGTGGAGCGGGTATCTAAGCAAATGCTTCAAGTCGGTTCGTTTGGCTGTGGGAGAAAGGTTGCGCTCCCCTCCCCTTTCCTCCCCCCCTTTTTCCTGACATACCGTCTTCTATTTGTTTTCGTTTCTGCGTCGTGCGAGCGGGTCGCTTCTTGCTGCTTCTGCTTCTTTCTTCTCGAGCCGACGCTCGGCGACTTATATGCGGTTCATCGCCAGCGGGTTCATATCGCGGCCTTGCGGGGCGGCATAGGTTTGCTGCGCATTCCATTCAGGCCGGGAGCCCTGTGGCGGCCGGGGGTTCGAGTAGGATCGCGCCGGTGCGTTGTATCTGGCCGTTTCGCCAAAGTAATCGGGGGCTTGAGTGCCCGCTGCGGATTTCACTGGATCAAGTGGTGTTACCACGGCGCTCGTATCTCTGGAGAGCATCTCGTACGAACGTGTATCTTTCTGATTATCATATCGGGCATCCACCGATACGAATTCCTTCTTTCTGTTATTGAAAGGAGACTTTACCAAATCAACCCAGCCGGTAAACATGGTCCATCGACCAAGGAGGAACAGGATCCAGATGCCGTTCAGCTAATGCGCCAGCCAGGTCAGTAACTTACAGAGTTGGGCGGCCAGGAGAGGGACTTTGTACTTACAGAAAGCAGGACAAGCACGGCAGATACTGTCGCTTCGCTGACGACTAGGGAGCCGGCATCGTTGAGACACTTTGTCTTGTCGCCCTGCGCTCCGATGAGGCAGACGATCCACTTCTGAGCCACCTTGGGGTCGTCGGCGATGGATTGAACAATGTTATCCTGGAAGACGAAGACGACGGAGAAGAAGATGACATCGGCAATGATGATGAGGACAATGGCAATGCCTCGCCATTGAAGAGCAATAACTCGGCGGACTCGGCGGTAAGCCTGTCGTGGGGACATGGTGATTACACTGTTTGAGTAAGTCGGGAGGCTGGATCCTTCGGTCGACGCGGCGTTGTCGTTCAAAGAGGCGAGATAGACCTTGATGCAGTAGCCAAAGGTGGTGAATGTCGTCACGACGGTGATGCTGGCAAAGATGAGAAGCGGAATCCAAAGATCTGCCAAGCTATTCTTGTGGTTGATGTGACACGTTGCGCCGAACCGGAAGGAAACTCCGCTGAAAACCAGAGCGAGGATGATACCGATGGCAGGGATGCCCCATCCGGCAGCTTGGGCGAAAATCATAAAGTTGCGGCCCACGAGAACCTGCCAGCAGATCTGAAGGTGAAGGGAGAGGGAACGAAGGAACGCCCACATCACGGCGCACCAGCCTCCTAGGATCAGCATGGCACCCGACGCTCCACAAACGCTCAAAGTGTGCATGTCGTTTGGAGTGATGGCATCAAAGCACTGATCCGGCTCGGCCGCTAGCGGAATGACGAATCCCAACTGGAATCAGCGGTTAGCGACCAAGGCTCCCTTTGTGAAAACAACCGTCGCTCCACCTACATTCATGATCAAGACACCAAGGGTAAAGCAGATGCTCAAGTAGTGACGGTTCGTCTTTTCCACCGGCAGCGTTGCCCATGATACCAACAGGAACACGCAGCAGATGACACTGACGGTTGCGATCCAGTTGGCCACGGTGCCGATTGTACTGAAGCTGTCTGGGTAAACCCAATCTGTCATGGGACAGGGTAAGCAGCATTCAATAGTGCCCGAAATCTTCTGGCACAATCGGCCACTGACATCTACACCTCGAGTCAACAGATCGATCCAACACCAGTCTCTGGGCGTTGATTTTCACTTACACCCTCCACTACCAAAAAGCGTCGAATCGATGAATGGAGCAGGGCAAAGGTTGATTCCTGTAACGTTGGCCATGATGGAAGATCGTGTCCGGCAACGGTGGCCTTGAACCAGGTCGATGAGGGGTCGTTCGGTTTAAGCTGTGCCCCTTAAGGGGATTTCGTTGTTGATCGCCTTCCCAAGATGCACTTTAAGGCGTAGCGGTTATGGGTAAACAGGTTGTCGTCGAGGTACAAAATCAAGGAGAGGGGCGTCAATGAAAGAATGCGATACTATGAGTGAGTATCGAGATGGCTTCGCGCACGGTCGAACAGATGCGTAGTCATATGACCCAATCGATCAGATCATTCGAAACACTTAAAGGGTGGCGTAGGACAGTCGATTGATGCGATGAATCCTCTGACCAGTCGGCGGGCGTGTGTTGATAAATAGTAGAGCCGTCGTGATAGTATCACAGCATAGCGCGTGTCGAAAGGAAGTTATATAATGATGTTACTCAGAATGAGTATAAGAGAGCGGTATTATCCAAGGGATAAAAAAAGAAGAACAAACAGATAGGAATACAGAATGCCCAGACCCAGACGTCAACAGAGACGACGGCATTCAGGCATGAATGCGAGGGCATGCGGGTCATAAAGTACTACTCGTACTTTGGCTGAAGAGTCAGATGGACTTCGCAGAGCAGCTGCCAGGCAAGGAAACTAGTCTCGAATACAACGTTCAAGTCGACCAAGAGGCGGGCAGACCCCTGTACGTGCAGAGTACCGGGGTCTCTCATGTTCCTGGTAGGGTCGTGAGTTTTATGGAGCTGCATGGGCTCCGAAAGCTGGACAGGGGTAGCACTTGTCGTCCGCACCGGAGCTTTGTCTTCTGAGAGGTCGCGAGTACATACTGTACTCCGGCCAACTGGACCACACAACCCTTGTGAGAGAGGGTACCTCCATAAGGTGATGAGATGCCACAGGGGGCAAAGCAAGGCTTGTTTGGATTGCTGGGACCCAACCCAAGGAGAGGCCCCAATGGGGCTCTCTCCACTCGTCTCTGGGCTGTTTCTTTGGCGAGATGCATTGGGGTCTCAAGGATCTCGCGGGCAAGTAGACTGCGGCTTGGAGCAGCTGTCCTTCACGATTGGAGGACTTGGCCGGGGGTCATCTTGGTTACGGCTTTCTAGTCACAATTATTTAGTGGCAATTAGTGGCAGTGTTGGTCAACTATCGGTAGGAGAGGTACTTGGCAGGGGTGTGTGAATTTGTCGACAAGAGGCGAACCAAGTTGCGCGCAGGCGCTTGGCGATTCCCAACGGCGGTCGCGCAATCTTCGAGAGCCCAGCCAGTAACGTGTACATACGAGTATACATTCGGCTGCTGCTGGTGCCGAGAGAGTGTGTGTTACCAGTATGGCAAATCAGCAAGCAGTGCCCGTGCTTGTGTTCTGTCAACCCATGCCTGCCCTTGGACGGTTCGAGCTGAATCCGCGCAGCAGTGAAGCCCCAAAATCGACAATCGTAACAGAGATGTGACCCCTGAGGGACGTTCCTGGCTTGTCCAAGTAGGCTCGTGGCGGTGGGGGCGTTCCCGGGCGAAAAGCTTGAGGTCGCCGGCGGCTTTCGTACGAGTCTCAGTAGTGGCATCTGTACAGTACGTACTGTATGTACGAGTATGGAGTGCTTGCATGCGACGCTGCTGGGTCAAACACTTGGGGGGGGCTTCCGGGCTGTCGTCCAGGGGCTTTTTTCCTCGCTCGATCCCACACAGTACCCTCCGTCCAGAGGGCGAGCGGGGAGAGAAGCGTTGAACTCCACCTCGGCAGCCTTCTGATTCAGAACGGTTGAGGGCGAAGAAAGATCCAGGGTCAAGGGTACCAGGCGAACAATGTGGGTGGGGGTGAGAGAGCCAAAGGCACGGCACAGCTCCCAGAATAGGCTATTAGGCCCGTGCTGAAGAAGACGATCTCATCTAGCTGCTTCTGGGCGATGTAGGGGATTTGGGATAGCTGGCCGCTGTCACAGACACGATTACGTCCTGTGGCGCTCGACTAACAGCTTACGGCACAAAGCTGGCACTAACAGTGAGAGTAATTTGAGCTCGCGCAAGAGTCCCTTCTCCATCGTGGAATGCCTGTTCCAAAGTCAGTTAGGTTTGGAGAGTGATGTGCATTTCTGTCGAGCTTCTTATGCATGTGTGAAGAGCTTTCCCCTCCTGGGCGTCCGTTAGTCGGCCAACCAACAGTCACTTACACCAGAGCATCCAAGAATGACTATCGAGGGGATTTGTCTTAGAGGAGCTACCCGAGAGAGAGAGATGATGAGAATCTTTCGGCCTGTTGACATGCCCCAACTGTGTATAGCACTTGGTCCCAGGGATATTGGTACTTGCTAGGCGTGGCTACAAAGTCCAGCTAGTGTCTGACTGACTCTTCTTCCGTAGTGAGAAACGCAGTTGGTGTTCATTCACACACTTGAGGTAGACGGATTCTAAAACACAACCTGAGTATATATTATCAAGAGGTTGCCTCACAGTGCACTCACAGGGAAGCCGGAGTAAGACCTAATTAGGCGAACCGTAACGTCGTACAGCGGGCGGCACCCACCGAAACCATGCGTCGTACATCGTAAGGTGCATCATTGGGTGGCACTCCAGTCTGTTGCCTCGATAGGTTGTGCCATAGTTGTCATCTGGAATTAGGGAAATGGTTGAAAAGGCCAACTGTAACGCCTCTGTTCATACCGTCAGCAACCAGCTCTCAAAAGACGAATCTAAGATTCTCACAATGTCTGCGCCGATACAGTGTACGGTACACACTACCTACGCTACCGACACGCTTATGCGTCCCCGAACCGAGAACGCACAGCCAAATCAGGAGTTCGTACCGACGGCACAGGATGTAAGCAGGCCATCTCATCGGTTATCACGTCTGGTCAAGTTTCTGCTTGGCAAAGAGCCACATTGCTCAATAGCACAATCTGAATTAATATGGCCAATGCATATACGAAAGGCTTCGCGGTCTAGATTCTTCGATCCTCGTGCGCCATTGGCCATTTGCTCAGCTTCGTCGCAAGACAAAAACCAGACCCAGTGTGACGAGCTCCTCCAGGGCGCACAATGCCTCCGTCTTCCCATGGTAGCGGGGGCGTGCAACTGAGCCGGCTTCTTCCCGCCCCTACATATATTAGGGCTGAGGGAGATACACCAAGCGCACATGGAAACCGCATGGTGCTGACAGGTACATTCTTCCCGCGCCGGGCCACGCAAGCGGTAGAGTATAAGCTTCAACGACAGCCGCACCATCGAGCACAAGTATGCTGTGAAGCCATCGCGAATGCCGGTGGATTGTGCCATGGCGAATGGATGGCGCCTTGCTTTGCCCCAGGGGGCCAATGAAGGGCTCTCAAAGTCATGAATCACATTGGCAATGACCGTTGGATGCTGCTGGAGACTGTTGAGAAGCACGCGAGGCCGAGATGCTGGTCCATGGCGGTTGGTCCGCTCCCCACCCAGCAGCATATGCATGCATGTGTGAGCCTGTGCAGGATGCCCGGAGTCTGGCGTCTTGTAAAATCCCGTAAATGGAGTGGGCCAGGCACACGATGCGATTTGTCGCCGCCAAGGCCAAGGGTGGTGACTGTTCCCTGAGGTTATCGACTCTTGTGCTGGCCTAGAGTTAATCTCACCTGAACAGACCGCAGGCAACCAGTCAGCAGCGAGAAGAGGCGAAATAGGAGGAACACGAAGCGCCCAATCGAATCGAATCGAATCGAGTCTAATTTGCCCAGTGATGGATCAAGAGCACATACGAACATACGAAGAACAGGCGAAAGTCCTAGGGCTAGGTTGTGAATGTGAATGGCGAATTTGGCGACCAGCAGCGCCAATCTCCGCCTATGGGAGGCACAGAAGCAGTTCCTGCCCTCTGACTGGCTGTTAAGCCGCCCTGGTTCCTTCCACCCAAACCCATGCATTGGGGAGGGGTACGGATAGGCAGAAGAAGAAGAAGAAAAAAACCTGAACCTGGCATCGTCATTTGCATCAAAATACGCCCCAAAGCAGAATCCGGCCTCAATGCACGAGCAATTGGGAGAATCCATCTGCCTGGCTCTCACCCCCGACTCCCAAGCGAACACTGTGTTTTCTCTGTCGCCTGCCCGACCCCGGTCTCTGTCCCGTGTCCTCCAAAGGACCATGCAGATGAGCCCAGCGCAAACGAATAGGCTTCCAGCATCGCTTTTCAGCCTATAAACAAGGACGGGGCCCTTCCAACAACTAAGCTTTCTTAGTTGCTTAGCCGGTTGCAAGGATGCATTCTTTATCGTCTCTCTGCAGTTTATATTGCAGCTCTTGGAACAGCGCGAGTGCACTGTACGAGTACTCGTACAAGCCAGGAGGTCTGCAAAGGCGACGATTGCAATCCCAAATATCCCTGCACATAGCGGGGATGCAGCGCCCCAATCGCGGGGAGAACAGCCCACCGCATTCCACTCAAGTACGGAGTACTCAGAATACAGTAGGTCTCAATCATCAACGTTTATGCTACTACCTGCTATAACAAGCACAGACAGTATGCTCAGGTTACATTTCGGTATATACATGCTGACCTGTCGGCACAGCTATATCCCCGAATTTATGCTTGCATTTACCGCTTTCTGTAAAGACGACCTGGTCATGAGTTACATACAAAGCCGGGTTGCAGGGTCTACCTAGTAGGTCTTGCGATCAACAACTGAAGATGCATCTGTGTTGATCTGTGTCATAGCTTTCCACAGCTGTGGAGATCAAGGACAGGCCACCTCGAGGCAACTAATAACGACTTGCCTCACTTGCAGGCTTGCAGACGGGCTATTGACGCCATTGACGACATCAGATATAACTAAAAGCGAGCGAACAATTCCCAAAGAGCCATACCCCAAGGAAAATGCGGAGGTAGATGCATATCTAGGCGAAAGGCACATGCCGCCCCCAAATAATTTCAGTCAGAACCTCGGCATGTTGAGCTCTTCGAAGTGCCCGCTCTCTACATGAGATTTCTTACAGAGACAAAGGTACGCGTACTGCGGTTGTTGAGGCAATCGATGAGAGCCGATCTCGAGGCCATCTTTGGACTCCAAATCAGTAGTCCGGGTGCGCAGGTAGTCACCCGCGGCCCGGGGCTGCAAAGTTGGCGGAGAGCAAATTGTGCACCGCTCTCTGAGCTCCATGAGCACAGTCATCGTGAACCTCGCTTAGAGCATCTCATCTCCCGCGACGGCCCTACGAGAATGTCGGTCATCATGTGCTTTCCTCTAGCGGCAATACAATTATCAGATGAGGTCGTATCAATCGAGTCTCCTCGGAACAAGCTTTACACTACGTAGAGACCAAGATCTTCACCAACCTTCAAAGGAAATACTACTAGTAACAGGCGGGCGCCGTCAGGTGGTCATGCATCTGATCAAGCCACTATCTAACAACCCCGCGATTTGGCATTCAGGGACGATGCAACATGCTAATCTCTAAGCGCTACTCACGATGAAATACTCTGATAAGTATATCTCCTGCGGCTTTGCTGAAGTGATGCACTCTTTCGATACTATCGTCTTTCGGATCTGCTTCAGCTATAAGTCCCAAGGTTTAACAGTAACTCCTGGCCACCCGGAGCCAAATCGATCACGGTCACAGAACAGATTTCCACGTTGCGTACCACTTGGTCACCTACTTTTAACTCATCGACTCAGAAGTCAAGTTTTAATGCGGCCAACGGGCCGTCGATCTCAACGTGGTCCTTTGTTTAGCTTCTGACGTGATTCGTCAAGTTTCAACGCCAAATCTCTAGTCTCAGGCTACTTGGCTACTAACGTGTATTTGCGCTACGGGTTCCAGATTGTCGGCGACCAACAGACAAAATACGACGCAAGTACAGTACGAGTACACACTTGATGCAATGGAGAGGACACCGTAACAGATAATGGATCACGGCATCGGGCTTTAGACGATGATCAACCCCAGTTTGATGGACACTGGGGGAGTAATTTACATTCCCTTACAAAGAGACGATCTTTCCCAGCCGTCCACCGACCGCGCTGCCAAGCCCCTGATGGAATGCCCGTCGGAATTGCCAGGGGAGTTGTCTCAGTAGGAGTTCCATCTGGTTGCCCGACACTACGGAGTTGGCTGCGTCCGTGTACGAGTACTGCTGGTGATGGACGGTCAGCGCACCTTATCGAATCTCCGACGACACCGGCAGTCCTCCTGAGTCCATATGGGGAAAAAATTGGGGGTTCTTGAAGCTGGTGCGGGCACCAGAATTAGTCCTTCCATCAAGTCATTTCGATACGGCCGCAGACACAAAGAGGATTTGTATGAATACGATAGAGATGCCTTTGATCCGGACCGATGGTAAATTGGCATCCATGGGAACCCTGACTCACAAGAAACCGAGAACCTTGCCTTTCACATGGCGGCACAGCTCCATCCACCCTCGATGCAACACCGGCTAAAAGAATTTGGCAATTCATGGGCTTGTCCTTGGCAACTGACGATCGATCTCTCTCTTTCTCTTTCCGTATCTCGTCGTATCTTTTTGCCCAAACAGTCAATTACGACCCCAGAGACGTTGCATACATACATCTCTACCTTATCAACCTACGTTCTTCTAGCAGGTCGGCGAGGAATGCATGGCCGAAATGCTACCTCTATTCGCTTACATACGTATAAGCTCGCTTCGGTGATTGCGCCTCTTTCCATACTGTGACTGGCGGTGTGGACTGCAAATGGGCCCGATTACATTGCTGTACGGAGCACTGAATGTTCAAACCATTTCGCTGCACATATGCTAGCACAACGTCACGTACCAAACTTGTTTGGCACTATTTTCTGTATAAAAGTGGAAGTCTGGGCGACCTCAACTTTCGCGGGCTATCAAAGCAGTGATTTTCAACATAGGAGGTGTACTTTGCGCCTACAAGCCAAGTCGGTTACCAAAGATGCGGGTCGTGGTTGAATACTACCAAGGCTGTCTGGACAAATCGGGCAATGTCGTTTCGATGCAGAGACTCGGTTATATTGCCGTCTTTGAAGATCTGAAACCAACGAACGTTTCCGGCCTTTCTCTCGGCCGGAATACACTTCTGAATTTCACAGGTGTAGGCCAACAAGCCTGACTAATAACGTGACAGCTGCTATTACAAGCACTTTATCACAGTAGCACAACAACCTGACACAATGTGAGAATCGAATTCTTCCCATTCAGCAACAGAATTCCCAGTGGATGGAGAAGAATGTCTGTGCTGCTCGGAACTTCTCACCCCGGCTGTCCGGAAGTTAGCGCAGTCTCGGCAGCCAGATACTTGTTCAACTCTGAAGGCTGACCTTGCATGGGTCCCGTCGTGGACCCAAAAGCCAAGGCAAGATAGCGTGAGCATTCTGTCCATCGTATGGGACATGTGCTGCGTACTCAAGGGTAGAGAATGGGGCCGGAGCCGAAGCCAAGGTGCACCATCGCCAACTAATCTTGAAATCAATACGGAATACGGAGGATAAATCTGCTTCCCCATTGCCGGGAGAGCTGGGAGGTAAATTTGATATCCGTGCGCCCTACGGAGTACTGTACTCCCTCGGCGGCAATTAGCTAAGATGAATTGCGAAAGTCGACCATACGATGACACTACTGTGGCTGTAAAAGCTGGATTGGACCATTGGGCTCGATATGTTCAAAAAGGGAAATCTGGTGAAACGATGGTCCGCTGTCAAAGTAGGTAAATGATATTTGACAGCAGGCGAAACAACCCCAAAGGGACCTGGCCATGGGGACCTTGCCAAGTACACATCGTACGAAGTTCACAAACTATCAGCTGGCCATGGCATCATAATTTTGAATGCACTGTTCCAGACACGGTGTCTCAGCTCACAGCTTGTTTCAATAGCGACTCTTCTAACATTTGGCGACTGAGATAGCTATATGTGACACAGGCAAATTTTTGAGGAGAACGCGAGCCGCAAGCATCTACCAGCTATGAGACGACTGCCAGACCAACCTCTACAACTATGGAGCCGGATGCCACCAGTATCAGCCGTAGTGGTGCGGATATAGCCTACCTGCTCTATGAGTCGGTACTTTGTACAGAGTGCAGCTACTGGGGAACGAGCAGGTATCTGCTCCCATTATCCCCTGCTCGTATGAGTACGCTTTCCCTTGCAAGGCTTTGGTCTTGAAATGGCATCTTTACAGTACAGGCACGGTACATGTGAATTCCCCAGCTTGTCGGCAAGGCTATGTAGCAAAGCTTCAGAATATCCGACGCACATGCACATACCGGCACCCTGGTTAGGGAAAGAACCCGCGCGGAAAGGCTTATTATAACCTGCGCGGCTAATGCGAAAGAATGAAGCATCATATGGCGATGAACAGCGCCAAACGACGCGACGAGTCATGCATATCGGGACGGTACGGCCGAGAAGCGCACATGGGGGGTTCCTTTGTGTAGCTCCTCTATCCACCAAAGGTGCAGGTAACAAGGCTGAGCATGTTCTTCGTCAAAGGGGGACCCAAGAGAGGTTTCCCTTGACGCAATTTGAAATGCTCACCCGCAAGCGACGGCCACATGAGACGTGCGCCAGCGGCCGGAATATATCCGTAGGCATTTGCGGGCTGTTGGATGAGCTAGACGTGGTGCTAACGAATTTCATCTCCTACTCGGGCTCAATCTTGCGGGAGGCGTTTCTTGGTCCGTCCCCTGTTAGCGGCTGCTTTTATCCTATTTCGGCCCTTGACGATGTTTCTCGAACACCGTATAGACGCGGGCTTGGTTTCTCGCTTGGTTGAGATTTGCACCGATGTCACCACGGTCGATAAGCTGAGGAGATGGGGGTTTGGAACGCTCATCCAGCTGAGATTCCCCGACGAGTACGCAGAGTCGTGCCCGCAGGACGCATTCTCCTCCATCATATGCTCACGGGCCATGGATTCGAGATTCGGCCCTACACTCTGACGATTGGCCAGCCATACGGAAGAAAATACCCAATGAGTGAGCAGTGAGAGCTCCACAAATGCAGGTACAGAGCGCAAAATATGTACTCGTACAGATGCGTGCGAAGTGCCGTGACGTGTGATGCGAGTAAGATGGCCCGCTTCCAGAGCGCGGAGCTACAGATGGGTCTTTGTTCGTGCAAATGTGAGGCATTGCGGAGTGTCTATGGAGAATACTTGCGTAAGAATACGGAGATGGAGTACAGTATAGAAAGAACAAGACGGCATGATGTGGATAACAGGAGCTGATTCGAAGCAGCGCCGTTTTACAAGCTTTCCACCGATGGCACATATGGATGTCACCTGCTTCGATTTAAGCGAGAAGCGTCTTCCGGAATCAACCAAACAGAACGGCCGAGCATCGTTTGGAAGATCTGCAACGGTGGGAATAAGACCGGCTCGCCCCATGTGGCTCTATGGAGTCTCCATCTGCTCGTACGTGTACCTGTATTCCCAAGGTCACCAACGACGGCGTTGATATGACCATACGAGCTGGGCATCAAGGTGGCATATAAATTGCTGGCAAGAACTATTCAAGGCCTTGTCTCCGGGCCCCATTGCATGTACATGAAACAGCAGCAAGGCTTCAGCCAGGGGGTATCGCGAGGAAAACGAGCCCAGCACAAATTTCATCCAACATCTCAGGATCAAGCTGTGTGCGCACGGCGCCGGAACCCGATGCTTGTTCTTCGGCAGCATGGCCGACTTGGTCCTAGTTCTCTCTCCTGATGCTGCGGCGGAGAAAAAAAAAAAGCAGCGCGGCGTGGCGCTCTCTTGTGGCGTCGTGATCCTTGAAGAAGAGGATGCCCACTCAATGGCAAGCAAGAAGCGGCCCATAACGCCGATGGCACCCAGCGTTTGCGTCCTTTCGGGTGGAAATGGGTTTATGCCGATCGTGGAGCTTCCGGGATGGCGGTTGCTTGAGAAGCTTCCATGGCACCTTTTTTTAGGCTTCTGTGCCGTGTCCAAAGTGGTTCTGGCAGGTTAACCTGAAATTACTAGATGCTAGCCTTGGGGGCAAACAACGCTGGTGCGGCGTGGCGTCGACAGGGGGGAGGAGGAAGAATTACTTTAGGGACGCCGGCTAGAATACGGACGGGGGGGGGATGCGATGGCGATATCCCGCAGTTCAAGGGAACACCGAAGTGGCGCTTTTCTAGAAGGCTTCTAGTCCAACGGGCATGAAGGAGTGCAATGTGAGTTGAAATGAGGTTAATCACGCCGCGGATGCGAGGGCCGGCTGCTACGGGTGTTGGGGGTGTGTGTGGTTCGATAGCAGCGTTGCATTTGCGGCTCAGCAGCTGCAGCGACTTCTCGAATCGACACATTCGTCCGGGCTGCTGTTGGGTCGTTGGATTTGGGGTGGCCAACATCGCCAACCAGCGTACGTACGAGTGCAGATATACACGAGTCAAGCATACTCACACAGGATGCCCAGACTTACCTACCTGGCACGTCACTTGAACAAAGGAAATATGGGATATCGTCGGTAGTATTGATTATCAAGCACCGACTCCTTCCTCTCGACACATGTCCGTCCAACAGCATACATTGTATGCTTGTTTGCCTCCATCATAATGTCACCGTACGTTATATGTTGAAGAAAACGGGGTGGGTTTCCCCTTCTCACTGAATTGCGCCAAGCACTTCGGACGAATTCACGCTCAGCTGCACGCAGGCCGCGTCAGCAAGGACAACGGCGATGGGCTTCTCCAGAGCAATCTTGATCGGCCAGCCTTTTCTGTTTGTAAATCCGGTGTGATTTGAGTGCAAGTAGCTGGCAAGGTTGTTGGCCAGAGTGCTGGCCAACGCTTCGAGCGTCTCGAATGACGACTGGCTCATGACCTGTTGACTGCTCAGTATCTAGGACGGACTGCCCGTATTCGGCTTTCGGAAGGCTACGCGTGGCATGGCATGGGAGTTTTCGAACTTACCTTGACTGTCTCTCCTTCTATCATTGTGAATATGTCCTTGTCGATGTCAAACTTGTCGATTTCGATAGTAGCAACAACGACCTGTTTGGCCTGCCTCTCGTTGTCGTTGACGCCGATGAGAGTCGGAACCCTCAGGTCGTGGATCTTGAGGCTCAAGCCCCTTGGTTGAGGTCTTGACTCGCCATCGCGTCCAAAGAGGGCTATTCTGGTGAGACTCACGCCGCCTCCCAGCAGCGAGGCCTTGGGCAGGTGCACGGTGAGCTCGAGACATCGAATCGTCGATGGCTTCAGGAACGAGGTCTGGGCCTCTGAATCCTCATCCGTTACCTTGGCCCTTCCGTTGCAGTCCTGACCGGTGAGATCCTCCCAGATGGTGTTGACGATGTCCCGTAAACTTGAAAACTGATTCTTCTTAGCTGTGTCGCCTGATCCTTCTGCTGCCTGCTGGCTCTGTCCCTCGAGCGAAGCCAGTATCGCCTTGCTGAGCAGCCCATAGTGGACGGTATCGGCCTCCACGCTATCAGCAGAGGATGAACCGTCGAAAGCCTCCTTGAGCATGACGGAGGCGGAGACGCTCAGCGGCTGGGGCTTCCCTTTTCTGTTCCAGGCATCGGATGGCCCCTCAATGGATGTCTGAAGATTGCGAACCCGCACTATGGCGGGAGGTTGTCCTGCCAGGAAGCGGACACGCCAGTTTGGCTCCAAGTCCGCCATGTCTTTTGTCTTCCCCCGGCTTATATGCAGCTGAGAGTTATAGCGGCAAGCTATGAACGAGGTGGGTGTTGAATAAGCAAAACCGACACCCTTTGCTTTTTTTTTTCTTCTTCTTTTGGTGCTTGGGCCGTCACGGCCTGGTCAGAGTTTTGCCGAGCTGACGCTGTTTCTTCTTCACCCACGTTTGAGTGCTTCTCTCTCCTCAGCAGATCGTGAACCAAGTCTCTCTTCCTAGGGCGTTGCAAAGATCAATAAAATCCCCCGTCAATTTCTCATATGTCTGTGGGATTTTCAAGCGGTCTGTTCTGTTCCGGCTCAACTGAGACGGTGAGAGAAGGAGGGAAAATGGGAGCGAAGGCGGGGTTGGAGAGGGCCAGCGAAAAGTCTCTGGCTGTGCAACCAAAAAAAAAAAAAAGAACGTTTTGTGGCCAATGCAAGGGAAACAAAGTGGCCACGCAAGGCGAGACAATTTAGAATTTGGCTGAAACATGGCCTTATCGGTGGCTTGAGGAGGCATTGTTCTCGCATCCGTATTTTCTACCTTTCTTTGCTGGCTCCTCTTATCTTGCGCAATTATGCTCTTTGCTTTGTGTTCCGATTTGTATTTTTTTTTTTTGCCGTGGTAATGCAGGTGGTCCCGTTGGAGTTATGCATCATTGTTAGCGCTCTTTTTTTTTTGTTTGAATTACCCTGCAAGGCAGTGCGTTTTGAGCAGAATGATGTTATACGATGGTAACGAATGAGCACGGAAGTAAACGCTACGGATACGAAATAGATGTGATGCGTAATTCATCTACGGGTATTGAAATTAAAGTTGAAAATCTATCTTGATGAGATAGCACACAGTCCCGCTGTGCGCCACAGTCTATGCAGTCTAATGTATAATCCCTTGGTTCCGTTTAATCTACCATCTAAGTTCAGGTATTTTATAGCTCCAAACCTCTATCCTATAAACAAAGGACGTGAAAACCTCCAGTCTAGTATTCTATCCATGCATCAAAATCATCAGAAACATCAAGAAAAAAAAAGGGGGGGAACAGTCATTCAATCATCAGGCATGTTCGTTAAATGTCGGCCTTGTCACACTGAGGCACATCGCCGCTGGTCACTTCCTTGATAAACTCGGGATCCGGGTTGAAGAGCATGACGTGGAAGTGTTCCACGGCATGGATCGACTTGAGCGCAGCCCAGTTCTTGAACCACATGACCTGCAAGCAAAAAAAGTCAATCAGTGAGGCAAACTCTCACAAGAGGAGGGGGGGGGGGGGGGGGGGGGGGG